CTTTATCAAATCTGTTGACACACGCATACACACACACACACACACACACACACACACACACACACACACACACACACACACACACACACACACATACATACACACACCATGTACACACACACACACACACACACACACACACACACACACACACACACACACACACACACACACACACACACACACACACACACAAGACAATAATGATACTCAGTACTTAAACTGCAGGAGTTGCAAAGAAAGTTAAATCAATGCATGCAGCCTCCGCGTTTGCGAGGACAGCAGACTGATCAAACCAAGACGACAACGCAGCAACGCCATCACCATTGCGTATGGCTCTCCGGTTTTCTCTGCAGACAGAGCAGCAATTTGCTTGAGAAGAGCGGAAGCAGCTCGACCGGCTCCACCTGTGGCTGAGAATACGACTGGTACGAAGGAGGCTCGCTCAACTTCTTTCACCCTCTGACCATACCTGCGACGCTTCTCGCGCTCATGGCTCTGGTAGCGAGCAGCGAGAGAAGAGGAACGGTTCGAAGGAGCGAATACACCCGCATATCACGATAAACACGTTCAAACCGTCCTCCCCACACGCCGCCACATCCAGACGGGCCTGATCTTCGGTGGACGCCGTCCAGTAGCGGAAAAGCTCGCCGATGAGGGGTTGGAGATGAGGCTCTACTTCTACGCTGTGTGCCACCTTCTTCAGTTGGCCAGCGATGATGTCCCATACCTCATTGTGGCGAAGCGTCGGGAAACCACCGGTGGGGCAAGAGAGAGCATGCTCAACAGAGAAGGTGGCACCACAGACACAAGTAGAAGCCCTTCAAGGGAGCCGTGCCGGGTGCCAGCCATACCGCAATGCCAGACCATCGCGAAATTCACACTTCGACAAGCTGAACCCATGCCGATTGAGGGGGCGACACGTGAGCCAGCTGGATGCACCCGCCTCACTGCCAAGGTTGATGGAGTGCTGGAGAGCAGAGGAGGCTCGGGGGGTGAATTGCCGAAGGGCTTCCGTGGAAGCTGCCTTCACTTGCGATTAGAGGCCTTCAGGCTGGCGACCTCTGCCAAAGAGTCTCCCAGGTTGAAACTCTGGGTGAGGACTCGTGATGTTGGCAACCATAGGAGCAGTGATGGCACGCGAGGATTGGTACCCTAGACCACCATTCCGGCAGGGGAAGGAGAAAAGGGTGCGGAGCTCAGAGTTGATTTCCTGGCCTGTGGAGAGCTGGGAGGAGCTTCGTGGCAATGACCCGCTCCAGTAAAGCAAGGCCAGCAGACGCACTTTTGAGTACCCGGCAGAGGAAAGACCAGCGGCTGGAGAGGCCTCGGGTGAAAGCAGAAAAGGTTGCTTGTGGCTGAGGCAGGGCGGTTGATGTCAGTGATTCGACCTACCCACACCAGTCCCAGGCTTTCCCGTGTACGTATTCTTCGACAAACGCAGGTGTGCCTATGGCTGAACCCAGGTAGCGGTTGCCTGTGGCGGTGATGTGGATGCCTGTGCCTTCGAACAGCTGGACAGCTTCATCATAGTCGTCAGGCTTCACCACGAGCACGGACTTTGCTGGGTTGAGGAAGTATCCAAAATCAGGCCCTCTGTCGTGCAGTTTGTCCCACCAGGTTCGGAGAGGAACGAGTCGGCCACCTGCGGACGAATCGTCCACATACCATAGCTGGCAGGCGCCGGGTGTTACGATCTCCCGGATGAGAGGGACTATGCCGATAGCATAATTATTATAACGGCATCGCAATGGGGTCGCCCTGTGTTGTGCCTTCATTGGAATGAATACGTTCACCATCCACGTAGAGACTGCTGGGCTGACGGTAGGTGTTGATTACAACCGTGGCAAACGAGGGGCATAGGTGCTGCACATTCCGTAGGCAGGCAGCGCGATTGATGTTGACGCATTAGCTGCATCAGCCATGATGATGCCCTGGGTGTCCTCCTGGTCGTACACATCATGCAAGCGTGTATTGTGGCCTCAATACCGAAATCCTGCCCAGCACACAGTTGCAAACCGCCAGCAGCTTCCTGGATGTCTGCGCTGATGACGTGAAGAATCGCCTTCCCCACTACACGACGAAGCACCTCGCCTATGCCGATCGGCCTCACGCCCGGGTGTTTGTCGAGAGGGATTAGCCTCGAGGCTAGGTAGGCCTCTAGGGCATTCGGATCAACGAATGTCGTTGGTAGGCGACGTGCACACAGGGCTAGTGAGTCGCACAGATAATCGGATGTATCAGCAAAGCTCGTGCACATCCAGCGCCAGTTCTCAGCGTCAACACCGGATGGTCCAGCGGCACCATGGGTGTTCAATACCGCCTTCCTCAAGGCTTCGCGCGGCGACAACCTCCTCTTTCAGTCCTGTTATCTGCATGACCAGTTCGTCAATCCGGTTTTTGAGACGGACCTCCCGGTTTGCAGATTCTGACACGAGCGCTGACATCTTGACAATTTCAAAGACGGACGATTCTATTTCAGGGATGGAGCTCAAAAGTTTTCTTTCCGATTCCGTCAGTCTGCGAGGGTGCTAGCGCCTTACCTTCAGTTCAATGGCTAGCCGAAGGAGATAGTGACCTCTGGACGACGCTCCCGAATCTCGAAGGACTCTCTTGCCTTTCTTCTGCCGGCCATCCGTGTCTCCACAGCCAGTACTGGGGCCTCAATGAAAATCACATCTGTGCTCTTGATGGTTTAGTGCTGCTGGTGATCCGTAGCCAGGCTATGTCTATAGGCCACCATCGCCAGCCCTGGGAGCTCCCTCGAGCAACGTTTGACGGCACACCGGTCAGTGAAGAGAGTCGGCTGAAACTCCTGGGAGTCACCTTTGACGACACCCTGAGCTACTCCTTCCACCTCCGCTCCCTAGCTTCCCGTGCTAACCAGCGGATTGGCTTCCTGAAGCGAGCGTCTCCCATTCTGGACGCCGAGAGCCGCCAACGCGTCTACAACGCCTTTGTGCGACCCACACTCGAGAATTTCCCCTTAGTGTGGATGGGCTCACCCTCGTCCCATCTTAAGAAGCTGGACCAGATCCAGCGGAGGGCCCTCCACATCATTGGAGCAGGTACTTGGCTCCCTAGCCTGGCACTCCGTCGCCTGGTAGCTGCACTTGCCTATACCTACAAGCTCTGCCATCTAGATGCATCCAGCCCTCTGAAGCAGATGCTGCCCAAACCAGCCACTCACCGTGCCCCCGAGACAAGACCTACCCGTCAGTCTCTCCAGCTGCAGGATTCCCATTCATACCAGATGACAACTGGCCTGCCTGCCAACACCCGGAATAGCTGCCTCCAAGGATTCCCTGCTTGCACCGTTGCAACGTGGAATGCCCTGCCACCAGACCTGTTCCACCACCCACCCGCCCAGCCCCACATGCAAAGCTTCAAGAAAAAGGTGTACCGTCACCTTCTTGCTCAGGACTGGCTCTCTGCTACTGATGCACGTTGAATCTGCTCGCCAACGGTTTCCCTGTTCTTATTAGTGTTCAGCTGCTTACCTTATAACCCTGCTGCTATCATCACCAATATTCTGATTCTCATGCACATGTCCCAGAACCTGCTATCCTTCGCAGTCCCCATCACCAAGAGCACTGTGCTCTTCTATCTCCCAGCTCTCTCTCTCTCTCTCTCTCTCTCTCTCTCTCTCTCTCTCTCTCTCTCTCTCTCTCTCTCTCTCTCTCTCTCTCTCTCTCTCTCTCTCTCTCTCTCTCTCTCTCTCTCTCTCTCTCTCTCTCTCTCTCTCTCTCTCTCTCGATCTCTCTCCTTCTTCTCTTCTCCCCCCCCCATCTCCCGATAATTATTAGCCCCCCCCCCCCCCTGTTTTCTTTCGACGCGTTTGCTGTGCAGTGAAGCCGAGACCCTAGGTCGGTGGAGCACATCAGCTCCAGTCACCACGTCCACGATTCATGCCTGCGATGCTGCACCGCTGCTTTGCATGTCATGATTGGAAGCTGTGGCCTTAGTAAAAAATAAAAAATAAAGGCCATGTGTTTACCCCACGGTTTGTCACCGGAGCATCCTGTGACGTGCCTCGTAGTGGTTCCTCGAAACGGTCTCTTGCGGCCCTGAACGTTTCACCAACATACTGCTTCCGACGCAGTGCACACTTCAATGCCGGGGGAATCACACATGCAGCTCGGCAAACTAGACGAGTATGAGATGCAGGGTTGAGCGGTCTTCCTCGCCTCCCGGATATTCTCGGCGCCTCGCTCGTTCTTCAACGGTGTCACGCTGCACTTCTTTGGATTCAACGGTGACTTCACGAGGGCATCTTTGAGGTTGGGAGTGTATTCAGAGTCACAATACCGGTGTTTACGACTGCCTGATACTATTGATGCATTTTTTTATTTTTTTTATTGAAAAACCACAAACCTTCAGACATGTGACTGTGCACATGATATACATGTACAGTGTACATACGTATGTATCGAGAAGGCATGCACCCCCCCCCCCCCCCCTCCACAGAGGGGCACAGAGCTCAGAGTCCTATACAGGACACATAATAATACAGTGCACTGTAGTGTAGGGCAGACTGATGCCACAACTCGAGTCGCATGCCTGCAAAGCATCATGAGTCACTCCAAAAGACAAGAGCGTTCATAAACCATGATTGCGAGAATCATAGTGATCATAGTGATCATGGTGATAGTGCCGGATATGCGCAGCATTGTGCACCTTCCTTTTAAGCTGCTCTGTGTGTAGGCAGCACTGCCTAGGCATATGCGGATAATGCCGGCAGAAAAATTGGCAGAATTCGGTACTTTTTCTGGTAAGTTTCAGGCATGTTTGGTATGTGGATAAAGAAATGGAGCAGAATTCGAGGAATTGCCCGCCATAAGGTTTGTATGGTTCTGCACTGCCACACACCTACTCCGATTCTATTAAACTAAAACTGCTTCTCGATTGTGTATGCGTGCCCTGTGGACCGTGAAGATCTGCTGTTGCGTCCTGTCCATCAATTAGTTATTGCGTAAGGGATACAGGTCTGTTACTGGGGGGGGGGGGGGGGGGACCACATGTCCGAATGACCAAGCCAATAGACATCAATATAGTTCTGTCTGTTCCATTACCTCAAAAACTCGTCTTCAAGTTGTGACAGTGTGAGTAAAGATCGCTGAGAGAGAACCATAGTAGTGAAATTCATTCGGTTTAGGGAGTTGAAAAGATTGTTTGCTTGTGTCCAGCAAATGGTCTGGTTCACAGCATTTCTATATTGGAGACAAATTCGTACAATTCAGATATATTAAAATAAGCCTGTGAAGCTTACCACTGCCTATATACAGTACTGATGATTCTCTCTGAATGCGGCATCCCGTGTTGCTCAGTTCCAGCTGCGGCTATCAACACTCACCCCTGAATCCCGTGTTGCTCAGTTCCAGCTGCGGCTATCAACACTCACCCCTGAATCCCGTGTTGCTCAGTTCCAGCTGCGGCTATCGACACTCACCCCTGAAGGACCGGCTGTGTACTTCTGGTAAGATATAGCGGGTGAAGGACCTGCACTCAGAGTCGAGCCAGATGTCACCCGTCGCATCCTCGTCACAATGTACTACATGTACATGTGCATGCGGCGACAGTTCCAGTGAGTGGCCAAACTTGCAATGCTGAGCCAGACTTTCTTGAGTTGCACCTGTCTGAGCCGTGCCTGGCCAATGGCGTGTGTGTGTGTCGGCTATCAGCCACCGCTTGCAGCACACAGGCAACTTCAAGACCCACCGTCACAACATAATATCAAGAGTTGCAGCAAAACAACACTATCTTCCCCATTTGGTTTGTACACTGGCTTCAGTGGTAACAGAACATTACCAGCCCCCCGTGACACATGACTCAAAAGCAGTCTTCAGGGCTGGTACTGTGACAGTCAACTATACTCTGACCCAAATGATGTTGGACTCTGTATCCACAGTCGGGTTGACATTGTCAAGTCGAATACCACCATGCTCAGTGGCCAGAGCTGATTCGATCGACGATTCACGTAGCTAGCCCAGCTGGCGTGTAGCAGTGACAAAGCGGAAAACCCAAGACATGCGGATGGAACTCAGAATTATACTCTGTTCTCTGCTGCCAATGCTACTGAACTGCGATTATATTCCACGACGGTCGCATCATGATCACCGGCATTCTGCTTCTCCGCTGCCAGCCCGTCTGTCCATGTGACCAGCTGACGTCGGCTAGCTGCCCGGCTGATCCGCTGCACCACCTCACGCTTCTTCAGCGCCACTATGGCCTTGCGGTGCGTGTAGGTGAGGGCGAACTGGATGACTTCGATTATCGTCAGTATGCTGGCTCCCAGGAACAGGCCAAGATTACCACCGAGGTCACCTGTAGACAGAGTTTTGCCAAGCCGGCACACAATGGGAAAAAAACTAGTTATAGCTTGACTGAGTACAGTCCACTGTACAGAATTTCAGTCATCAAATTCTCGTCAGGGGAGATGCAACGGAAAACTCACAGCACAACACGAGTGGAGCAGCTAGCAAGGAAAATCTCGTGTAGGGCCGGGTCATACGGCTGCAATTGTAGCTTTCATGTGATAGTATCGAGGGAGGGGGTTGAAGCTGGCAGTTGGCATTAGTACTCTCTCTCTCTCTTTCTCTGTCTGTCTGTCTGTCTGTCTGTCTGTCTGTCTCTCTCTCCCTCTCTCTTTCTGTGTGTGTGTGTGTGTGCGTGTCTCTCTCTCTCTCTCTCTCTCTCTCTCTCTCTCTCTCTCTCTCTCTCTCTCTCTCTCTCTCTCTCACCTCCTCTGGTAAATGTTTCCCACTTAAGCGTTACCCACTTGAGGGCACTAGAACAAGTCACTTCAACAAAACACTTGGAAATTGATTCTTACCAAGCATGCTGACCAGAGGGTACACAGGAATCTCTTTCCGCTCCTCAAAGTTCAAGTCGTCAAAGTACACAACTAGCTTGAGAAGATTCTCCCTGCGCACAGCAATGATGCATGGGAAATGTATGAGTGTTAATTATTGCCATCGGAGTGAGTTGGTGCCTGGGCTATTCTGATAACGGAAAGGCCTTGAACACTTGAACAACACTGCACATGGATCAAAATACGCTGAGTGACTCACACCACTCTTATCCGGGCAGTTCGGGACCGGCCGTTGTCCAGAACATCATTCATGGAACTGAATATCCGTAACTCTGAATCACGGACATTTTGACGGGGAAGTGCCAGAGATCTGGCATATGACATTACTAATTCCACAAAATTTGGCAGATGAGTAGTAATATTTCCACTAAAACTCGCCCACGGGGTGCCCTGTAGACCCAGATGCCCATAACGTTGAGGTCCGGATAAGAGAGATATGAGTGTACAAGCGTTTTGAAACATTATGTGTACCACAACGTGTCCAAGCTGGTGTGGGGAGGGTGATTTGGATTGCCCATCATTGGCCAGTCCAGGCATTTGGTAACAGTGAGTATGGCTATGTGTACAGGTGCACATGTGTGTGTGTGTATATGTATGTGTGTGTGTGTGTGTGTGTGTGTGTGTGTGTGTGTGTGTGTGTGTGTGTGTGTGTGTGTGTGTGCATGTGTGTGTGCATGTGTGTGTGTGTGTGTGTGTATGTGTGTGTGTGTGTGTGTGTGTGTGTGTGTGTGTGTGTGTGTGTGTGTGTGTGTGTGTGTGTGTGTGTGTGTGTGTGTTAGGGATTCACTGGCCAGAAAAAGTCACTTCAAACAGCTGTGTGGTGGATACCAGGCTAAAATTAGTGGCGGTCAATTCATCAGCCTTGCAAGCTGTTGAATGGTGTAATCCCAGCACAAGTTGCTAAGTCTAACATAGCTGTTCGCTATCATCGCTTCCGCGATGGGCATGTCTGAGGTCTGAGGTGTGTGTGTGTGTGTGTGTACGTGCGCGCGCATGCGCACACGTGTACAGTATGTATGCGTGTGCTTGGGAAGCGAGGCTTACACGGAATGAAGAGCACTTTCTACGAGCGATACCTGCGTTCATATTCTTCAAGGAATCAATTAGATGCACATGCAGCAAGATAAATGATGCTTTTTCAGATGCAGTGCGCGTGTGAACCCCCTCCCCGCTTTCTCTCTCCACATCCACCCACGCACACATGTGCACGCCGAAAACATTACGCAGAATACATACTCCTCTCCGATACCATGTGAATACATGCATCATCAGTACCTTGCACCTGTCAGACTGGTCCGATAAGTGTCAGATGTGTCATTTGTACTATCCTCCTTGAGCAGTCCTAAGTCAATGCCAATGGCATCGAGAGCCTGTACCATTTGAAGTGAGTTGGAATGCTCGAGGAAGTTTGATGACGTAAGGGAGTATGTGTATTGGAAGCCAGTTTCGTTGCAAGGTTCTTTGCAGTTGACGCAGTACTCCAGCTGAGCTTCATAATTGCTTTCGAAGTAGTCTGCAGCAAGTGGATGACAATGAAAGGAGGAATGGTGCGATGAGTACATCTCAAGCAACCGCTTGCCATACATACTCTCTCCACAACTCAATGCACAAATATATCTTGTGCAAACATATGAGCCCGGAAGGCCGGAGGAAACGCAAAGCAAACTTACCACGCTCCTTTTCACCGCACGCTATCGTATCGAATAATTTGCACACTTTCATCACTTGTCCTGCAGACAACAAGCCAATCCAGCAGGCATAAGCAGTCAAGGAAACCGGGATACCACCTCACATATTCTCCCGACGGTCGCTCCAAGAAGCTAACCAGTTTGCAGAAGGTACAGTAGTGCTCGGTGAAATCCGACCCAAAGTGCATACAGGTCTATCTTCGTTAGTACGTCATCGCTTACAAGACAAACCTCATCAGCCGACAACGATCCAAAATCCCTCGACGCCTGAAACACATTTAACAGTCGTACATGCAAGTCCGGCTAGTTGATAATACTCGCTGTATATATGTATAAGACAAAAAAATGCCCCCCCCCCCCTATCTTCTAACGAGGGTAGACCCGTATTTGGCGCCCTCAACTTGCACGGCCCTTGGCACCCTGGAAGCGGTATGAATGTGGCTAGACGCACACATATACCAGTACAGTGATGTGTTCAGAACTGGTCCAGGGCATCAGTTTTGCACTTCAGGTCTAATTTCAGCGAGTGCAGCTGTAGTAGTTAGTCATACTACAGTGAAGCTTGGTTATAACGACACCCGAGATGGAACGCCAAAAACGTCCTTATTTGCGATCTGTCACTATATCCGATCTTGGGATTTCCAACACAATATGCACACCAAAACGCGGCAAAATTAATTTTCTGCACAATGGTACTTTTTCAACTGAACACAAGGAGCGCTTCGTCCAACTCAGGAAAAGTCGACTGCCTAGAGCTCTTGGCATCCATTGATGTCGCTTTCTTCACTTTGGCCACAATCTCCTCTCGGTTCTTGATGAAGCCAGCGAGAGTACCGTGCACGACTCCATACTTTTCTTGAACGAATGTCCGCTTTGCACCTTTGTCCAGCTCCTGCAGAATGGCGTACTTTTCCGCGTAGGAGAAGCGCTTTCGCTTTCCAACAGAGACAGGGCGAGACATCTTGAACTTCCAAGTCTTTGGTCCAACGACAACTGAGAAAGTGATTTCTCGGAGAAAGAAGCATGGCGAATGTTGCGAAAATCCGTCGCAGAAGATACGGAAGGTACGGGGAGGGTAAGTGCGCACTACATCTGTATCTACACAGTACACATATTTTACCGTCAGTACGACATGTTGACACTCCTTCGAAGTTTCCGGGCGTGCACGAGTGTGCAGTGCAGTGCAGTGTACAGTTTTTTGGTCAGGACTCTAGAATACACTCAGAAAAATAATAAGGCACCCATTTTGATAGTCCAGGGGATGGCCCACGCCTGGTAAAAATAATAAACAGAAAGAAAAAAAATAATAAGGCACCCATTTTTGATAATCCAGGGGATGGTCGATGTACACTAGACTGCACTGTACGATCTTGTGCACCCGGCTCGCGGCAGCTGTGAAAGCCGGAATCGATCGTACGTCGCAGTCGTGAGAATGTCGTTATTTTGACCCATTTTCACACTTCGGTGCATGACAATTTGGTCGTTATTCTCGATTTGTCGTTATTCGAGTTGTCGTTGCAATCGATCTTTTTTTGTACACAAATCAATACAAAATTGCTGCTGCCATGGATTTTTTGTCGCTGTAGCTGATCTGTCGTTATAACCAAGCTTCACTGTAGCACGTTTCTCTTAAAGTCAGTGCAGTATCAATGTTAGAATGCTGTACTGGGGGAAGAATCTTCCCGGCAAGCGACATGGCCACAGTCAAGATTGATGCAGCAGTGCCAAATAATTTTCGCCCAAAACCGGACACCCTATACGTGGCCAGTCATCCTCACATGGTAATAACATGCATGACTAATTGACTGTGCACTTGAACGTCTCTTGTCTGGGCGCCTTGTGACCAAGCACTGCCCATATGTCAGATTTGCTCGTGTCTCAGGACAGCTCATCTACCATATATTATACCAGCTTTTGAAGAAGTTTATTTGGCACGTATTGAACATGTTCAGGATAAAACTTTGAAAGAATCCATTGCCGCGGATGAAAATGTGTGGACTACAGTGAGAAATAAGCACTTGCGTACATGGAAAAGTTCAAAAAACCCAAAATCGAAGTACTTTCACCATAGGAACTCGAGCTGAAGGTGCACGGTAGAGAGACATGCGGATAAGAGACGTTAGAGTGCACCTGTTCCACCTTACCACAATACTGTTACACATACCGTATTTCCCTGAATATAGGTCGCACCTTTTCCCACTGAACTTCAATGGCGAAGAAGGGGATGCGACTTACAATCGAGGGTGATGAGGTGCTTATGCGAATATGCTGACCAGTATGTCTTTAACCTGAAAATGGGGATGCGACTTATATTTGAGTGTGACTTACATGTATAATGGGGGAAATATGGTACTACGTTGTACATGTACAATGCAATACTTGTACTTTCTGTTGAAAGTTTGGAAAGCTTCTCTTTTTGTTTTGGTTTTCAGCTGGAGGTTGAGTTTTCGGATGATGTCCGGTAAATCGGACAATCCGGCAGCACTGTGAGTAGAGTATTCTCATCAGCACTGTGAGTAGAGTATTCTCATCAGCACTGTGAGTAGAGTATTCTCATCAGCACTGTGAGTATTCTCATCAGCACTGTGAGTAGAGTATTCTCATCCTGTCTAACAGTTTTAAAATACACACATGCACAGGCTGTGCACAAATACACACATGCACAGGTTGTGCGTGTGCATGTGTGTATTTGTGCACAGGCTGTGCATGTGCACAGATGCCCAGGCGTGTCAACGTGCATCAAAACGAGGAGAGTATTTCATGGACAGAAAATGGACGGAGAGTCAACAGCAGTTTTACTTTGATTGTCAGGCTAGCCATGGGCCACGTGCATTTTTAAAGCAAACTAACACCCCCCCCCCCCCCCCCATTCCCATTATGTCTTTTATGTACATATTAAAGCTAAGCGTTACCGTCAACAAGGAGAGGGGCATTTCCGGCATTCGACAGCCACAGCGGTCGTACACAAAGCGTGCTGCACACTCCTTCTTGCAGGCTGCCAGGCTATAGTCCTGGTAATACTGCACAATGGCCTTTCCCTCATCTGGAGTGATGCAGAAATCCGGCCCGTTATACGGCTTTGGTTCTCTTACAGTCTAGGCAGTGAGTTGGAAAATTAGAAACACACGGAAATAACCGACGAGGAGACAACAGTCGTAAAATAGCAATGAAAAATATCAATTGTGCACTCATAACCATGTATAAACAATTAAAATGAAACAATTCCAAAATTGTTTCATTTTAATTGTTTATACATGGTTATGAGTGCACAATTGATATTTTTCATTGCTATTTTACACGGAATACACCCAGTGAAAAGCTTACATGCACTTCTTTCCGTATTTTCTCTAATAAGAGCCCGGGGTTCTTATTTTTTCAGTGACAGCTCTACCCGCGCTACTATTAGAGACTGGGCTATTATTGGAGACTGGGCTCTTATTTTTTCAATTGTCACCTATCAAGCCAATTCCAGTCTATACAGGCATAAACTGACCATATCAAGACTGATTTTTCAACCCTAAACTCAGGAATATTGTCAAAACAGATGTTTCACAATAGCATTGGCACCAGGAAGGAAGCAGTAGACCGAAAACCTCCTTACAAAATATGTTCTTGGCATGTTGGACTGCTGTTTTATATGCAGTCAATATACTTGTTGCATACTCCAATTAAGACCCGCGCTACTATTAGAGACTGTGCTCTTATTATTTCGAACCACCCTCACCCGGGTCATTATTGGAGACTGGGCTATTATTAGAGAAAATACGGTATTTAGAAACATACCTGATATCAGGAACAGACCTGCTACAGGGAACAGATCTATTGTAGGGAGCAAATCTATTGTAGGGAACAAATCTATTGTAGGGAACAAATCTATTGTAGGCAACAAATCTATTGTAGGGAACAGACCTGCTATAGGGAACAGACCTGCTATAGGGAACACATCTGCTATAGGGAACATACCTGCAGCTACAGGGACCATACCTGTCACAGGGAACATGCCTGTTACAGGGAACAGACATGCAACAGGGAACATACATTTTCCTGCTATAGGGAACAGACCTGCTATGGGGAACCGACCTGCTATAGGGAACTGACGTGCTATAAGGAACAGGCCTGCTATAGGGAACAGACCTGCTACATGGAACATGCCAGCTACAAAGAACATACCCGATGCAGGGAACAAACCTGCTGTAGGGAACAGACATACTATAGGGAATCGACCTGCTATAGAACAGACATGCTATAGGAAACAGACCTATTGCAAAGAACAGCCAAGATTCGTTACAGACAAGGGTCCACAACAGGTGGAAGACTTGACTGGTCAAAATGCTAAAATATTCGTCGGCATCAGGGTTTGCTCCTTTTGTGTGGTTTGGCTATCGACTGTTGTGTTTGACGATCCTGTGCTCAGCATGACATGTACTGATATGTCATCTTATGGACCATCAAGAAAGGGAACAGACCAGTGGCAGCTGAGCAGCAATTAGCCTCAATATAAAGAACGGCTAGGTTACCAGGTCCATTATCGACACACATTGCACAATCCCCTTGTGGCATAACCACAACAGTCCGTCATACCCCCCCCCCCCCCACACAATGGCATCTCATAATTATTGTGTGTGTGTGTGTGTGTGTGTGTGTGTGAGTGTGCGTGCGTGTGTGTGTACATGTACATGGGTGTATGTGTATGTGTGTACATGTATGTATTTAGTATGTGTACGTGTGTGCGTGTATGTATGTGTGTATGTATGTATGTGTGTGTGTGTGTGTGTGTGTGTGTGTGTGTGTGTGTGTGTGTGCGTCCAGGTTTTTTTGCTGGAGGGGCTCATTACCTTGCGAGCACGGATCGCGAGGAAGTTTTCCGTACCAGGCGTAAGCGCCAGTGCCTCATGATATGCCAGAAGTGGCCGGTGTGGCGGATGAATGAACACAGCCATGCCAACTGCTGTTGTGCCACGAGAAAAATATTCATCTTGTTCCACGTTCAGGACGACCTCGAGTCCTGCCTTCTGGCCCTGCGCTCGAGACACAAGCTGTGAGTTCTGGTCGCCGTTGAACGTGTAACAGTTACCGTACTCGGAGATGGTAGTACTGAAGTTGGCGCCGGAGCATGGCCGGCCTGCAAATTTGCACCCCGTGCTGTACCACCAGGGTGGGCCAATGTCCGGTATCATCTGCCATTTCTTGTGTCCAAACTCAGCATAGATCTCACCCAGGGTGCGATTGTCGGCCGCGATCTTGTCCGACACCAACGATTCCTCACAGAACTTATCCGATAGGTGGTAGAGTGTGCAGAGCAGGTACAGGTTGGGCAAAGTCGATAAGCTAGTGTCCTCCTTCAGGCCACCAAGGATATCGGTGAATCGCAGGGGGTTGAAATTGCACACGGTGACGGACGGAAACGGCAGGGTAGAGGCGCGCTGTACATCGTAGTGAGTTGTCGTCTTGTACTGCAGATACTTGTTCACAGCGTCGTAACTGAAGTATGTCACTGCGCCCAACGCCCCAAGAGTCAGCAATATCCACAGCAGCTGAACGATGAACCAGAAACGCGGCTGGTTCGGATACGTCGGCCAGAAGCGAAGTCCGTGCAGTGTACTGGTCTTCAAGAACGAGCTGGCGTTCGACAAGGACCTCACGTGGTCGTCCGAATGCCCATTCGACTGAGTCGTCACTCCATTCGTTGGAATCTCGACCGCTCGCCGCTTACCAACGCTACCGTTTCGCCAAATTCGACGGCCTCCTCTGTTCCCCAATTTCGCCGACGCATCTTCAAATGGCTCCATAGTTGTTGCTATTGTCATTCATTCAAGACTCGGATCTGTGTGTCTACGTAGCTACCTTCGTCTCTGAGTCAAATACAAAGAGATGATCTGTTTCGCCTTCTCGGTCCCGCAGATAAACACCAGACGCTCCATGTATTTATAATTTAGAGTTTGGTTGTTGGCATCGGGAGTCAGAATAGACCAGCTGAGATTACGCTTTCTTATGAGAGATAGGTGTGCTTTTCGCCACGTAACGTTCCACTTCATCTGTAGATAGAGCTAGAGTCATCATCATGACCATGATCATGATGATTGTGTGTCGATCTATGCGGGACTGGAGAATTTTCATGATTTTGGACAAGACCACAATCCTGCATGCGCCAGATGTTCAGCCTCTCTCTCTATACCTGCAGCCCGTGCACGTCATGATTGTAATGTAAAATTGCAGGATCGAGGTCAAGGCGGATCCCCGCCGGGATTGGGTAAAAGCGGCGTTCCCGGAGGCAGTGGACCTGATGGACACCTACGGGAAAATATGGAGCTGTACTGGTAGACGACAGTAATCACTGATCAGTATGTATGGTGATCACAGGGGGTGGGACCACACACATGACAGTAATAATAATTCAGGGCTCACCACGACCATACAAAGCGTCAATAACGGTCATTTGGATTTGACCAATCAGCGCACAGCAAAACGGGCTGTTTCTTGCAATTGTGGGGTGTTTTCTGAGTGGAGCTTGGCTGTATTCGTTGGTTTTAGACATTAGGCCATTGTGGATTCGTGTTCAGAAGGTGTGTCTTTGGGGGGTTACCGTCTCGAATTTTTCGATTTGGCCTTCGTTTGGCTGAGATCGGATGGTGAAATCACTCAAACGCGAAGGCGTGCAAACAAGTGAATGAAGAGAAAATTAGAAATCGGGGACGGTAAACCGATAGAGAATTCCAAGACCTTGAAAATGAGCTATCGATGATGAGAATCGGCCAAGGAGAACCGCTGTTCTACTTTTTTGAAGACATTAAGGTCGGCCGTGCGTCGCCGCGCGCACCAACAAAAACTGGCAGCCGTGCGCATATCTGCAAGTGCAACAAGAAAGGGCGGAGGAGACAGCAAGCGTTCCAAGTGAAGAGTTTACCTTCGTGTTGACTCAAGCTAAGGACTCATGCCAGTCAGGGATCATACTGGTCACCTCTCATCATGGTCATGACTGAGGGATTCATTTGCGACAAGGAAACTCCCCACTCGCAGCGTGAAAGCTGCGAGGCCAAACAGAAAAGAGTGTGCCGAGTCGCGATCAGGAAACGCTGAGTTCTACTGACAACATTGGTTAGCTAGGCGCGGCAAATTCTTGTAGATGCCAGGACTCAAGTTCACCAGTACCCCACGGACATATCTTGGTCGACACCCACCAGCGGATTGATAAAAATGACCAAGATTGCTTGGAGAAAGGACGTCTTCTCCGCGTGTCTTTCTCGACATCAAACAACAAGATTCGCTTCGGCACTGGCCCTTCGCTGTACAGAGTAGACCAGGAAGTCGTAAAATACCGGTATTTTACGACTAGACTGTACATCGCTGTACATCGATGAGCATGAACTCGGGTGCGTAGCCGCTATGACTGCACAAACTCTGGCTTTGGCGGCATTCAAAATGGTGGTCGACGCTTTTTGAATTTTGTATGGTCGTGGTGAGCCTGTGTCATTGTGTTTTCTGTGAAGTGTGATCATGGTGATCATGGTGATGCCTAGTACAGTGCTGGCAACTGAAATCCGACCCCCTGAGCGGTGCAAAGACCCAACACGGGATGGTACATACTTTGAAGTAGTAGTCACTTACCTTGGGCCGTCCTTGTTGTCTCGTCCGGAAATCCTTAGCCACCTGAGAACACATGAGAGAATGAAGAACTTGGCGGCGTAGGATGAGTTACGGACATGGGTTTCGTTTTGCCTGCTGCGATGGGCAGTCACTGCAGGGCTTCTTACATTCGCCGCAAGGTCGGGAGCCCCTTTGCATGCCGGTAGGCAATTATTTTATTAGATAATAATAACGATTTCGTGTCAAGCTTTTATGTTCAGTCTTACATTTCAGTTGAGTGTTCTATTTATTTCCGAATTTGGGTTGTCTTTTTGCTTTGGTTCAGTTACTTCATGGTTTCACGGGATTGGCCCCATTGGTGTTGTGAATGAACCCGTTCTCAAGTAGCCTAGCCTAGGTAACCTATCCTTCTGTTGTACATGTACATGTACATCATGTGTGGCCGTTCACCGAATCACCGCAGCGGCAGATCCAGGGGGAGGGGGGGGGGGGGGTGGATCCCTTGGTAGTTGTAGTTATCATGGTTGTAGTTCAAGTACTAGTACTAGTAGTAGTATTCTATGCATCGATATCATGACTGGCCATGCAGCATGCTTGGCTTACCTGAGTACTATAGTCTATACTAGCCCTTGGCGGATTATGCCGGCATAATATTTGGCATAATCTTGGGATTTGGTCAAAAAATTATGCTCCGGCATATATTATACGGATTCCAACGTGTAAGGTCGGCATAATCTTTCGGTTTAGACCAAAATTATGCTTAGGGCATGGCCGTGTGTGTGTGCGTGGTTTCTCAATCATCTATGTACAGCGTGAATACATAGTGGAACCGAGCATAATTCAGCATATTTGTTGGCATAATTGTGGCATAATCAAAAGCATAATTTGACGATTGGCCGAGCATACTAGTAGTCCGCCAATGGCTAGTCTATACCGGCATTGTACCCGGTATTTAAATGCTCATAATGATCTGGAAAGTACAATGTGTATTATTACAAGGGACGGAGTGTATATCGAGAAATATAGACCAGTAGGCAGTATTAAAACCGAGGCGAAGCCGACAATCAGCTCATGCGATACTAACATGCACAAAAATGACCGACAGTACTGACGTTCTACAGCCAACTGGCTGTCAGCTCTAGCAGTATCGTCATCATGCGACATCATGTTACATCTGCCAACGGCCTTCATAGCTGAGACTTTCAGCGTGTGCTTGTCTTGGTTGCGCTCACCTCCCACTCCTATGTTTCATATAACTAACTTAGAACCTCCTTCCAAGTAATAATTATTATTACTGGTTGGAAGGCTGTTGGAGTGCGCACCCTACACGTGCTAGAGGCTAGCAGAGCTGATACCCAGCTAGTTGTAGAACGTCAGTACGTACTGTCGGTCAGTTTTGTGCAATGTTATCGCATGAGCTGATTGTCAAGTAACTGGTGGTGTTAGTGGCCATTATAGCGTAACTTGTAGTTCCTTGGTCCTTTTCTTTATTGTCAGATCATGTAACTCGCCAAATTGGGCAAAGTAACACGTTACTGTCGTTAGTTGCGCAGCTATGGACATCAGCCAGTGGACATACTCACATACTGTGACATAGTCCCAGTGGCTTACTCCTGGCGGTCATGTGGACACACGCAGATCACTGAGATCAGGCCCAGAGATGATCTTTCATTTTGCTGATTTGGTTACATAGTCATTCCCATCCTCACACTCATAGCCATAGCCACGATAACACCATGGTGCCATCATGGTGACAATGCGCATTCCTGTGTGACATCAAGGTGACAACTGACTTGTCACTTGTGTGCGCTGTAGGTGGTCCAGCCCACTCTCAATGTACACAACATACGTGTATACACATGCTTTCCTTGACACAATGACAGCAGACGCCAATAACTTGTAAAGTTACATGTCAGCAAGCCGGGTGTACTCTTGGTGTCCCCAGAATGTGGTGATGACTATTGTTTCACTTTCAGCTCAAGTCAGTGAAGTGTTTAGAAATTCGAACCATGATCATCGGACTGGACTCGGGTACTGAGCCAATACATGGATACGAGTGATGAGTAACTGCAAAGGCCAACACACAGTGCCAGTGCCAGTGGCACTGCAGGACCAGTATACAGTTTATGCGATCCCCATCATCAGTTGAGATGCTTTGGCAAAGCTAGTTGCAGCACAACGCGAGCGATCAGTACACCAGCGACTTGTTTATGTCACTCACTATTGACTGAGTACGAGGTCAATATAGGAAATAAAAGCCGAGTAAAAGACCGAGGCGAAGCCGAGGTCTTTTACGAGATTTTATTCTTACTGACCAAGTGCGAAGTCAATAAGATTTATCACGACTGGCCAAAGCCTGTGTTCAATCTCTAAAAAGGAGTCAAATATAAGCTGTCATAGCCTAAGGAGTGAAAATATGCATGAATATTTGACTGTAGAAAGGAAAAAGGACATATGGAAACGAGAAACTCTCCGCCGCTGTAACTACATGTTGATACTACATTGTATATTATACAGTCAGAAAGTGCAACAACTAGGCACAAAACTGACAGAGTACTGAGACATTCGACGTCCTGACACCTAGTTTCAACACATCTCCGTAGCGCTAGCCGACAGCCTTCCAACTCGGAAGGTTCAAGGTTATGGAGAGACCAAAGAGGGGAAGGTAAGCGCAACGAAAATGAGCACAAGCTACAGTCCCAACGGAACAAAGAATGTCGATTGTTACTGGACGATGACGAGACCAGGCAGTAGGATACTTGACAAAGCAGTCTACTACAATTCGAAGCAGCAAAGCAGCACACCACCCAACTTGGGTGGCTCAGAATTCCATTGGCAGAATTCCAGCATGATGTAGCATGATCACTGGCATAATTTGGGCATAATGGAAAGCATAATTCAGTAATTTACCGAGCATAATCTGCCAAAGGCTGTTTGTACTGAGTTCACCATACCATTAGAGTGGACCGCAGCAATAGTATAGCACCATCATTGGCATAATTCCAGCATAACGTAGCAAAATAACTGGCATTATTTGGGCATAATGCCAGAGGCTACATGTGACTATCGCTCTCTTTGCACACAAAGACAAAGAGTCAAAGTGTTACATGTCCATGTAATACATGTAGTAGTAATTTTTTTTTTTTTTTTTTTGACAGGTCCAGGTGTTTTATTACTCAAATTTTGAAGATCAAAAGGAAAGCTTTGCAATAATAACAACAATAAAACGTAGCCTGTAGAATGTAAAAAGGCACTGAGTACAGTTTAATTCAATATCCATGTCCAGTATTTATAATAAAAATAATCTGCTGCAATTTATAGATTCTCACATGCGAGCAACCTGGGCCTCAGCAACAACCAGCTCAGCAGACTCCGGATGCCGAACCGATCGCTCACGGAAAAGACCCCGTGAACCCCGCAAACACATGATGCATGATCGCAACAGGGCAAATGAGAGACGGCATCTGATGTAAGATATTACGTGGGAGTACTGCTCCTTCCTCCTTTCCGCTCTCAATAACGCGATTCGGCGATAGAGTGATGTCGCCGCTCTTCCCATGCCACCACTTGCCGATAGCACAACAGGCATGAACGTCGCATGCTCCACCTCTCTCACTCTCTCTTCATAACATCGTCGCTTTTCTTTTTCATGGCGCCGATAGACAGTGGTGTGTGGTGCAGATCGATTTGAGCGTGCATGAGGATTAAAAACCCGTATATCAAGTAAAGTACGCTCAAAACGACTGCCCCACACACCACTGACCGCTACATCAAGCCGCGCATGCTCCTCCACAATAGCAGACCTGTATCTCATTCTCTCTCCAGTGAGTGGCATGTACATGTAGTAGTAATACTATTAGTCTTTGACGGCGACGCTCGATTGATCTGACAATGATTTTGATATGCATGCTGTGGATCGAACGACAGTCACGCCAGTGCATACCTGAATCAAGGCCAAGGCCAGCAAGGGGAATAAGGCAGCAATGTTGTCCCCAGCGCGGGCTTGCGATGGTTTGGAGGCAACAACGTTGTGAATGGCCAATGCCAAGGCAATGGTCCTCAGCGCTTGTTCAGCACCTCCATGAGCGACACTGACTCACGCTGCTATCTGGTGTTCACGAGGTGTTTGTCGCGCTGGAAACGGAGCGTCTCTGTACGTTTGTATCCCTGGTGATGTTTGTGCCTGGAGAGCAGTAGTATAATAATTATTATAAGTGGTGCTCTCCAGGCACAATCTTCCTCAGCCTACTCAAGCTCAACTGATGAGGGGTGAATTCCCCGAAACACTGTGTATTGAGCAGGGAGTGGTGCTTTCTTGCACGTTTGCCGAGTGGACGCCTGGACGGTTCGATGGACTTCTCGTGTGCTCTGGATGGCAGTCGTGAGTCAGTCAAGTGAGAATTCAAGTCAGCAGGAACACCGCGAGCTCCCATGTAGGGAGCAACACACTCTTCCCCTACTATCGCCGAAGTCGCACCAACCTCTTCTCCACATGATTGTACCAAGAATACATACCGTACCGGTAACCAATAATTATTATGTCATTGTAGAGTCTACACTTGATTGTACTTACCAGGGAGTCGTAAAAGCCGACTAGACTCCCTGCACGTAGATTGTAGACCTACCAATGTAAAAAAAAAATACTAGTTTACCATGGTTTACGCTGCGGCGTGTAGTCTTTGTAGACTCTACCAATCAGCAAAAACAACGCCATGGTAACCGGACAATCAGCTGTGTGCGCTGCGAGCGATGCATGGCGCATGTGCAAACAGCAAAGAACCTGACTCCTGACTCCCAACCAAAACCTACCTAGTCTGGCCCTCGACTGATTCCAGAGCTCGCGCCGAAAACCCCACACAACACTGGGCAGATGCAGATCGGAAACCCTAACATCTCGCCTGTCGACCGTTTCCTGCCGACTCGCGACAACAACCAGGTCCCTCATTGCTGGCGCAGTTGCCGCGGGCCGTTCGAGGAAGGTTAGCGGTCTCGCGAGATCGGGTGCTAGCTGAAAGAAGGCTAGGTTAGTGGTACCGCTATCACCAGGAACTAACAGTCACACTCCTGTAGTGTCGCTTTGTCGAAAAAATGGACCAACCTGGAGATGTCGTCCCGAAGAGTAACGAGGAAAACGCGCCCGCCGGAACAACTACAATGGAGACGTCACCTGACGAAGTGGACCAAAAAGGACGAGAAATCGCTACCGAAAGAGCCAGAGCCATTGGCGTCGACGGCGAAGGGCCAATCAGCGGAATAGTCAAGTGGTTCAGCTTCAAGCTGGGCTATGGATTCGTGATCCGTGACGACGGGAAAGGAGATGTTTTCGTCTATCAGGTGAGCGCAGCCTCATGCTTTAGTTCCTTTGACTTTTTAGGAAGTAAACATTAAATTTTTATTTATTTTCGATGTTCCTTGACTCACAACACTTGCGACTTGGGGTGGAGTACGGGTTGAGTACATGTATGCGCTTCCATGAAGGAGGGTGGTCGGACTCGAGAATATGTCGGGTGTGCTGTATTGGATTGCTAAGCACCCTACCCTCACGTTCATGTGTGACGAACGGTGTGTTGCTTCGGGGCGGTGTTTGAATGTCACGAGGAGGTATTTGAATGCTCATGCACTGCGGCTTTAGAGTTTCTTCTTTATCGCTTCTGCCTCGCTCGACAAACGCTGCATTACTGCCATTAGCTCCTGTAAAGATAGTTGCTGTTTTTCGGATGAAACGCGAAATTCAGACTTGCTAATGTAAGAACGTGAAGGTCGGCGAGCCTTTACTTAGCTTTAGTGGTTGGTTGGTTGGACTCCGCGAGCGGCTTCGTTAGCTTCCTGATCCGTGGATTCGCGCCGAAGTGCGCGATGAAATTGAAGTGCTCTTTGTCGCACGGGCTATAACCCGTCGTTTCATCGCTTCGCTCTTACTCGCCTCGTATACATGGTATATGCACGCGTTTCCTCTTTGAATTCGCGGTCGAGTGCAGGATGCGTGACAAAACCGACACAGACAATCACTGATCGGACTATGACAAGCAGCACCGTGCCAATTCTGGCGTATAAATACAACGGTACAACATGCTTAGTGGAGTGCGAAACATAGCACATCACTCCATCGTATGCTCAATGAACAGACTCAGTGTACATAGATGATTCTCTGCCTCCAGACCAGAGTAAAGCTGAGTGCGAAACTGCATGACAAACAGACTCAGTGCTGCTCATGGTAAAATAATTATTTAATCATCTACTCAGTCTAGAACCTGTGACAGTGATTGTGTATTGTGATGCCACTTCTCATCTCGTTGGCCACCTGGTACCTGGCCGCCAGATCATGAGAACGTGACTACTGTTGTGGACATTGAAATCCAATGGGATGACCCTGGTTGGCGCCCTAAGTAGGGAGTTCAGTTCCGGTCTGTGTCAGGCGAAAACAGCTCGCTTGTACAACACATACACACTGTAAAAATGTTAACGGATTTCAATGTCCACCACGGTATAATAATAATAATAGTGATGTAACGAACCATGAATTTTGCGAACAACTAAAGCACCACTCCAGGGGACAAACGATTATTCAACTATTCCAATGCGAAGTGTACATGTACATGTAGCGAACACACAACACAAGCGGAGTCAGAGTAGATTTTACCATGGTCTACCTGGAGTCAGAGTAGATTTTACCATGGTCTACCCGCTCGTAGTCTACATGTAGTCATTGTCTGCAACACAGTACAAAGTAAGAATGCATTAACTGCAACACAGTACAAAGTAAGTATGCATATTAACTCGGAGTTGCAACAAACTAGCCTTGTGACTTCTTGTTCTGTGTACAGCAGTGAGTACAGTCAACTTTGCAAATAACGACTGCGGATATAACAACAATACGCGAATAACGACAGAATTTCCATGCCCAGAGCAAAGTCCCATCCCACTGCAATACATATAATGAGACTTCGGGTATAACGACACTTCGTGAATAACGACACCTTTTTGATGCCCCGCCGAGTGTCGTTATAAGCGAAGTTGACTGTATATCAAAAAGAATTGAAGAAGAAAAGACACCCGGCTGCCAGAAGCACAGGCAAGCTGCAGCTCATGGTGAGCAATTGCACTGAGACAGGTTTTTAGCGGTCACTGTAAACCGGGAAACCATGGCGATCTGGAAGCGTTCGCAAAATTCGCTGTAGGTGTGAAATCACAAATGACTATGTTAGCAGCCGCGAAACGTAGAACTGTAGTACTAATGGAATTGACTCCAATCGCAAACATATCCGATAGTCTGTGCATGCAAATCGCCAAAAAAACTGGCACCAGTGTTCCTGTGTTACAGTACCCATACTGTGTGGCATTGGAGGTGACAGTAAGTGTACATGTATGTGTGTGTGTGCGGGGGGGGGGGGGGGGGGGGGGGTGACATCGTGAATTAAAGGGGAAGTTAAGGCAAAAATTAAAATTTCACCAGTTGTAGTCTTCGGGGTGCTGAGTCGAATGGTCTTGGTCCGAGAAAGCTGAGACGCTCCCTTCCTACTTGAATCCCAATCGAACTCGCGCACTTCCACCGAAACTGGGTGACTGCGCCCTACTAGATGGGGATTTGTATGCAAAATGTCACTAAAAGCGCCGTTTCGTTCTTATAAAAGCATGGATGACCGCGATTGGCCCATATATTGTAGTCTTTTGGATGCTGAGTCGACTGGTTTTGGTCCGAAAAGGCTGCGATGCAGCGTTCCTCCTTTATTCCCAATCGAACATGCTTGAACAAGCGGTCACGTGCTCCTGCGTACACCAGTCAGCTGGTCACCGTGCCTGCAGGGTACAACTTACTAGCCTGTTTGACCTTTTTTGGGTGCAGTCCTGTCACTCGAGTTGAACTCGAGTTGAACCTTGGTGTGAAAGTTGTCGCCTGCTGGCGTGGTGACCAGGTGATTTGGGCACCCAGGAGCACATGACCACTTGTTCAACCATGTTCGATTGGGAATAAAGGAGGAACGCTGCATCGCAGCCTTTTCGGACCAAAACCAGTCGACTCAGCGTCCAAAAGACTACAACATATGGGCCAATCGCGGTCATCCGTGCTTTTATAAGAACGAAATGGCGCTTTTAGTGACATTTTGCATACAAATCCCCATCTAGTAGGGCGCAGTCACCCAGTTTCGGTGGAAGTGCGTGAGTTCGATTGGGATTCAAGTAGGAAGGGAGCGTCTCAGCTTTCTCGGACCAAGACCATTCGACTCAGCACCCCGAAGACTACAACTGGTGAAATTTTAATCTTTGCCTTAACTTCCCCTTTAATTTCCTAGATCACAATAGTGACATACACATGATATCAAGAGTACATACCAGGACAGCCGAAAGCAGAGAGTCCTGGAGCCATGCACTCTTGCTGATGTCAATTGCATGTACTAGTACTCGGTGATATAGCCAAGGTGTATGTACGGGGTGGTGCGAATATCCTGGTCAAAATTCACTCTTAGCTACATGTATGTACTGCTGCTATTTCTTTGTGTGTCGCTGTATGTAGCAAACAATCTGCAAGAAGGGATATAGGACACTGTCACAGGGTGAGAAAGTGCTCATGTACGTGGTGGATCAGAACATTCCACCGGAATCTGCAGCTGACGTGCACAAGGGACCAGAGGCAACGATCGTAATGGGGTCGGACGGTGGAGATGTTGTTGGCTGTGTTGGCGGCAAGGCTGCAGGTGGTAGCAAGCCGTCGAAAGACAAGCCTGTGATGAAATGCTACAACTGCACGTCCACTGGTCACATCGCCCTGCATTGTCCCAAGCCGCCGACCAGGGTCTGCCACGCATGCGGCGATGAGGGCCACGTACGTGCGGTGTGTCCATACACGTTTGCTGCTGCTGCGCCATGGCAGGGGGCGGCGGCGTATCCTGCTGGTATGGAACAGCATTACCCGCAACCAACTGGCTTTAGCTACGTGGTGCCTGTGATCGATGGCGGTGTGCTCAACGATAGCACAACGGTTACTCAAACTCTGAGTCCACCCTTCCCATCCGTCGGAAATGGCCAGTATTGGAGCATGCCATCACCACATCCACATAATCTGGCGAACAGACAGCAAGGTGTCAAGGTTGGCTATAAGCATACACCTCTCCTTCAAGGTAGCCTGCCCGGTGCAGCCAATCTTAATCAGCATGCGCCGACAATGGCTGAAAAATATATGCCGACAGGTCACCAACAGCAGCAGCAACCTGTGGTGGCAACGTATGCTGCCAATGTACACCCTATAATGCAGCAGCACCATTTGCCGACGGCGTATGTACAGTGGATAGGCCCAGCAGCCCAAGTCTCAACACAGCCAGCAGCACCATTCCACATCTTGGCTCCTGTGGCACCGATGCAGCAGCATTGTGGCCCTAATCCTGTGGAACCGAATGGCGTGTTCGCAGCACATGCCTCCAGCGATGGGGCTGCTGCGGCTGCAGGCGTACATGTGCACGGGGTGACTGTACCATCGTCTACACCGCATAATCAACAGGGTACAGGTCAGCAACCTTTGCAGCAGACTCTGATGCAACAGCCACCATCTGCCATGCCACAGCCCATGGCTCGCACACAGCAGGGACCTCAACACCACCACCACCAGCAGCAACAGCAGGTGTTGAACATGAATGCTGCAGTGCCACCGGCGATGACGCTGATGCCAGCGGCCGAGGTATCGGCGGCCAACTGCAACTGGGTTGGCGGTGTCCCTGTTGCGGCGATGCCTGGATACTCTGGCAGCAGCAGCAGCAGCACCAGCCAAAATCAGACGCCGAGCGATGTCTACATACCAACTGCCCACGACTACATGGCTATGTGACTGATACAGGCACTCACAACACAACCCTTTGCTGCAAAAGCAGCACCACCAGCAGTAGCACAGACTGCACGATTTAATATTGCTCGTATTCACTGAATGTTCAAGCCATTTGCACATGCATACATGTACTAATTTCTCTGTTTCCTTTCTCCTCTTTTATATTGCTTGCACTACCTTTCATGTACTTTCAGCTCAGAGCAGACATGCGGTGCTCGTGGACATTGGCATGCATCTATGCATTGCCGGTGAAGCGCAGTGCCCTGCTGAGCTCGACACTGGCACGCGTGGACTTTGAACCCGACGCATTTGCCCACTGGCACGCTCCACAACTCTCAATGATTTTTGATCACATGCCTAGCCACTCTCTGTGTGAAGTGTTTGCACCGCGCATTTCTCCGAGTCCTTTTTCTTTAGGCTTTACTCGGACGCTTTTTTTTCCTGCAGCAACAGGCCGCATTACTGATAGGGACGTACATGAAATTGCCAGGGAGTGAATTTGTATTCATATTGATGAAATGTAAATTTGGTAATAGACTTCTTGTGCTCTGATTGACTTTAATTAACATGGGCTTCTTGAAATATGGTTTTCATGGGCCAATGCTACTTGCTAGGATGTTGGCTTTTTCAAGGTGCGTCCAGGCCTTGTAGACTAGTTTCACCGCGATAACTTCAATGCCAATCTGTGTGAAGAGGCAGCAAATCCTGTTAAAAATATTGGCTAGAATCATTGCATTTTCTCACCATACTGCCATGCAAAGTCCATCAACACAATGTCATATCACTGGGCCACAACAGATTGATTTATCGACTATTACTTTTAAATGAGATATGAATGTCACAACAAGAGTAGGACGAGCTGAAGTGACCTTGGATTACTTTATTAAAAAAAAAACCACAATGCCAAGCGATCGGGAGACGATGCGAAAACAATAAGATACGAGAGTTCCAGTGGCCCTTGTCAATAAGGTAGCACAATGGCATGCATAGCTTTGTACCTCTCGTACACCGCAGCACTGATAAAGCGCGTTGTGGTGATAATAGTGCTCAAAGCGAAACCGACCTGTCGCATACATTTTCATTGCCTATAGCAACTATTATTATTATAGCAATAGCGATGAGCCTCTTCGCTCCTGCCTCTATCCTATTTCACCTAATAAATTCCTCTCCAGCTGAGCAGTGTCCTCTGATAGTGGATTGTGCTCGCTGTGAATGCGCTTACTGCATCAGCAATGAAGAGGACAGTGGAATGATGACACCATGAATACGTTCTGAGCTGAAATGACATCCCAACGGTATCAAGAGTACATAACCGGGTTATGTACATGTAGAAGTACATGTAGAAGTACATTGCAGGCATTTTGCCTACAAGTAGTTGTAGTGGTACGCTATTTGGAATTCCAGCGCACACGTACATACCGTGGTGGTGCAAGCGTACTCAAAACAGGCAGGATTGCCCAAACCAAGATATGACTCCCCATTGCCAAGTTCTCACCTAAAACCCTAACACTAAGCACACCAGCAAGATAACTCTTTTAACGTCACCGTGAGTATGCGTATGAAATTGAATATAGTTTTTTTAAACTACTTGTCCGACTTTAATAGCATTGAAATGTGGTTGCGACAGCTACTATGTAGTAGCTGGATACAGCACCTGCAACTAGCCGGATGTATCATTCCAAGTAATCCAGTGACGTATGCCAAGAAGCACCAACATACTATGAAGTACAGCGCTGCCCAATGCAATCAGATTGAGTGCGCTAGTGTGGTGGTACCTGGAGTGGAGCCCAGCAGGGCTGTGCACTGGTTCAGAGTGCTAGCTTAGCCATGGGGACAGATTTCACATAGGGTATTACTGAAGAGCAAAGGGAATCTGTGGAGACAACAACAGCCGAAGCAACAAGTTGCTTTTCAGTTTCAAGTTTTCACCCTCCCCCAAATATGCAATAGCCCATGGGGGTTACTTGCTTTGGCGTGATGCACTTCAAGTAAATTCAAATTTCCGTCCAAAAGAAAGCCCGGAAATATGGTCAGATGAAGCTGAAGTCATCCAAGCCAAGGCTGAACAAAAACATTACTTGAAAGTACTCCATACAGTTCTACTTCTGCTACAGTTCCTTCTCAAACAGCTGCACATTATACCTACTTTTCGGGGTTATTGGGAGGAGGGAGGTGAATATTGCCGGAGAAGATAAACCCACGTAGTCAAGGCAGTGTTTTCATGTGGTTATGGGCATTGCAGCGTTGTCATTACAGCAATGCTCACGAACGGTGAAGTGCACTTTAACAAAACAATACTTGACGGCACCTGTCCGGCTGGAGGTCCGACGACGGCGTCGTCAGATGACTACAAGCATGGCACGGTCAGCAATCATATCAGGAGAGCCAAGCATAGTGAGGCATTGCACACCACTGAGCTGCAGAGCTCTGGTGCTGTACTATTTTGTGTTAGCCAGGCACCGCCGTGTTCCTACGCAACCTTCTGTTTCAACTCGTGCCAAAGGAAATCCTTTACCAAGTTGATAAGTATGAGTTTGAGGCCAGCATCCCCGGCCACCATGCTCAACAGCATGGCAGCATCGCTGTAGCTGATTTGCCTCGTTGCATCCAGAAAACGGCGCTGCAGCAGTTGTCTCTGAGCCGGCGACATCTCGCCAAGGACTTGGTGCACAGGCTTGAACTTCGCCGACGTGCACGTAGCGTATATACCACCTATTACTCCACCGATAGCAAAACCAGGCGGGCCCAATACCAAACCACCCGCAGCAGCACACAGGCCCACCTTCAGACCTCCCTTCAGGGATTCGCTCACTGTCACCCTGAGATTCTCCTCAGCAGCGATGATAGAGACAATCTCGTGCACTTCCTCAGGGGACAGCACCATCTTTCCTACTCCTAGCTGCTATGCTCACACTGATAATTATTATAGGCTGGGATAAGTACAGACAGTCGAACTGCAGCTGTCCACAACGTAATCCACAAGGCACAAGGAAAACTACAACAGTTACTGTTCTTGGTCAGCTGGCTCAGTAATGGCATACGAATACTATGGTCACTAAGAAAGTAGAAAGACTGCTATCCTTTATCGCTGATCTATCCCCGGGCACCCTGTCGCAAACCAAAACATTCGCATACAACAAGCTTGCAAGGATTTCCTGAATGAGTTGTTCTGTTACCATCGAAAAAAAGAGAAAAGAAAACAATGACAAGTGCACGTGTTCAGCATTTTGATTTTGACTGAAAAAAAAACAGAGTGCAGTGACAATGATGTATCTCAGTGCTGCTGATCTCACTCGTCAACAGCATGCTGATTGCTGTAGTTATGACAGGAAAGACCATCCTCAGTACGACACTCGACAGATCAGAGAGATTACCAGGCAAAGCATCATATCAAGACTGATTAGCCGAGTAACAGTTGTCAAGAGATAAAACACTTGAAAGAAAAACGCAGGTTTTCAACCCCTATCGTGAACGGACATTATGTCGTGTAAAAAAATCAAGTCTTTACTCATGATAATAGGCACACTCTTGGTAAAATCAAGAATGAATACTGTAGCCCAGGGAGCCTCCGGTACTAAAAATAGGTTTTTAGTTCTCCCTGCTGTAGCCCATTCCAGGACTCTTGACATGTGTAACGTTATACGAGTAGAGGAGCTACTCCCTGGATATGATTATCGACTGCGAAATGACAATAAATAGGTGTACTAAATGTGTGTAGCTACATGATCTGATTATAAAATACAAAGTCATGTACAGTGCTGGCGACTGAAATCCGACCCCCTCGCTGGCGAGGGGGTCGGCGAGGGGGTCGGCGAGGGGGTCAGTGAGGGGGTCGGATTTCAGTTGCCAGCACTGTACGTTTGTTTAGAACACGGAGGCTCCACTTCAGCCAATTCTTATCACGATCAGTCACCACCACCACACAAAGGTCGTTGATGCTGCAAAGTTCTATAAAAAAAAAGATGAGATATCCAAATTTTCGCCCTTCGGGCTTCATCAGGGAGTAAAATAATAAAGTCATGTACATCTAATAACTGTTAATACTAGTAGCGGACTCCCGGTACCAGTTACAGACCCCGGGCTCTGATGGGTACAAGCAGTTGGCAGAAACACAGGCACAAGTGGTAGACCTGCCCCATATAAACGATGACTTTTTACAAGTTCCTGACACATTTCAACCCCCCCCCCCCCCTCTCATTCTTCTCCAGGAGACTTAGCCTCAAAGGTAGGCATACCAGGGCAGGCCGGACATCCGGACAGGGCTCTTTTCAGTTATTTGCAGTCACGGAAGGTTTCTATCCAGGAGCTTGCCCAGCAATCGCAAGGCACACAGCGACTGACATTCTGTATACCATGCCCCAGTCCCCGTTGATACGACTCCCTGATCTACTGTGAAAGCTATTATTCTAACGAGGCGCATATATAACGATTTCCCAAAATTGACTAGTTTACGTGTACCAAAGGTAACGATTTTCACTCATTCTCAACGCTCAATAGGACAGTATTAGGGTATATGTATCGATTTCTGTATAACGATTTCTATTTTAACGACAGATTTCTCCTCGTTAACTCGTTAGAGTTAGCACTTCGTTATATTATGGCTTTTACAGTACCCATGACGAGGGAGCCCTGCACATGGGGTACCGGTATGTGTAGGGCTCCTTGCCCTTGACCCAGGGACTGGATAATTATATTTCACTGCACAATGTCATGTACATGTACTTCTGCACTCCTGTGCTCATCGTGCAATGTTGCACAGTGAAGCTCTCAATCTATAACATGAAGCACATTGTGGATATACCATGATGTACAATCATTACATGTATGTAGACCAGGGAGTAGTAAAGTACCGGTATAATACTTCTTCCAGCCAGCTGGTGTGAAACTTGAAGCCGGAAAGAACTTTGTCATGCTAAGCACAGAGCTAGAGATGTGCCACAGATAATTATTGCAATGACTGAGCCAGGCAATGGCAAGCACACACTTCTCTGGCTACGCAGACACACATCCCTGCATTCATATGCAGGTTAAAATCGTGGACTGTGACTACGGAGTCGTGTGTACTCGTACGACTCCCGATTGTGACGCTTTCCTGAGCAGTGAAGAGGCTCAAGTTCAAAATTGTCATGAGAAGCATAATAATTGCGAGAAACTCTGTGAAATAATTCAAATAGTAGTATGGTTGTTCTTCGTAATCAAATGGTCACAGAGTCTTGGCCCATGCCTGTGCCTGCCCAAGTGCAGCAAGCGACGTAAACAGTGCGCAACCAGCAACTCAGTTACTGTGATCACTGATCAATCATCTGTCAATGGGCGGCATTTACAGTCAGCCACATCAGGAGAAACCGTCCGACCCAGCAGCCAAATATTTCTTGAAGTAACACGTAATAAGCACTTGCGGAACGCTCTGGAGCTGATCCAGTAAGCGACCTCAACCAAGCGTCCAAACAGCCGGTCTGCTACACCTGCTGCTCCCCAAGACAGCAAGTGTAGTGCGATGTGGACAATGCGGAACACGGCTGTGATGTGCTGATCTGCGGGCAACAGCCTTCTAGTTTCAAGTACGTGCATGTACGCACTCCCACAGAACACGACTGCACAATTCCGGGGATGACCGCAGTACTACGCGCCGTCTTCAACTGGTCTAGATGCAGTCCAGGAAAGCATGAGTCTCGTGTCCTTCCAGAGAGCAACGATCGGCATTGGATACCAGGCTGGAAATCACAATAACAATGCCCAAGACCAACTGAGCAAATGGTATTGAGGTAGTTGGCAAACCCGCCACAGAACTGATGGCAAGAAGATGAACAAGCAGTGGCGGACACCATCACAGCTGTAAGACCTTACCAGCAAGGCCACAAATGCATAAAACCTATGCATTTGCATGCATAAATAATAGTTCTGCATAATAGTAGTTACCCATAGATTGAAGGAGATGATGTCAGGGTGCCAGCGCTCTCCTCAACTGAGTTGAGAGTCGTAGTTCACAAAGCAGCGGAACTCGTTGGCCAGGCCCTTCGAGTGACGCGGTTGGAATTGACATTCACGCACCTGTAGTAACCGTGCCGCTGCCTCTCCCATGATCTTTCCTGTATGCACAGACAATGATGCGGTGGATGTGCACAGTGTCAGAATCAACAGTAGCTATGATAGTATGGAAGATAGAGTAGCACGGCTAACAAAAAAAGCTTTACAAAATTAGGACAGGTATACCAAGGCAAAATGCATGCAGAGGCAGACCCCAAACCCAGATTTACATTTTCGCCTTAATTTAACCAAAATCAGGCTTCCAACATTCAACGGGACTCTTCTTCCTGAAGGCAATGTAGTACAGCACATGAACGATGACCACCGGAAGCAGTTTTATAAAACTCATTACTTTCATACACACTCCCTAGTAGTTAGATAGCTAGCGTTCACTTCCAAAAATGGCTCTGTCCTTCTGATCAGTGTTGCGATAATGTAGTGTGTTGGCCATTGTCAGTGCATTCAGACCATTTTCTCAGGATTAAAGTCCATGAGTTACCCATCAAACGGCAAAAGAGAAAGAGGGAGAAATAGGGGAGAGAGAGAGAGAGAGAGAGAGAGACAGAGAGACAGAGAGAGAGAGAGAGAGAGAGAGAGAGAGAGAGAGAGAGAGAGAGAGAGAGAGAGAGAGAGAGAGAGAGAGAGAGAGAGAGAGAGAGAGAGAGAGAGAGAGAGAGAGAGAGAGAGAGCATGGCAGAGGAAAGGCGTATCAAAGACTAACCGGTGCACAAGAGCACTTTTCCACGGCTCAAGTACTTTACAGTTTGACTCGTCTTCTCTAAGCATTCGTCTGACAGGAAGGGAGGATCAGCCAGCACAATATCAAAGGATCCCTGCTCAGCGGCATCTGCGGGCAACTCCAGTGGTTTGTTGTAGTCGTAGAAAACAAAGTCTTCGCCATGCTGCTGGAACCGCTCATCGAATTCCAGTAGGACTGCCCGGCAGCCTTCTGGTTTGATGGATTGCAGCTTGTAGTATGTAGTTGGACAAGATATGCAAGCAATTCTGCAAAACAAGGAATAAAATGAATTTCATTCATCAGGCCAGTACCTGTAGATGTGTGCGTGCATGTGTGTGTGTGTGTGTGTGTGTGTGTGTGTGTGTGTGTGTGTGTGTGTGTGTGTGTGTGTGTGTGTGTGTGCATGTGTGTGTGTGTGCATGTGTGTGTGTGTGTGTGTGTGTGCATGTGTGTGTGTGCATGTGTGTGTGTGCATGTGTGTGTGCGCGTGTGTGTGTGTGTAACGGAGAGAGAATGAAGAGAGGAGATGCCAATGCTGACCTTGGTGTGGCACTTACCGTCCTGAGGGTCCTGCTTCGCGTATCGCTTCCTCGGCTAATGCAGTTGCAGTTTCTTCGTCGTACCAGAACTGGCTAAGTTGCTATTGGCGAACACCATGAACACAGGCACAGGTGAATGGCACATTATTAACAGGGAGAGCAGCAGACCTACATGTAAACCGATACCTTGCACCGTATTCTGCACTGGTAACCAGGGAGCCCTACACATACCGGTATGTGCAGGACTCCCTGCTGGCAACAACGGAACAAGAACATGCTTTGTGGGTCTAACTCACTACCGTAATAACGCATATACAAGCATATGCGCTAGGAAGCGGATTTTTGCTACAAACTCAGTTTTCAAAATGACATATCTTTGACGCGCATGTGCGACCCGAGTTCACTTGTCAATAGTTCTTAAGTTTCAGTCTCTTCATGGTCCTATGAATGTCAGCTTCATGGTTCTGTATGCTGTTTGTGAGAATTTTGACAGTGCTTCGCAAATCATGCGTTTGTAAGTGAGGGTGCGCCTACCGGTATCAGGATAAAGGCAGATGCACCATTACGTAAAGTTGCGGTCACTGAAATCCGACCCGAAATGCAAAACTGACGCCCTGGACCAGTTACGAATATATCACTGGGACTCTTACATGTGTACGCCCAGCCACATTCGTACCACTTCCAGGGCGTCGAGGGCCATGCAAGTTGAGGGCGCCAAATATGCACCTTAGGTCGGACTTCACCGAGCACAACTGTATATGTATGTTTGTTACTACGGTAATATTTGGACAGTTTAGGGAAGTGGACCAAATCTCCAAGGCATCTGGCTGGGCATGGTGACACAGCACCTTTCTACTTTCTAAACCCCAAATAGCCTTAGAGGTTGTGTGATTACATCAGTTAACCCTTTAAGATGCCTTGGCGAAGTTTCGGAAGTGCCGGCACAGCGCTGCACTGTGACTTGCACTGCATACATATAGCGCCTAAAAACGGCTCCGCTATACTTAGCGCCAAGAAGCGGTTTCACTAGATACTTAATGCCCAAACAAGGCCGGTCTAGGCAGCTCGAGGTGGAGTGCTCAGTGCACGAATGTACAGAGCAGTATACACATACAACGGAGGCGAAAGGCTGTGTAGCTGTAACTTCAAGTTTCACGCATTTCAGCGATCATCAGACAGCAGCATTTTACCTGATGATCGCTGAAATGCGTGAAACTTGAAGTTACAGCTACATAGCCTTTCGCCTCTGTTGTGTGTGTACTTAGTGCCCATACGCGGTTCCGCTGACTCACCATGCACCATGAAATCATTCGCATAACCTGTATATCACGGACATCGTCTATATCCAGGACCCATAACCAAGAGTTGGCAACTTTCATCCATGTCCTACGGGCCAGCTGTGTGGCGTGCTGCCTTCCTTCATTACATCATACACCTTCACTTGTGCAGTACAACCACCCCCCCCCCCCCCCCACACGCACTTGCCCATGGTTTGAAACAAACTTTCGCCTTTCAGACAAAACAAGGGCTGTGCACCTAAAGACTTGGGGATCTGCGCCGGGACTTGCACAAATCAAAGGAAAACTGGTGGACATGTATGACAGATTGCAGATATTGAGTTCACGAATACAGGACGTGGTGTAGGCAAGTTATGTAATCATGGTAATGGAGGCAGCATACCGGCCACAAGGCATATTCACAGTCGCATACCCCTGGTTATGGAGTCGTATTTGAGTACAGGGCCGACCATGAATACTCATGTATTTACTACAGACGATGAAACCTGGCTAAGCCAACCGCTCAAGAGACCTTCAAAGCCTGGTCTCTGTTACTGTACCAGGTGGTCTCCGTATCCAGTGTCATTGGACTGGAAATAGCTTCCCTTGGTGTTGCTTGCAGTGGTCTGCTGGGACAGGTGGTCGCCTTGACAGGTTTTAGTGTATTAATTTTTAATACATGACATTGTACATGACTTTGTACCTACATTGTAGAGGTGTTTCAGACGTTTGTGGATGGTTACACCTCCAAGGCATCTCTCAATTATGCATTCCGGAAAATGTACCGCATGCGCGTGTACATTATTTATTAATTATAGATGTTGCGCAAATGATGTCATGGCGGTGATGGCCCCCAGACACATGAATCATTTTAATACCGCCATGCTGTTACTTCAAAGTAGAATCATGTGGCACTTGAAGAAAGGAATTGCAGTTCACTGTTCTTGTTCAACGTGCTCCATTGGAGACTGTATTCAGCTAAATAGTTAGGTGTGGGCCAATAGTTTTGCTCGTAACGATAATGCATAGTACTATTAAAGGTGACATGTGATACATTGCTAGCGTTTTACATACCCAATTCTCAGAAGGCATCTGCTCTGCATTACTCTCAGCTGACGCCTGATTTTCAGTATAAAACTCCTTGAGAGCTTCGAGCGCGTGCGCAGACAGCTGTGGCTCATCGTCCGAGTCAGAAGACATCTCGAATCGAGTGAGAACGGCTGTTGCTGTTTCGACTCGATCCTTGGTTCGCCAAAGGCTAAAGGGATGGAAACGTGCAAAAAGTGTTATTTTGAATAAATATTTGAAGTCTGGTGAATTGAGCTCCCTTGTAAAGATTTCTTATGCCCCTCCGGGTTCGAGCCCCCCGCGCAACTTTTTGCTTCTTTTTCTTCTGCAGCTACCAGGCTACAGTCCATTTCAAAACTATAGACGCGGCGGGTTTTTGAAATATTTCAAATTTGGCTGGAACTTTTTGAGAATAGTTTTCGGAATATTGCTCAGGTCCGCTCCACAATTACTCTCGTATAGTTTCTAAACGATTGGATAACAGACGCCCAATTTGGAAAAATTTATGCACAAAGTGATCACAGATTTTATGTGGTATAGATGCTGCACTGGCATAACGGTTTTTGCCTAGGACCGCGTCTATAGTTTTGAAATGGACTGTAGCAGTTTCGATTTCCTTGAATTGATACCAAGACTCCGCAAGAGTACATGAGTACTCTTACATACTCTTGTTGATACTGATAGTTGGGGGGTTATGTACCCTTTTGGGCAGCATAGCAGCAAGAGTACATAAAGAGTACATAAACTAACTTATGTACACTTGGCACAGTACGAGGTGATTTGTAAAAATTTTACATGGCATATTATTTTACAAATCGAGTAAAATAGCATTGTTGAGGGCGATTGCATTCTTCCCATGAATTGTTTTTGTTAGTTCGACAGACAAATGAGTTGCCATTGTATTGTAGTTTGTAAGCATCAGCAGCGTTTTGCGGAATTGTTTTCTTCCACGGCCTTGTGAGTTATCAATCATGGATCGAAATTCGTGAATTTGTGGTCAATGAGGTAAAATATCCCTCAATGGATACTTGAAGGACGTCCAAGAGCCAGAGAGCATATTCTACGGCAGGTGGAAACCCTAGGCTGGTCCCCGAGGCCGGTATTGAGTCTGCCACACTGTCAAGAGTAGCAGGGCTGAAGAAGAGATTAGCCAAAAAGGTGATGGTCAGAAACTGCAATTTTGACAGTAGGTGTATTTCACTCACCCGTCATGAACTTGAGGTGATTCAAATCCAAGTTCGAAGCTGCTGATGCTTATGGCGTACAGGTAAAATAATTAGCTGGTCAGTAGATCTACGTATGAAACTCAGCTTGCTACCTTAGACGTGCTGGTAGAGATTCATGACGGCAAATAGCAAATGCAGAAATGATGTGGCATGAATGTATGTTGGGTGTTGACGGCGGAGCACCCATTGGGGGTGGTCTGCAGTCTTCTTCCAACACAGAAGTATATGAATCAGGTGAAGGAGTCACTGCACTTGTCTTGGAGAGTATGGAAGCTCCGACACTGTCAGTAGGTGCTGGTTAAGTGCACTGTCGTTCAGATGCACGGGGGCACACTGTCGTGGGACGGCTGGAACGCATCATGGCTGGCTGGTATGTTTGATTAGTGTGGTTGTTTCACACATGACGATGAATAGCAAGTTGAAAGAATGGAGCAGCAAGATAAGGTCTGCGTGCTCATGCTCTACAATGCCGGTAGGCGGTCAAAGATTACCTACCGTTTGAACCGGAGTTGACGACGTACCGTGAGAAACCAATATGTTGAGCAACCTGCAAAACCAATCTGCTTTCTCTGCATGTGACTCGCTTCAGATGTATCTTGATTTACCATTGCAAGCTTATTGACACATTTAGGTCATATTTGTTGATGTTAGACCCTATTTTACTGACTTGTAAAATTTTGTACACACTTTTTCTGGGTGAAAAAATACATGCAAAGCAACCCCACGCTGTGTCTCTCATGTTTGTGTTGTGCTTTCAAGAAGTTCATATATGGATAGAGGACATACAGAGTGACAAAATGAGACCATGCACACTTCAAAACTCGCCAGGGCAACGGAATGAAAGCCTTTTTTACTTTCATGTAAAATTATTACTAATCACCTCGTACTCAGTAGCAGTAATATTCTACAGTCCATTCAGAAAAAGATGGACTTCTAGCTTTTGGCCATAAATGGGTCAAATGTTGAGTTTTTTTAGAATTTTTTTCTGCAATCCCCTATGGAATCCTCTTCCAATTCTGTTTCTGAAGTCTATTTCTCCATAACAAAGCAAGCCGTAGCAAGAATAGGATTTCGGCCAGGTTTTGCCCAAAGCGCACTGAATTGGGAAAAACCATCAAAATCCAGGCCGTTTGACCCCGCCTGCAACAGTGCATTGTGCGGTTCGAACCCCAGTTCAGGTACCCTTTTCCAAATTTCAAATTTCGCAGCACTGCACTGTAAACGATAACATCTTGAAAATCGCCAAATACGGGAGCTCGCCAGAGCCAGGGCCCATCTTTTTGGGAATGGACTGTAGTAACCAGGGAGTCGTAAAAGCCCGGGAGAGGACACGGGATGCGCGCACGCGGACGCGTCGACGATGTTTGCCTCGGCCAGAAAGTGAAGCACGCTAGGCCGGCGCGGCCGGATCTGCTCGATCCACGGCGCTGTGCTCGCCTTCACAGGGCAGGGAGTCCTAAAATACCAATATTTTACAACTCGTTGTTGACACCATTATCCAAAACTGGTGGCGAAGGAAGCATAAACATGATTGTGTGTCTGTCTGTCAGACTCAGTACACAAGGTACAGGGGGTGGGGAGTTGAGTGTGTGTGTGTGTGGGGGGGGGGGGGGGGGGGGAGGCGTGTGTATGTGCACATGTGCTTGTACTTTTGCGTGTGTTTGTACAGTGTTTGTGTGTGTGTGCGCGTGCGTGTGTGCGCATTTTTGTGCACAATTCCGTTATGAAGTACAAATGATAGGTTTACCTTTTGTACACTCGCCAAGACTTCGGTTAGATTCACTGAGAACCTTTCTGGCCAACCTGGAGGCTGAGCCTTCCGTTTCCTAAATGGCTAAAGTCACCGCGTACTCAGTATACGAGTAGAAAAGTGTTGAAATTATCAAGATTTATAAATAACGACCTGCAACCATGTACAATGAAGATAGATAAGTAACACACATTGATTGTTTTTAAAAGAATCCAGGCAATATCATGAATCATGGAACGAGTGCGTAATAATGCTCTATGTTGCGTTTTGACGATGCTGAAGGAAGGGAGCCGTTGCGATTCACTCACAACACACGCACAGAAGTCCACTCGACTGCAATTTAAGTGCAATTTCTGACACAAATTCATAACTCCACGAGTACGAGGAAGCTCAGCGGATCTCCACAAGAACTTTCGCCCATCACCTGCAATGGAATATAGGCTGTATGATACGACCAGCGGCTTACATGGGAAGTGGCTTCATTTCCCACAAATCTCGTTTCATTCACAACCATTTGACTGCAATTCAGTGCAATTTCTGCCACAAATTCAACTCCACGAGTACGAGGAAGCTCAGCGGATCTCAACACGAACGTTCGCCCATCACCTGCAATGGAATATGGGCTGTATGATAGTATTGATACGATCAGCGGCTAACACGGGAAGTGGCGTCATTTTCCACAAATCTCGTTTCATTCACAACCATTTGACTGCAATTCAGTGCAATTTCTGCCACAAATTCAACTCCACGAGTACGAGGAAGCTCAGCGGATCTCAACACGAACGTTCGCCCATCACCTGCAATGGAATATGGGCTGTATGATACGACCAGCGGCTAACACGGGAAGTGGCGTCATTTTCCACAAATCTCATTTCGTTCACCCCAACTCAAATAAAATTGAAGTACAATTAGGGATTTATCTTGCATTTCCAACGCCTCAGAATAAATTAACTTCGATAAACTGAGAGAGAATGAGCGAGGCAGCTGGAAGAATTGAGGATGAAAATAGAGATCAGAAGACTCGACGGAGCAATCGTCTCCGTGCTCTAAGAGAAATCGGAGAATGTCCCAATTAGTATTTCAAGAAGACATCACAATTTTCGAAAATAATAATTTCCTTGCCTCGCAACACCGTTCCCTGGCAGCGTTCCCCGGCAGCGCGAGGCAAAGATGTTTTCTGGGAATGTGTGGCGTGTCCTCTCCCGGGCTTTTACGACTCCCTGTATGTAGTAACTTATCAAGAGCCCACAAACAGTTTATGCACTTTTTTAGTCTTGGTATAAATATCAAATGCTCTGTCCATTCTGATGCATCAGAGCACTTGATCTTTTGACTGAATTGAACGTCTGAAGTGCTTTTGAAGAACTACAAAAAAATTGTAGATGGCCATAACTTTGCACAAAACAAAGATTTATTTGTTCAACATCTTATGCAGTTATAATTATGGCTTCCAATGGCAGCCAAAACGGGAAGATGTGGGTGATAGCCAACCATGGTAAAAGAAGGAGAAGATTATACATGAAAAGGAAACAGCCGAAAAGCTATATATTTTTTATTATGGTGCACGCAGTCATCAGCAAGCCCTCAGATTCAATGATGCAGAAGTCTTCACTGAGTCGGGAAGTAGTTGTAGCCACGCACAGTAGCCCTGGAAGAATGGCGATCTTGTGAATTGCGTTGACTTGGCCTTGGGAAGAGATACTTTGTTTCTGGTTGAGCGGCCTGAAACAAACCAGTTATAAAGCTTTATAATTATGTTCAGGAACTGTTCTGGAATATTCCCAGCTTGTGGTGAATCTTGCATGACCTTTCATTGTACTCAGGTTTCATTCCTTTTATTCTAGTGCATGCTGCTGGCGCCTATGTTACCGCAGGCCAGTCTCAACCTTTGCATTGTCTGAGATTCAAGTAGCGTATCGTTTGATGCATGTGCTGTCTCCATGCTATCTAGTCGTAATAATTATATTCACTCGTCTTTGCATTTGTGCACAGTCCTGTGGATACTCGCAGGCTGCGATTGCGCTCTCGCTTTCGTCATTCTAGAATGTATACTTCCATGCAGGGAGTAGTACAATACATATATAATATATTATGGTATTGTACTACTCCCTGCTTCCATGCCTTTGAAGTTTTTTTAGTTGTTAGTTTTGAACTGTAGGAAGCAGTTTACAGTTTTGTTCTTGCAGTTTTATCTCAGAGGAGAAAGTTCTTGGTCTCATACTGTTACGAGTTGCTGTTGTATCTGGTTGAACGCATGCCGGGGCAACAGAGGGCAGCATGAGTAGCCAGGAACACAACCCAAGAGCATTCGATGAACCAATATACAGAGGCAAATTAGTCGGCGTTGCTCTAACGGACGGTAGTCTGAGCTAATAAGTACAACTCATTGGAGGGAAAGGAAGGTTTCTTCGAGAGCAACATTTTTAGAACCTTCTTATGATGAACATCAATGGAATCGGATAAGACCAAGAGTTAATGTACTCTTGATAAGACCTTAGCTAGACCACACCAGGCTGTGGCAGCATAAGATGTAGGCAGAACGCTACCATGGCTAGCTACTGTGTTAGGGTTTTTTTTATTTTTTTTTTTACGAAAGTCCACTATATTCCCGAATACGTGCGAGAAGTGCAAGTGGTGGCGGGGCCAGGCTGCTCTGCCGACCTCAAAGGTCTCGGCGTCTACGCAGACAAAGCGCGCCATAATGCAGTAAAACCATGAGGAGGGGAGAAAGAGGGGAAATGAATAATAGTGAGGAACGAGGGCAATGGGTAGATGGTCGTGAGAGAAGCAGAGTGAAAGAATTTTAATAACGTCACATTGTGGTAAGAGGGAGGGGGGGGGGGAGGATGCTAATGAGGCGCTGGTCTAAACCGTTTCATAGGGCGTCGGTGGCTGTTTGCCAGTTCAGGGGCAGCAGATACTTGTTGCATTTTTCCTTGAAGGATTGGAGCTGTCTGGGTTGCGGCCATGCTGGTAGAATGGTCGCTGGTAGGTTGTTCCACAAGGGAATAATGCAGTCTGGGTAGGAACCCTGGAGGCTGCTACGAATGCGCACGGGCAGCGTCGACTTGAGCTGTAGCGGGTGGCAGTGGGCAGTCTCCGTTGCTGACCTAGTGGATCGACCACCCACTGGGCGGGGGTTGGCTGGAGGTGGCCTGGGAGGATGGGCTTCAGGGGGCTTGTTGTTGGAAGGTAGGTCAGCTTGAACGTGAACGAAAGTGCAGCAACCAGTCGGCGGTGTTTCAGGCTGGGGAGCCAGGCGCCTGGGCCGATCACCTTCAGTGCCTTGTGCTGGATTTTGTCCAGCCTGGATGTGCCTGACCCCATCCACAGCAGGCAGCAGTATTCCATTGCGGGTATTTATTTTGTCCAACTGCTTCAAAATGCCAAAAATCTTCTAACTACAATAGGGAGTCACGAAGGCTCGAAGCCTATTGCACACGGTTTACATGCTTCCTGACAATATACGGTTCATTATAAACGAAACTGTTCGATACAAAAGGTCAACGTTGTATGGGTTCACGGTTAGGACCACGGGCAATGGTTAGCCATGCAATGTGCTATGCGTGTGTGTTCGCTATACCAGGGTACATCACATGTACAGTGCATCAGCCCATGATCAGGGAGTAAACTGCTAGTACCCATGATACTACTCCATGCTCCTTGATACTAGGGAGGTTTAGTCCCACGTAATCCGTGGGTACTTTACGTGTGTGTACCACGTGATACTCAGTGACCCACGTACAGACTAGACGTTTTCTGATTCACGACATACTGTGTATGGAGGCTCACCCACGTTCCGCCAGAACGTGGGTGAAAATCAGAATGGAGCGCATTTTGCGAGCTGTGAGGGTGCTCAGCTGATGAAGTTTCCGAAGCACGAAATCGAAGTATTCGATGAGCTTCTTAGGCCCGGGTAGCTTCGTTTTTGACCAGGTTTGGGCCTTTCGCTTCATGCTTTTGTTTGTTCCGTGTGACTAAACACAACATTGCAACGTGGATGCCCTTCATCCACTTTACGTGGATCACCCACGTACGCGTTTCCGTTACGTGGGAACTAAACCTCCCTACTACTCAATCAGGGAGACGCACCATGTAGGGAGACGATGCGGCCGATTGGAACGCTAACCATGGCATATTTTCTATGAGGTGCTGCCAGGGCTGGTGCTGTTGTTGTGGACACTGGACTGATCAGTTCTCCCATCTCCCCCCGCCCCCCCCCCCCCCTCCCATACACACACACACACACACACACACACACACACACACACACACACACCACACACACACACACACACACTTGTACTTGTTGCTCACTGCCAAAACTGGTCACGTGGGTCTCCCCGGAAGAGGGGAGAGAGACTCAAAAGGAATCTTGGAAAGATGACTCAACTGGCTATTGAACCGCCCAACGGCCGACACCCCCTGAAATCCCCAAAACTCTGGGTGGACTTGAAAATGATCCCACTTATGGGCTCACCACACCTCAGTAAGTGGGTGAGGACAAGGTGCAGAAAAAGGATTGACGGCATCAGGGTATCCGTCCAGGGATCCAACTGCAGTTACCCCTGCCCCCAGTGAAGGTAATACTTGCTACTAGTGTGGGTGGCTAAATCAGAGTGGATCTGATCTAAGCGTCACTAGCATCATTGATTACACAAGAGTTTGTGTAATCAATGATGCTAGTGACACACACACACACACACACACACACACACACACACACACACACCACACATGCAAATATACACGCATATGCTACAATAGTACTTTGAAGTACATACCCACCCACATGGAGCAACGGTTATTCGTCTCGAAAATTATCTTTTGTGAAAAGCTGAGAATGACGATGAATACTGAAGTCACGTGAAGCGGTCGTGTCGTTAACACACTGCTTCAAGTGCTGAGCCCGGCCGACGACTGTTAGAAGCTAATGTGCAGCTTGGCCACCGTACTGAAACATTGCATTAGAGAGGTTCCGGAGTACGATTTTTCGTGCCCCTATTGTGTCGGTCAACACTCACCGTGGCGTTGTGCTTGAGGCAGACACAACCAAGGTCACAGTGCTTGTTGATCGTACTCATTCTACGCTAGCACACACAGTCTCCATCACCAAGGGCAAAGGCAAGGGCTGGAGTGAGGTGATCACGACTAGACTCGTGACTGTCACATCATCTGTATAGTTACTCATGGCGATGAAGTAACACTTCCGCATTGATACAGTAGCTAGCTGAGGACTGTTCGGATCAGGATTCGTGTCTTTCACAACAGAATTGTACAGGAGTTGAATAAGATTTGTGAGTCAAATTAGAAGTCTACACCAGAAGCAGCATGTTCGGCCAGGATTTCTTTTCCCTTCTCCTCCTGGATAAAGTCAGCGGGCTGCTGCGCAGTATGCCACGTTCTCAGCAGTTGCTCATACGGCAGTGGAACAACACCAGTGTATGGCTGCTTGGTCATTTTCAGCAATGGACTGGGCTGTGTAGCAGCAGCAGCAGAAACACACAGACATACACACACACACACACACACACACACACGCACACACGCATGCACAGGGAACACAGAGAAACACATACTCGATTGATGCGGAGACAACACATCCTCGCTACTCATCACATGGCTTTAATCAGGGGCCAATATCTTACCTCACAAGTAAATTCTACGGTTCAATGCACTGAATACATCACGTTCAGTGGTGCTCAATGAAATTGAAATTCAATCAGGTGGCCGACTAGACTAGGTAATGCGGAGCCCCAGACCTGTGAACACTGGGCTGTGCAACGGGTAAGACCGGATTTCCTTGAGCGGCACTGTACATGCAACCCAAATACAAGCCATGGTATTACGTTGACGAGCAAGGGAAATACGGGCGACGGTGGTGTTCATGAGCAAGGCAAACGATTGGACATGTACAGTCACTACTGCACAAGCAGAAATATTCGTCTGGAATTTAATTTCGTCTTTTTCGTCCAAGGAGGTTTTGGACTAAATTAAATGCCGAACGAATGTCGATTTAGAAGAGAAAAGGACATATGGATACGAGTAACTCTCCACCACTGTAACATGATACTATATACAGTTACTCTTAACTCGTATCCATATGTCCTTTTCTCTTCTACATTTATTTATGGCTCAACATCCGAGTTTCGAATGTCGATTTGTCCAGCTTTTCAATACACTCTTATGATCCATGGACGAAATTTACAGCCAGACGAACTCCCTTTCTTTGGAGTTGGACGAAATTATTGACCAACGAAATTTTCTGCCTGTACAGTATTTAAAGTGGTGCATGGTAGGTCAAACATCACGTGTACTTCAAAATATATACACGTGTACATACTGAGTGTACTGTCAGTCTAGCTACCTGCACAACCTGCAGCTATTCTGAGTACAGGTGGCTAGCAGCAACCTACCTTGTTGACACTGGCTTTCGGTGATGCCACTACGACAGGTCTGTAGCCAAATTCACGTCGCATCTCCACGATGTGCTTACCAGTCTGTTCAGCAAACTCTTCATGGTTCAACTGGGTAGAAAAGCAACATTCAACACAGAACATTACGGCATCAGCCAAATATCTGTGTGTGTGTGTGTGTGTGTGTGTGTGTGTGTGTGTGTGTGTGTGTGTGTGCGTGTGTGTCTCTGGGTCTCTCCTCTCTCTCTCTCTCTCTCTCTCTCTCTCTCTCTGTCTCTCTCTCTCTCTCTCTCTCTCTCTCTCTCTCTCTCTCTCTCTCTCTCTCTCTCTCTCTCTCTCCACACCCACACCCACGCACACACACACACACACCCACGCACACACACACCCACGCACACCCACACCCACACACACACACACCCACACACAAAACCTACACCGTAACATACCGTAAAGTCGCGGATAAAAGCCGGGCTTATAAGCATATAAGCCGCTTTCTGCATCAGGCTTTAATGCAAACCAGGCTTGTATGCAAACCATGCTTATATGCACCAATGATAATTTGCCAGGCTTGTATGCCAGGCTTCTACGCGCGACACGCGTAGATCTACCACTGACTACCGGTATGGCGGCAGTTTTACTATGCACCGTACATAGCGCATGCACTCTTGACCTACCCGATCCGGGCTAGCATAGAAGCCAGGCTTCTACGCGCGACAAGCTTATATGCATTTGACCCGTTTGATTTTCAGGCTTCTATCCGCGATGTGCTTGTATGCAAACCCGGCTTTTATCCGCGACTTTACGGTAGGTCTCTCACCTGGCCAGTCAAAGCTTTGAGAGTACAGCCAACTACAGAGATAGGACTGGCCGAGCCGCGGACCTTGGCATGGACATCCTTGACTCCAGCCAGACGGCACAGTGCCCGCGCTACGCGATGACAGTGTACACCATAGCCTGTCAGGGAACAGAGCATAGCACAATAACAACACCAGTACACATGTAAGGAATACCAGCACGGGTACAATCATGTAGCCATGCTTACTTTGTTGCCTCCTCTCCTTCCCCCCCCCCCCCCCCAACCCCTTTATAATTATTATATGCAAACGCTTTCTACCAGCATCGATGGGCCACACGCTGGTTGTCTCACAGATTAGGAAAGCATGGAATATATAATCGAGAGCATGATCGAGCATCGGTGAATCCTCCGGAATTAAAATAGAGAATCGGATCAATACCAAGCGTGATGAACCCGTAGACAAAACCGCAATCGCTTCATCCGCACTCGCCTCTACTAGCACATGACGGCACACCAGACACGAGCAAAGCCGCAGCACCAGCATCTCTCGGATCTCTACCCCCTGTACTAACCTGTTTCCTTGCGGTGGAAGAACATACGAGTACGTCCTCTCCTCACGTCCATATTACGGTAAACTGAGAACAAACAAAATCAACACCAGCGAAATAGATTGGAAAGGATACGACAAGGTCGAGGAATATGCCAATGTAAGCATGTATGGCCATGCAAACATGCAGGGACCAACTCCGTGCTGATACAATTTACATACTCAAACCTCAGTACAGCGTAGCAGAATTTGGGACAAGGCGTGGCAAAGTAACCAATAGTACCAGTTCACAACGAATCACGGGGTCAGACGTGAACTTGACACTAGTGAAGACAGGGAAGGTGCCAAGCCCGGTGCACTGTACTCACTGGTGTGGTTGTCACAAAGTTCAACATGATAGAGCCGAGTGATTGCCTTGTTGCGTGCCTAACACAGAGCCATTGCGGAGAGAAATAGAGACAAAGATCATATCGTCCCATTCCACACCAAGCAAACTCAGCTTGGTCCAAGAGCGCCGGTCACTGAAACAACCAGTAGCCAGTAAGGGAGGGGTAACAGATTAGTTCATGTTCATTTCGACCCCGACTACAAACGGAGTACCCACATGGCATTCAAGGCCTGGTGAAACCTGGGTTCACTACAATAAGACGTCTGTCTTTAGAGATTTGGCCATGTCAGGTCGCATACCCTGTTACTACATGTACGTCTGTTTTTGCACTGTAAATCGCTGTATAACGTAAAGACTGTATAACATATGTATTGGAGAAACCGTCAGTGCAGACAAGTTTTCTGTGCACTGCAGGGTTGTCGATGAATACAAGTAGATGAATACAAGTAGATGAGTACAAGTTTGATTCAAATGTACTAAACAGAAATTACAGAGCACTACAATATTATGATGGTGATGTACTCACTTTCCTGGCAGCTTTACGCATGTCACTGGCAGTGGCAGTTTCATAACCTACATGGCCACGACAGCAGTAACAACAACGACAACAACAACAGCAACAACAACAACAACAACTCTTATTGGCGATGGTGCGTGAGAATAAAGAATTCAAAAACAAACAAACAACAACAACAACAACAACAACAACGATGTTGACATCAACAACAGCAGCAGCAGCAGCAATACACACACACACACACACACACACACACACACACACACACACACACACACACACACACACACACACACACACACACACACACACACACACACACACACACACACACTAACAGAGAAGCAAATGACTTCAAATAGAGAACAATCGGAACGTGCTGAAGGGCCAGCCGGGTCTTCCGCCTACCACACAGCCAGGCGTCAGCAAAGGTGTCGCAAGCTAGACAGGTCAGCGCGAGGCAAGAGCGGTCCGTATCAGGCCCGCTTACAGCCAAACACAGTCGGTAAGTACTGCACATATCTCTGAGTATCAGTTCACATGCTACGGTAGTAACGCCAATCGATACATGTAGTACATGTATATGCAATGCATTTAAAAAAACTTAAAAGCTCTCCATGTGGGGGAGAGGGGAAGAGGTGGATGCTAGAGAGTGCCAACAAATTCAGCTGAACCACTCAGTTGCGGAAAATCCAGCCACCAGACACATGCCACCAGACACATCTGTCTTGCTTATGGTGATTTACAATTGTACACTATTCAGCCAGTGTGGCCTACGTGAAAGTTAGGTCTATACTGATGCCAAAGCGAAACAGGCGTATAATATATGCCATGACCGCATAATGAATCGGATCAAAAACGTGTTGCCTGAACAGTTTTGAAAGAAAAGTGCACACACGCTGACTCACCAACTAGTCCATTTCCATTGCCAACGCCCACTACGGCACGGGCATTGAGTTTACGACCAGTAGGACGAGAGTGAGATACTTTTCTAATCTGCAGTACCAAGTAGAAGCAAGGAGAACAGCATAACGGCAAGAGTCAGAATATTCGGTCTCCGGCAACAGAGCCAACAGCAGCTGCAGCTACACTACATAGCGCTTCAGCAGCCCAAACATCACCAGGGATACCAGCGCACAGTGACGCTCTGTTTCCAGCGCGACAAACACCTCGCAAACACCAGACAGCAGTGTGAGTCAGCGCCACCCAATGGAGGTGCACAACTAGCGGTGCTTCCTTGCAGGTTTGCCGAGTTGAAGACTCGATGGACTTCTTATGTGCTCTGAATGGCAGCCGCGGGTCAGTCAAGTGTCAAGTCAAGACGGCAGAAAATGCGCGAGCTCCCGCGTAGGAAGCAACACACACCTTCTCTGCTATTGCCGAAGTCGCCACTGCTATTAAATTTTCCTAAATCTGAACATGCTGAACAAATTTAGCCTTCGGAATTTATGGAGTGTCGTAACTCTGTCCCAAAATTTCGGATCCCAATGAGTTTGTTCAAATGAACAGCTAAGGATTCTGTCATGCTTCAAGAAGTGATCTGGGTGAAATTTGAAATCGGCCCAGCATGCACTGCACACGTGGATAGCTCCAGAATATCTGACTAACTTGACAGCAGCTGTGCAGGAGGTGCAGGACCTGGTCATGTTTACAACAGAGGGATACTGACATGCCAGAAAGCTGGCTGCAAAGCACATAATTATACCAGTCAGCTCCACTAGACCGACCCCCAGCAGACATCACAGGACAGATAGACAGATAGTGTGTTGGGTCAAAATAATAACGGCCTGATCAATCATCACCGTGCTGCGTGCTGAACCCAGCTGCCAAATCTAAACAGATTAAAAAAAAACCCAATTGCAAGCACACTACTTACATCGAGCAGCACAGACTGGAAGTCCTGAGCAACATCCACACCTGCAAACACACACACACACACACACACACACACACACACACACACACACACACACACACACACACACACACACACACACACACACACACACACACACACACACACACACACACACACACACACACACACACACACACACACACACACACACACACACACACACACACACACACACACACACACACACACACACACACACACACACACACACACACACACACACACACACACACACACACACACACACACACACACACACACACACACACACACACACACACACACACACACACACACACACACACACACACACACACACACACACACACACACACACACACACACACACACACACACACACACACACACACACACACACACACACACACACACACACACACACACACACACACACACACAGACTGCATAGGTCAGACTGCAACACTGTATTGACAAGCCAAACTCAGCCTGCGCACATAGCTGCATGATTCGAGCAAAAGCAACAAAGCGATGTCGGCCATTCCGCACACGAACCTAGCAAAGAAAACCCAAGAGCGTGTTCAAAACGTCATACACCAACACTCCACAAGCACTTAGGTGAACACAGAAGTTTTCTGTGAGCAAACAGTCTAAGACAGCAAGCAATAGAGAGCATCCTTCACCAGCATGATTGGTTTACGTGAGGAGAGGGCAAGTCACATGTGTGTATGTGCCGAGGGTCAAGCCATGCAGCAAGTTTCCAGGAATACCATCCACACAGCCAGTACCGTAAAAGTCCGCAAATAAGTGCATACATGTACTTAGTTTCAAATTTAGTGGTCACACCCGTACTAATTTCGGACCTGACTTGTGTGTAGTGGAGACGTCATTTTTCATGTCGATGTACCGGTACATGCAAAGCGCTGCATGTGCGAACCGTGCCGGTATTTGTTTCGGGCAGTATGTTTATCGGGCTGAACTTGACTTCAACACAGTCAAAAGGATGAGGGGGGGGGGGGGGGGGGGGTATTTATTTAGGGCAGGTACTTATTTACGGACTTTTACGGTCCTGTGGCTGCTGTAGGCGCAGGGTGAAATCCCACCATTCAGAATCATAATGTGTGCATGAACTACACATACAGTCCGGTGACGCAATAGGATCTGGTTCCGCGCCTGCCAGCTATGCAGCCTGGGCCGGATATCACCTTAGCAGCCAACTGTGCTAAGTACTCACTGATGTGCTTGTTCTCCGGTGGGCCAAGGGTTTGTCCAGCACGGATGCCGCCAGTGAAACCAGCACCTTTCTTCATCACCACCACTTCCTTGACTGGCTCGATGGCCTTGGAGCCCGGGTAGTAGGTGGGGACGCGCTTCTCAATGATTTTAGGATGTCTCGTGGTGGGCATGTAGTAGGTTCCAAAGCGGTTCAGCCATTTATAGCGCCGCAGGTCTTCTGGATTCTCAATGTCAATCATCACAACTGCAGTAGAAAGGAGTAAAGGAAACATAGGCACTTTCCAAGAAACTCGGAGTAGCAAGAATGCCCATCACCCTTAGAGTGGATCATTTCTTTTTTTCTTTAAAACATACAGAGCCTAGAGGGGATGGTGCCTTTAATAGACACAAAATTTCCTTGCTGCATTTAATAGTAATTTGACTAAAAAACTTTGAAACAGTGAGACTACGATACGTATTCTTCTGAAGCAAATGTTCATATCCTAGCGATAACCAGAAAAGTGTAATGTTTCGAGTAGACTCCAAACTGCAGAGCTTTGGAGCTACCTCTCTAACACCACAATACATGTATCAGGTTTCTAGCCAGGTCAAAATAGTGGGGGAGCAGGGGAAACGGTTACCGCGTAACGCAGTTTCCATTTTCCAAAATTGTCTTGCCATGCAAAATGCAACGTACAGGGGCGCACCCCAGACAGTATGTGTCTTTATGAACCCTCTACTAGTGACAATCGACTTCATTTTTCGTTGAATGGCATGAAAAAAACACAAAATCGATAAATTAGTAGGGGGCATTTTTTCACAGGGGGGGGGGCTCAATCAGAGTGGGGCTGTGTTTACATGAGAAATTTCAACCCGGGTCGAGTTCAGCCCGGGTTGAAAGTCTGTACGATAGACAAAATAGGTGAGCGACAGTTGACCCGGGTCAAATACTGATATGCCGCCAAAAGTCCACTTCTACAGTTCCGTATAGTCACGTGAATCCTTTCGCGCGAAATTTGCATGTACAGTGCTGTTCAAACCTGGCCGGAGATACGCACGGAAGTACGTTAGTACGATTTTCTTGACCCGGGTTGATTTCAACCCTCCCCTTGGGGGGAGGGTTGAAATCAACCCGGGGCGAAATTTCAACCCGGGTCAAGCGCAATGCGTCATGTAAACGCGCCATTCATTTTGTGTACATGGCGGGTTGAAACGCCTCATGTAAACACAGCCTAGGAGGGCGTTGCCCCTCCCCCTCCCCAACCCCCCTTTGGCTAGAACCCTGCAACATGATATGAAAAATTAGGGAGCTTCAAGGCGACGGTCCAATATGAAAGAATGGCTCTGTTTGACCAAGTCAGGCCTCAGAACAAACTTTGACATGTCAACCTCCTTCCACAAAACGTATTTCGAGTGAATGATCCATACCGGTGAGTCTTTGGCTCAACAGTCTGGTGCTGACAAGCTGTTCAGAAAGTCCCCCCCCCCCCCACCACCCTGTGTGTGTGTGTGTGCACATGTGTGTGCATGTACTTCCTCCGCGTCATCGAAATTGTCGCAATTTGACTAGTGACTTGTCACTTGTTACTGACAACTCCATAAGCCAAGCCATTCAAAACTTATTACACAGTATGATAGTCTGAAGACTAGAGTAACGTTCCAGGACAGTTGGACTGAGAGTTTTCATGCAGAGATGAAGTTCTCGTCGTCGCTGATGTCAATGGACGCAATAATATCGTTCCGAAATATTTCAAGGAAGGTTGAAAGTTGGTCGCGCCTCATCTCAAACGTTTTGACTTTCTCCACAGGACAAGAGCTGCTATGCTTGTTGTCTGCTAGCTCTGGATGATTTCTACTTCACCACCAACGAAGCCTAGTAAGAATACACGATCGTTGCGAGGTCGGTTGATTACCGTCGGCGGAATCACCTCGATCTTGAAATGAACTTTTTTAGCCGTGGCATGCCCATTTATTTTAGCTGTGTGGTCACAGCTCATGCAGGTAAGTGTACTATCACGTCCAGCGCGCCCTCTTTTTCAGCATCACTGCCCGGCCCTGATTCACTGGTATACCATGGTTCGGCACCTGCGTGTGCATCACTACAGCACTACGTGTAGAGTCTACACGGCTCTTGCAGGTACAATCATGTACTGAGTGTCTCGGCCAGAGCGACAAATTTTATCGCTGTTGCAGGCATTTAGTTTGCTGACCCCTCGATGTTTCTCCAAGCGCTGCCACTTGTTCCACGAAGTCATTCTCACCCCAGCTAAGGTAAAACAGTGATGAGGCTTGAGTGAATGGCCATAAGCACGAGAAATGTGCAGGCTGCAACGCCTGACTGATCTCAGCGAGTCGAAATTACCATCGCAGCGACATCAGCGAAGAAATTGCCTCTAGTTCAAAAATTCCAGCTTCCAATAACAGAAAACAGAACTTTGCCGTCACCCTATACTGATGACCATCGCCTATGTCCGATTCCTTGCCTCTGGTACGAGTGCTGGTGAGTAAATACCTCGTTTTATATCAAAAGTCAAACTGCGACAATTTCGATGACGCGGAGGAAGTATATGTGAGCATATGGACGCATGCGTTCTCCTAATCATGAGCGGCAGCACTAACTGGACAAGGAAAGGAGGCATATCTTGCAGCAGCAGGACAATTTGTCCACGCCCTCTAAAATTTACAGGCCTCCTTCTTACTGTCTTTCTCTTCTTTCGGTTCAATCCTCTTGTTAGTAGCCTCGAACTCCTCGTCCGAGAGCTCCTTCGGATACCTCATGACGCTTTCTGGTACGTTGATTCCTGGCAGGGCATATTTGCCTAGTAAAACAAAAGACAGAGAGAGAGAGAGCGCATAACACAATCACAACATAAGTTACAATACAATGAGTTTCTGCGCGGGACAATGAGATCCTGAGACAGGAGTGCACGCATTGCACGTGCAAGGTGCAAGTGTGAATAGAACAGCTGGCACATGCATGTGGGCATCTGCTTATGTACAGGCTCTCATAAACACAAAAGAAACATCATTTTTAAGCGTACGGTGAATACCAACATGATGTTCTCGTGCGTGACGCAAATTACTCGACTGCAATGTTTCACATGTAATAGAAATGACTCACTTAGCTTGGCAGCCTTGGTGTCATGGAAAACAAGAAGATCTCGCTCCCGCATACTGGCAGCACCTTTGCCCGCAGCAGCATTCTTGAACGAGTTGTAGCCTCCCTTTGCTGAGAAGAACAGCTCCTCCAGGGTGTCTGTACAGCAGCAACGGCAGCCAGACAGGCAATACAGGCAATGCAGCGTCAGTGCAGGGCATTGGCAGGGCACCCGTGTTATGCCTGCACCCACACCCAAGCGTAAATTGCGAAAGATGCGACTAACATACTTGCCAACCATTGCAAACCTGAGATTGGGACAATGAGCTCCCTACATGGCGTAGGTGTGAACATGTATAAAATGTAGCCGAGGAATAGGATAAGTGCAGTTTTTGGGTACCTAGTACAGTACCACATTGCGAAATGCAGCAGCAGCAGCCCATCGCACGCTGCCAATTTCGGTTGTAGAGCGGGTCATTGTACTTCCACCTCGATATCGGGGCGGTCCCGGCCAAATCGGGACGGTTGGCAGGTATGAGCTAAGCATGTACAGTCGTCCCTCTTTAATCCAGCACTTTATAAACCAGCACCCTCTATAAACCAGCACAATTTTCAGTAGCCAAAATGTCCTTTTCATGCACATTGCAGAAATAGATCAGATTTGTTAATCCAGCACCCTCCCTAATCCAGCAGAATTTCCGTGGCACAAATGGTAGCGGATTATAGACTTAGAGGGACCACTGTCCATGTATCTCTTATCCATACCAGGCTATTGTCATCTGCCTAGTACTGCACTCTTATCCGTACCAGGCTATTGTGATCTACCTAATACTGCACATAACCAAACGTGTACACTGGCCAATGAAATCAGTTGTGGTGTAAGTGAGGCTTCCCAGCACTTTGTTGCCTGCTTCTCGCTCCTAGAGAAAGTTCTCCGATTTCTTGGCACAGTAGCACTGCTGTTTCTTTGCGCGCTTTGTGTTTAATGTTATTGTCCCCTTGTTCGTGCAATGTTGTCTCTGTTGTGGCGAATAAAAACAACTTGCCCTAACTCTTCATCGTGTGTCACGGGCGTGCATGCGGATTAAACCAGAGCAATTGCCAAGTGACAGCCGACTGCTCACTGTCGAACGTCGACCCAGCATTTCCCACGCCGGGGTCACGTATACACAATGCAGAGAATGTACACTGGATAGACAGTGTCACAATACCCAAAGCAGTACAGTTCTCCTCTATCACTGGCTAGCTGACCGGTCAGTCCCTTGCAATTACCTGAAGGCACCTGGCCGGGTGCAGACTCATGGCTGGTGACTGAGCGCGGCGCAAGCGCATACATCGACTTGTGCAGAATTTAGCATTTCATGATCTCCAAATAATTTGAATTTTTGAATCAACATGGTTTCCTATCAGAATATCCGAGTATGTGCACTACTCTCAGGACTGAAGAAGTATTCAAGACGCATTAGAGAGGTTTAGTCCCACGCAATCCGTGTGTGTACCACGTGATACTCAGTGACCCACGTACGTTTTCTGATTCCCGGCATACCGTGGGTGAACATCCGAACGGAGGGCATTGTGCAAGCTGTGAGGGTGCTCAGTTGAAGAAGCTTCCGAAGCACGAAATCAAAATAATCGATGAGCTTCGGAGCTTCGTCTTTGACCAAGTTTGGGCCTTTCGCTTCCTGCTTTTGTTTGTTCCGTGAGACTAATTACAACATTGCGAACGTGGGTCCATTGCATGAACTTTATGTGTATCACCCACGTCCCCGTATCCGTTACGTGGGACTAAACTTCCCTATTGTTAACTTGTACCCTCAAAATAAGCCTGTAGACAGGCCTTTTTCGCCACAGCAAGAGTGTTGGACACAAATAATGGTTTCACCCTCACTTCCTGCCTTGTATTGGCTATTTCCATTATGTGCCATGAAGTGCAGACAGTAAATAAATAAATATGTTCAATTGTCCAGGCACGACTCGAAACAGGAGCTGTGCTGGGCTTCAGCATTCACCCTGTTCTCTCCTGTAACTCTGATGGAATCACGGGACATGTTTGTTAGTTGAAAACCAGACGTGGATTGTGTGACCAGGACATACTCAATGAATTTGTTTCAATTGTGATTTTTGTACCAATTTATTGTAAAAATCATGGGCCAATTCGTCACTGACACGTAAGGGGGAAAACGAGGAGCTGGACTTACAGTTCATAAGCCAGCTGTTCTTCTGTCCATGTCTTACAAGAACACCTCCTGTAAAACAAACGTATCAACACCCAACCAGTACGATCCTCAGCTTGAGACATAACGCTCTTGGCCAAAAAGAAGAAAAAAATTCTATAAGTACCTCTAGGTGATGGTGTCCTCACGTCCGAAGTGGATATCAAGCAGGACAACTGCCGACGACTAGTAAATGATGGAATGGACACACATTGCCGTCCAGACCAGACAAGAGCCATGGCTGGCAACTGACACAGAGAACCACCCTACAAGAAAGCCATTACATGAAACAAATATTATTGTTCTTGGACATGTGTGTCATTCGTGTGCCGTCTTCCTACTCGAAATTTTGAGTTCAGACAATTGATGACGTCACGTGAGGTAGCGAATCGGCATCACATGCATGTTTTCACTATGGACGGTGGTTCATAACCCCAACAAGGCCAAGCCAAGCAGCAAGGAAGGAGGTTATGAATTATGAACTCTTGACGGTTCTGTGTTGTGCATGAAGAACTACTCACTTCGGAAATCACATCATGGAATCCAGGAGTAAAATCTCCCACCTTTTGCTTAGCTGCTATCAGCGATAATCATGAGAATCGCCCTCACAAAGAAGCGCATGGCTTATAAGTGAACCTAAATGCACTAGCAACTCAAGCGCATGCGCCTATGTGCAGGGGCCGGAGGCTGCTTCCGCGGAGCGCCCGAAGGGCCATGTTTAAGGGGGTCTGGGGGTCCTCCCCACTTTTTTTTGGAATTTAGACGGCAAATCCTGCACTCTGGGCGACTGTACGAAATCATACATCGAAACTTTTTCTCCCCGGTTTTGGACGTTCCACGTGGACCGACTTTTTGGGAAGTTGGTACAGCCATGGCCGTACCGGCCGTACCAGTGGCGCCGGCCCTGAATTGTGTGAGACACACGACCCGCAAATAACGCAAAAACTCACTCATATGCGAATGGGCCTTTATGTGCGTCACTACGGTAATGAACAAGAGTCATCCATTCTGGTATGTCAGTATTCAAGGTACATGATTGTATTCTAATCTACGAGTCCTGCAACATTTCCAACAGGTCTGCCATTCCCCCCCCCCCCCCCCCCCCTTTACCAGAGAATCAGGCAGTATCAAGGCCACAGGTTGTCTTGATGAGATGATAGCAAGAGAGCAAAACTCCTTCACTCCGACTGACCTACACGGTGCGGCTATGTAGTGCCAGCAGGTACGGTACACTGCATGTGCCCTCGATACCAGGGAGCCATGAAAAAAAGGCTTCTCAAGGCTCCCTGCTTGATAAAACGCAGATGAAGATTTCAATGATGACCACTAGCAAAAGTACACAACCATTATGTAGTCTTGTTACTTGCACACGACAAGTCAAGCAGATCAGCAGAGTGCATGAGCAAATCAACAACATGCATATCACCTGGCCTCACATACCTCATTGACCATGCACAGGAGTTAGGATAGCATGAGGATACAATTACAGGTCTATGTACAAAACGAGACTTCCGAAGTACAGACATTGACAAAGCCAAGCGTCAAAATTGACTCAAAAAGAAACACAAAAAAAGGATTTCATGAGTTGGATTTTTTAATCTGGTGAATTTGAAAGAGATGGGTAGAGAAAGAGTAGGAGAGGAGAGGATTCATGAAAGCTGGGTGTGTGTGTATATATAAGGACGCATGTAGCCTCAACCCCGGTGCAGAGTGCGAGGAAAACTCAAACACTAGCCTGTTGGCTGCGAGGCCATCCGCCGCAGTAGCACATGCACCCGGTGTCCTCAAGTGGCGGAAAGAGCGTGAGCGAGGCCAGCCGTACGTCTGCGCTACTTGCACACGCACGCACACAAACAACAACGACCAGTTTGGATACGTTCACAGAAGCCATGTATACATAGTCCGCAGCGGCGAACCAGCAGGAAACACAGCGGAGGAGTGAGTCTCACTTTGGCTTAGTGTTAGGCTTTACCTCGTTGTCTGCTACTTTTCGGATGAATATCGAATCACCCGGGTGGCTGTAGCAGAGGCAAGGAAGACAACACAGAGAATCGCACACAAGCAGGAAATTATTATTATTATTATTCAAAGGATCTGTCGGGGAAGTGTTTTATGTCGGGGAAGTGTTCTAGGTTCAGCCTGGTCCCATAGCTCAGTGGTAAGAGCATTGCTCATGACAAGCAGGGTCCCAGGTTCGAGTCCTGGTGGGTCTGGCGTTTTTTCTCTTTTCAGGCTGTTCACTTCCCCGACAGATCCTTTGAATTTGAAGTTCTCCCAATCCTTTCCAAATTATTATTATTATTATTTTCACTAGTTTGAGGGAAAGAGACAATTATTATTATTATTATTTATTAAGAAAGGGTTTGCTCCCCACACCGGAGCTCGCGCTATTCCGCCGACTTTACTTGACACTTGACTGACTCACGACTGCCATCCAGAGCACACGAGAAGTCCATCGAACCTTCGACTCGGCAAACCTGCAAGAAAGCACCACTCCCTGCTCAATACATATATTGTATTGAGCAGGGAGTGGTGCTTTCTTGCAGGTTTGCCGAGTCGAAGGTTCGATGGACTTCTCGTGTGCTCTGGATGGCAGTCGTGAGTCAGTCAAGTGTCAAGTAAAGTCGGCGGAATAGCGCGAGCTCCGGTGTGGGGAGCAAACCCTTTCTTACAAATTATCGCCGAAGTCGCAACCACTACTTCGTAATATTTATTCATATTTTAATAGGGCAGTCCCCACAGACTCAAGGTCTTCTTACGAATATCAATGAGAGCAGTGTAACTGGCCTAGTATTGATGTGCCAAATTAATAAACACGAGTGTCGGATACGAAAAGAATGCCACAACAAAGGTACACGGACATGTGCAACACTGTATAGTAATCTTGTTGCGGTGCGGATAGATGGTGATAATAATGCGTTATCTGGAACGTTCACCGGTACCCTTCTTCAACAGTTTCCTGATTAATCAAAGAACACCAACAAGATCAGTCCTATCTTTCTTTCACCTAGACCAGTTCACTGTGAGGGAGAGTACAAAATAGAAACTGACACAGAGAGACTGACAGAGAGAGAGAGAGAGAGAGAGAGAGAGAGAGAGAGAGAGAGAGAGAGAGAGAGAGAGAGAGAGAGAGAGAGAGAGAGACTCTAGAGGGAGAAATAAGGAGACACAGTGCTGTGCTGTACTCACCTCTTTTCACCATCCTCACGCATGTATGATGATGCAATGGCTAGCAGAGAGCCATCGTTACTGAACGACAGAGCACTGATGCTGGAAGGGTACTTGTGGAACTGGCAGAGGCGCTTCTTGTTGAATCCATCCCAGATGTTGACGAATCCATCACCACCGCCTGTTGCAAACGTGTTGTACCTGAGCCCAACGACAGGGAAAGGAGGATGGGGATTGGCTTAACAGCCAACACAAACTATATTGGAGTATGGCCTTTACACGATAAACTACACTACACCGCACTGCACTACACACACTTGCGCACACACACACACACAAGCACACCCACGCACACACACACACACACACACACACACACACACACGCACACACAGCGGGCCACTGCTATCGACATGGTCCATGGTACTGTCCAAACAAGCAAAAGTAGCGGTGTGAATTTAGAGATGCACAGTAGCATGGGAATAGCATGGCCTCGAAGTGTCTTTTCAAACAACACAGCCAGCCTACAGAAAAGAGGGAGAAGTGCAGTGTGTGCGTGTGTGTGCGCGACAAAGTATACTTATTCACGAGGTCTGCAAAACATAGTACTGTACAGCTCGTGAAGGGTGAGCGGCTGACGTGTACGTAAAAGGACAGCCTCTATCACGTCCATATACGCCACGCGATGAAGAGCAACGAGGGACGACGCGTGTTTACAAGTAAAACGTGACGACATGATCACAAGAGAGTGACTGCAACACCTGGGGGAGTCAAGTGTTGGCAAGAGGCTTATCTCGGTAGCAAAGGGAGGCTCTGGAGCGCACGCTCGCGTTCATTTTGCGTCCTTTCTGTGCCGTGAATCTTAACTACATAAAGAGTACACATTGCAACGCATCTACTTTCACCATGTGTGTAGCTTCACAGTCAGGAGAGCGTAATTACACGACAGAATCAAGGAGACTGTGGTTGATTCTGCTCGATACTCACTCTTCGTGGAATGCAATGGAATGTAGGGGGTAGATGAACTCTGTGTTGTTGGTGGCATCCTTCACTCGGTGACACTTGAATGCATAGCGCTGCTTCTGTACTTCAGGGGACGGGTCCATGTACTCGATCGCAACACGGCCTTCAATGGAACCCAGCGCGTATCCTGAAACCAAAACGGGAAGCCGACAGAGAGAGAGAGAGAGAGAGAGAGAGAGAGAGAGAGAGAGAGAGAGAGAGAGAGAGAGAGAGAGAGAGAGAGAGAGAGAGAGAGAGAGATAATCCACAATAGCCCCAGAATGGTCAAGAGAGGGGAGGGGGGAGAAGAGAGAAAGAGGGTGGTGGTGGTAGTGTACACGTTGGCAGCAAGAACAGAACCAGGGTATCTCCAAGGACAAACTCTTACATACAAGCACAACACTCTAATGACTTGGCATATAGCATATACACAGTCCTCAAATAATTATAGTACTGCATAACCTCTCGTACGTGGCCCTCTCAAAGCCAGACACCTCCCTCAACCAGGCACCCGGCAGGCAGGTAGGCGAGGTCAGATCTTGAAAATGTCTTTCTCCTCTTAGTGGCAGTCATTTGACCTATTTTATTGCATAATATGATAATATCATAATCCTCAGCTCTTACTGCGTATGCTTGTGTATGGTATCAGTCTGGGGCCAGTGAACCCAGCTGAAGTGAACTACATGTCACCTCCATTATGGTTGTAGCTTATTGCAAAGCTACGGACACTCTTCAGTCCCAAGGCACACAGATAAGAGGTTCTTTGAATCCCAGAGTAAGTATGTTGTAACAGGGGCCATCCGTAAATATAAATATTATTTATTTAGAAACGAAAACTAGTCGTTTAGGGGGGAGGGTGTTGAGCGCCTGTTCGTTTCTCGTAAACATCGATGCACAGTTTGTATGTGTAGGCACGTCCAGAAAAGAAAAGAAAAATTATCCATACTGTGCATCGTTTGTATGTGTTCGTTTCTGAGGGAGGCGGGGGTTCAAGAGAAACGACTAGTTTTCGTTTCTAAATAAATATCGGTATTTACGGATTCAATCATTGCCCCTTAGCATGTGCGTCTTGGCACCCCTCCCTCCTCATGCAGATGTTTCTTAGTTTGGCACCTCGTTGCAAAAGCATGCACAAGGCCATCAATGCCCCTGGGCATGTCATCCACGGCACTCTGCTAATCGCAGCATAGCTTTGCCAACACACCTTGCTTGTTGGGGAATGTCTCCAAACAGCGCGTCTGAAACTTCAAACTGCTCTCTCGTCGCTGTTGTGCATAGCTCTGAAAGCAGATAATATAGGATAACACGCAATGTACACAACAAGTCTTACTACACTACAATGATCACACCCACACCCACACCCACACCCAATCCCCAAACCCACATTATACACATACTACACCGAAAGAAATTATTAGGTTCTCATTTACTCAGTGCTACATCATGCACTCACCATATTTCTCAAGTCCCAGATCCACACACGACGATTGGCCTAGCAAATAAGAATGTTACACACATGCACCCACACCCACACCCACACACGTGCACACGCACACACGCACACACACACACACAACAGCCGCAACAGCAGCAACAGCAGCAACACCAGACCAGCAAACAGATGTTGGCAGGAACATTGCAAAGGCCAAAAGTTAGAAAAAGAAAAAAAAGAGGCAGAATCTAGGGCCTACGACATCCTTCGACCAACAGTCTCATAGGGAATGTACACACATCACATTGCATGCATGCACATGCACGCACACACGCACACACATGCACGCGCACACACTTGTACTTACTGTACTTGTTGCTCACTGCTAAAACTGGTCACGTGGGTCTCCCCGAGAGAGGGGAGAGAGACTCAAAAGGAATCTTAAGATGACTCAATTGGCTATTGAACCGCCCAACGGCCGACACCCCCTAAAATCCCCAAAACTCCGAGTGGACTTGAAAATGATCCCATTTACGGGCTCACCACACCTCAGTAAGTGGGTGAGGACAAGGTGCAGAAAAAGGATTGACGGCATCAGACACACCTCACACACACACACACACACACACACACACACACACACGCACGCACACACACACGCACGCATGCACACACACACACACACACACAAAGCAAGGCATGGCTTACTGTTCCCACAACTAGACTTTCTCCGCTCAGTCCCATTGCATAGACCTAGAAAGGTAGAGTAACACACAAACAAGGGAGAAAACATGATAAGTCCACTTCAATGAATAGAACATTGATGTGCCAAGAATATCTACAACCGCAAGAGCATGAAACTTGAAGTCGCAGCAAACAAGCCTTGATTGTCCTTGTTGTTCTGTTCTGTACAACCGCAATATACATGCAGTCAAGGTATTGCGGAGTCAGAATGTGTAACAGTTAGCACGAGACTGAATATTGGTATTGACATACTTCTCAAGTTGGAAGGCTGTTAGTTGGCACATTCAAAACATGATGTTGCTAAACGTCAGGCCATTGAATGTCTGCACCACTTGTCAGTGCTGTGCTAACTATTGCACGTCCTTTAAATACTCCGCAGTACCTTGGCTATATTACTATAGGATAATTACAGGTAACTTGTTAAACTATCGGTACTCTCGAGTCTCTACCTACTTCGAAGTAATTGTTATCCATGGCTATCCAACAAGCTCTCGTTAGCAAGTGAATGACACAAAGACCAAAACGCAAAATTGAAAATCTTCTAAATTTCCTGCTGTCAGCCAGAAAAAAAGCAAAATCATCAAAATCTTCTAAAGCATATTTCTCTCAATATGCAATATGATCACGAGCTCTGCCAGGAGTAAGACAATCTATAAATTCTGTAACAGATCCAAAATGACTAAGAGAAGGTGCCAGAGTGCAAACACAATTCATAAATAAAACAAAAACAAGACTTTCCTGTTTGCAGCGTTCCCTCAAACTGATGAAGAACAACAAGAAATAAGAGACAAAGCAAGCTAGGAGTTGGACAGACGATACTTGGAAGTGTTGTTTGGGAAAGGGGCTTACCTTGTCAGGTTGCTGGACAACTGAGACACGTTGCCTTTGCCGTGGGTCCCAGATCTGAATGGTTTTATCCCAGCTACCAGTTAGAAGCACACCTGAACAGAAACACACGGACAGACACAGGTGAGGATGCATGGATAGACGCAGGCAATGGTGTACAGACACAAGTGAGGACACACAGGCAGACACAGGTGAGGACACACAGACAGACACAGACGAGAACGCACAAACAGACACAGACGAGGATGCACAGACAGATACAGGCGAGGGTGCACAGACAGACACAAATGAGGATGTGCAATCAATCACACATAAGGCATTGATCAATGATCAAAGTACACCAGCACTTCCCGACAAAATCGATTCTCTGCTTCCAGAGGTTGTGGCAATGAATGGCAAGCTGTGAACCTTGAACTCCGCTCTATAATGTGTTCACGCTCAACACAATGGTACACTCACCGAGTTCATTGCAGTACTTTATACATTTGATTGTGTCATCATGCTGCCCAAGGGTGACATCTGTGTTAGTGTTAAAATCGAACCTGCATGAGCACAACCATACACACATCAGCACAAACACAAACACACACACACACACACACACAGATAGAGCAACGGTCAGGAAAGCAAATATGCTTGCAGTAGCGACAAAAACAGATAGCTTATTATAAACAAACTGGGTGTCTCATACAACAGCAGTCAGCAGTCAGCAGTCGTCGCCCCAAAAAGAACCACTTTACATAGGGCAGCACCTGTGAGAAGTTACAACTCACTTGCTAGCATGCCTACGCTTCAAAGCATTACGCTTCACTTCGCAAGTACAATCCGGACATGAACCAGTCGCATGCACTGTGACTATTCTATTAGTAAGCACAGCTCGCAAAACCAGTCGCATGCACTGTGACTATTGGTTACTATTGGTCGCTATTGGTAACCACAGCTCACCCTCTGACTGTAGAGTCCAAGCCACCACTGTAGCAAAAGCCGACATCAGCAAAGCAGCAGTCTAGAACACCCATTGGGTGCCTATACTGGCCTTGTAGTGTGTTAGCCTTTGCATCATAAAGTCGTACCACCTGCAGAGACCGGGGAGAGGCAGGGCATAGGACACGATTATAAAATCAGCTTCGCACGGAAAGCACTCTTCAGAAGAACGGTTTGCATCGTGTGTGTGTGCGCCGTGTGTGTATGTGTCGTGTGTGTGTGTGTGTGCGTGTGTGTATGTGTGTGTGTGTGTGTGCCAGCTAGTTCGGTTGGTGGGTACACTTATGCCAGATAGTGTTGGGTCTGTTGCCAACAGGCTCGGCTGCTTGAAGGTGTAATGTGGTACCTACTAAGTACCACCTTTGTTGGTTTCAGGGTTCAAATTTTCAATTTGAAGTATACATACGTGTTAACCCTGGACTGCTTCTGGTAAAGTAACTCTTGTGTAATCAATGGTGCCAGTGAAGCTTTAAGATCCACTCTGATTTAGCCACCCACACTAGTAGCAAGCATTTCCTTCACTAGGGGCAGGGGTAGCTGCAGTTGGATCCCGGGACGGATACCCTGATGCCGTCAATCCTTTTTCTGCACCTTGTCCTCACCCACTGTACTAGTACTTACTGAGGTGTGGTGAGCCCATAAGACAGGATCATTTCCCAAGTCCACCCAGAGCCTGGAGATTTCAGAGGGTGACGGTCGTTGGATGGCGCAATAGCCAATTGAGTCATTTTCCAATAGTCCACTTGAATCTAAATCCCCTCGCCCGGGGAGACCTACGTGACCAGTTTTTGGCAATGAGCAAGTACAAGTACAAGTGTGTGTATGCGTGTGTGTGTGTGTGCGTGTGTGTGTGTGTGTGTGTGTGCGCGTGTGCGTGGGTGTGTGTGTGTGTGTGTGTGTGTACAGTGTACACACTTCACCTAGGGTTCCCAGTAAAAAGGCAGTAGCCTGTTGGGACTCCCCTAGTAAAATAATAAAAAAACTACTACTACTATAAATGTAACTCGGATGTTGAGCCATAAATAAATGTAGAAGAGAAAAGGACATATGGATACTTTCTGACTGTATAAAGTATCATGTTACAGTGATGGAGAGTTACTCTTAACTCGTATCCATATGTCCTTTTCTCTTCTACTATAAATGTAGAAAGGAAAGAAATATAGATACGAGTTGAGAGTAACTCTCCATCACTGCAACCAGATACTATATATAGTCAGAAAGTGCAACAACTAGGCACAAAACTGACAGAGTACTGAGACATTCGACGTCCTGACACCTAGCTTCAACACATCGTAGCGCTAACCGACAGCCTTCCAACTTGGAAGGTTCAAGGTTATGGTAAGACCAAAGAGGGGAAGGCAAGCTTTGTGCTTAGTTGTTGCACTTTCTGACTGTATATAGAATCTGGTTGCAGTGATGGAGAGTTACTCTCAACTCGTATCTATATTTCTTTCCTTTCTACATCTATTATTGGCTCAACATCCGAATTTCAAACTACTACTTGTACTACAGTCAACTTCGCTAATAACGACTGCGGATATAACGACAATTCGCGAATAACGACAGAATTTCCATGCCCAGAGCAAAGTCCATACTACCTGTATACATGTAATGAGACTTTGGGTATAACGACACTTCGCGAATAAGGACACTTTTCTGATGCCCCGCCGAGTGTCGTTATAAGCGAAGTTGACTGTATACATAAATAATATTAGTGTTGTATAGCAGCACTGGTTGAAGAAAACTGCCTGCCAGGTGCACGAGTCTGCCATGCGTTATGCATGCAACAAATTCATCCGAACATATGGCCAGTCTCTCCCAGAGCTTTACTCAGACGGACGGTACTACGAAGGGATGTAGGACACTGAGCTAGCTCGGTCCCAGTGGCCTTCATGATTGTAAGTTGTAACCATTCTTCAGCACCCAAGCATCAGCGTGTTCAATGTGTATGGCAATATTTGTGAATCGCAGACTGGGTTGCAGAATTGGCTGCTTGATTGATGAGGTAGTTAGTTGTCTTGTTCTCTCATCATTGCCCAATTGAATGCAGATCTCAACCAGCCTCTACAATAACTATTATTATTTGTGCACGAAATGGACTCGGATGGAGAGGCAAGGATTAATCGGTCAGCGTCGTGCAATGTTATCACATGAGCTGCTTGTTTAGTAACTGGTGGTGTTAGTGGACGTTATTATAGTGTAACTTGTAGTTCCTTGGTCCTTTTTATTTTTTATAAATTATTTATATTTATTTTACTAGGGTACCAGTCCCGTTTTCAACCACTACTAGTATTTACTCACCGAATCCCATGACGAGACGAGCAGAAAGTGTCCATTGGCTGAGAAATGAACTGCAGAGATCGTGTCCTGAGGCGGGTTGGACAGCTCGCTCTCGTTCGGACTGGCCATCTGTCTTACTCTCTCTCGCTCCCTCTTCCACCTCCCAATGTATATTAGTTCACAAATCGATAAAGGAGACGACAACTACTGCAGGTTTCCTGTCCAAGTAAGTACAGTGTTCACAAAATAAATTGTTCACCCCAGTAGAATTAGAAGTAGACAGTTTGTTCACTCAGCATGTATTTTCTTCTTTCAAACTGAATTGTTTTTATGACATTGTACAACAAACATGAAAAAAAGAAAGATCGAAAGCTTGAAAAATGAAAGACGACGTGTGTGCGCGTGCATGATGCATCGATACCGCGCGATCGCTAACGCGCAAGTCGGTGCCATTTTTTCAGACTATCGTCATGGGGACACCATGGGAAACAAAATTAATCATAATAAATGCAGCCACCGTTTTCACATGTTCATTCACGTGATCACCCAGGCCAAGGGCCAAGACTACATGAATTAATTAATTTTGTCATGGCTGTTGTTGACTGTTAGTGTTATGTTAGTTACTTCACTGGTTTGAGGGAAAGACGCAAACGGTATAATAATAGACAGTTTATCTAACTCCCTGGCAGCAACAGACTATAACTAAAACAAGGCCAGGACAGCAAAGAAAAACACGGATATGAACTGAGGGAGTCAGAGTGTCACGTAAATAGCTCCCCAATTGCCAATCACAGTGCATAGCACGTCTACATTGCACTGCAGAGCAAACTAACACTACATGTAGGTACTCCCTGGTTAGTACAATGTGCACATCAACTGGTCATGCGGACAACACAACCAACTAAAAAGCCAGCACTGTTTGACAAGGATAACGTTTTCACATTTGATCGATGGCATTCAGAATCAAACTGGCACAGATACAAATCATCATGCTACACACACTGAGCAATGTACAATGTATGTGGTCATAGTACTTCAAATCATGGCATCGAGAATAGAAGCGGTCAAAACTAATTTCCGGACTGGAGCTAAAGCAAAAAAAAGGTTGCACTTGGATTCTAAATATTAGTGAAATAAAAATCAGAGTTGACGTAGGTGTTAAAACAGGACCACCGGAGGGGAGAGATGGAGGGAGGGAGAGAGAGTGAGTGGGAAGGAGGGGGGGGGGGGGGGGGGGGGGGGTCCGAGAAGGAGCAGGAGGAGAGAGGGTGGTTTTTGTAACATGATTTGAAAAATAGTGCAGAGTGAAATGAAAGACTTTTTTTAAGGTCAGAAAAGGAAGGGCTAAAATCCGCTAAAATTCAAATAATCTTGTCGCATTCGGACAGCTAGTGCTTAAAACGTTCTAAAAGTCAGTTACAATCGACACGTCAAACAAAAACAAAGCGGTGACAGAAAAGGGTAAAAATTCGCCATGCAGGACAGCACGCCTAAATTGTACAGGTCTATCAAAGACGAGGATTAGAGATCAAACATATCCACATGACCCACACAATACAAATCTATTGCACAGCAATATTAGATGATATCACACACGCAGACAAGCACAAACACACACAAACACACACACACACACACACGCACATGCACACACACAGGGGCAGGCAATAAATAAAGAACGCTGCCCAGCTACGTACTCAACCCAGATGACGTGGAAGAACACACTTCCTTCCATCGCTTCTCGAAGAAATGGCGCATTGCGTGACCCGCACAGCCAACCTGGAAACAAACAGCAGACCAGCCATACAATCCACACGAGCATTGATACGAGCAAAGGTCAAAAGCAGGCTGGGCAGAATAGGCACACATTAAACGAGAGAGAGAGAGAGAGAGAGAGAGAGAGAGAGAGAGAGAGAGAGAGAGAGAGAGAGAGAGAGAGAGAGAGAGACAGAGAGAGAGAGAGAGAGAGAGAGAGAGAGAGAGAGAGAGAGAGAGAGAGAGAGAGAGAGAGGAGAGAGAGAGACTGAAGAGAGAAAGAAGGTGCGTAACAAGCAGTCTACATTACCCCTGTACAGGGGTACTATGGTATCTTTAAGCCTTTCCACATAAGGGGTCGTCCATAAATATCGAACTTTTTTCATAGTGATACAATGCCCCCCCCCCCCCCCAACAAAAAAAAGAGCAGCTCGGAAACACACACTGCCCAGTGGCAATCTTCTTCTGGCTATTTAACACACATGTATCATCTACAACCTTGCAATAATCAAGTGCAGAACTTGATTCAACAGTGTTACACACGCACACACACGCACACACACACACACACACACACACACACAACCACCACAAACACACATGCACGCAAGAAATGCACACACAGACACACATGACATGTGCACGCACACCCAGTCGCACATTACATTGATCACAAGCAGCAGGAGCAAGGCACACTACACTCCACCCACCTCCGAATCATCTTCGTTGTATGTTTGACAATTATCAAACACCAGACGGACGCTATTAGCAAATTCATCTCGAGACGAGAACCTACAGTGCAGAAGGGAACAAGGAGGCAATTGTAAACGAGAAAAAAGGTTGATAATAGAGGTACCGTAAGATATAATTACATGTATTAGAGGTAGCGAGAATATAGTTCCTTTCAAAAATAATAATCAAAGAGCCGAGTTACGATAAAGATCGAGCATACATTTACGTCTTCTTGCAGAAAGTTGGAGCACATATTCCGTTTTTACATTTACAATCACAGCAACATTCATGAACACTCAACTGTCAAGAAACATGCACTTACTTTCCATCTTTCAGTTTTTGCCGAATAGCACTGAAATCCATTGGTGCGTCAATGACTTTGTAGTAATCAGGAAACTGAACGTCAGGGCAAAGGAGACAAGTAGATCACAGAGATCACGGTTGACTGGTGCATGTCCAAGTCTACATTCATACATTTACACACCCGGCAGTAGTACATTGTACGCCAATCAAACCAGAGCTCAAGTGTGCCTGCCACAATGCAGGACGTGTGCGTCATGTGTGTCACTAGCAGTGTGTGTGTGTATGTGTGTGTGTGTGTGTGTGCGTGTATGTGTGTGTGTGTGTGTGTGTGTGTGCGTGCATGCGTGTGTGTGTGCGCTCACCTGCTTGCGGCTAACTGGCGCAAGGAACGGCCAACCGTCCTCGTGCTTCTCCAGCTCAGCCAACATAGGACGGCACGACGACAGGTCCTTTTTCTTGCCCTGACGAGTCATGTCATCTTCGTTTTGCCGACGCTGCTTGACCTGCTGAACATCACAGGGAAAAGACACAGTCACATGACCAACTATATACCCAACTGATACGCATTTATACATAGCAAGCGGCATGCAAAACGAGGAGCTTGAATTGCAAGCATACCCACAAAGCAGTAAACCTAGCAACACACTCCTTCTAACACAGCTGACACAAGAGAAAGAAACCATCGCCATCGAGCTAGTGGTCGGTGCCTGAGCGGGTAGCAACTAGGAGCATGCAGAACATTAACGTGTTAAAGCCAATGGGAGTCCCCAGCAAACGGAGCACAATGTTGGGCAAGTTAAAAACAAAACTCATTGTCCCACTACCATGCCAGAGCTCTCCAATACCACTGCCATTAAAATCAATGCGATGAAATGTAAAAATACCTTTTTGCATCCTGAGCAAGTCCAAGGGAGACGAGGCATTCTGTGAATGGCAAACACAGGACAAGAAATACAGCGGCAGATTACAAAACAAGCAAACCGCAAACCGTACTCTACTGCTAAGGGAACTAGCATGCGTCATTGTATGGTGTCACAGTCACATTTCCTAGAGCCGGAATACTCCATGCTCAACCCATGCTCGACCAACTAACTGCTTTAAAGTGTAGTAAAGCCAGTGTGCTGTGTGGTGGAATTGACAATGTCATTGCTATACCTCAACTACAGTGCTGCTGCTCAATGAAAACCCGTCGCCTGAGTAAAGTTTGCACACTACGCCCATTTTGCAGCCCAGTGTTCACATGTCTAGGTCTGCACAGCGCCCGGGACCTGCTGGACCCACGCGGTCGCATTTCATTGAGCAGCACAGTACATGATTGTACTTTGATTCTCCTCCTCTGCTGTAACAAAATAATGTGTGCTGGATTTCTTGTCCCTGATTTCATTGCACCACAATCGGCATGTTTGCTTCACAAATCCATACCTACACATGCCCCCCCCCCCCCCCACACACACACGTGCGCACGCACGCACACACACACACACACACACACACACACCATGTACACACACACACACACACAACCTTACTTTGTAAGCGGAGGAGCAAGACAGGAGAGGTGGTGTATCTTGTCACAAGTTCCACAGCACACCACATGGCCAGCGCCCTTGCCAGCACACGGCTCACACTCATGACCTCGTTCAGCCTGGCAGCCACAGACACAGAACATGGGAAACGCCCGCAAAGACTGACGACAATCCGAGAAACTCAAAGACAATGCTTAAAACTGCAAGGTGAGAATGCGTGCTGGTAGAAAGCACAAACTGGACTAGAGTATGAGTACAAAATGGACTGGAGTAAGGTCTGAGTACAAAACGGACTGGAGTAAAGGTTTGAGTACAAACTGACTAGTCTTGGGTCTTAGTAACTGGTTTACAGCACGCCAGAACTCACCATGAGCAAGCAGGCCCGGCAGAACCAATCACCTTCTGGCACCTTGGACAGCTTGGGCACACAGCAGTAGGTGTGATAGCCGTTCTCGCACTCGTCACAGAGCAGCAGCAGATCTTCGTTGTCACCCTTTCTACACTGCTGGCAATACTGTGTGAAATGTACGGCAATACAGTCACAGAACAAAACATTTAAAAAGAGGTTAGCTACGCGGACGGACACGGCATTGTCAATTTTATCAACCCCCTGCACTGCACTACACTGCTGGAGTCTGGTGAACACTACACTACACCGCACAGCAGAAGCAAGACCCGATAACGACGAATACTAGCACTCACTACTGTATTCGACCAAGATCTCCAGTACAAGTACTAACAAATAGTGAAAGCTTGAATGAGTGACAGCAGCAACATGCATCAATTATGACCTCCTCGCAAACAGCAGGTAAGAGAATGCCAGCCGGCCACCAAAAACTACTCAATGTAATATTTTGTTGGTGTCTGTTGTACTAATAATGGGTGGGGGGGGGGGGGGTAACATACCACTTTCATGATGGACTTCTCCCAGGCTACAGACGAGCAAAGCTGCCAGGCACATAGCTGTATGCGAGAGGCAGAGCCAGCGTTGTCAACACTGGACCGCCATGTAGCCAATGCCGGCGTGACATCACTGTCAAAACAAGCAAAGATCAAACCGACAGCAGACAAAAAGATGAGTGAAATGACAATCATAACTGACACAGGCAATTTCAGAAGTTTGATAAACACTTAACATACAGCACAGAAACTGAAATTCAACAACACAATGTCAATTTGACTCAATATGAGAGGCCCATATAGGTAGATGTACCTATCTTCTGACGTGTCTTTCGCTTTTGATACCATGCCTGCCTTTTTCCTGAATAGCACAACGACAAAGAAGCACACACCACACACACACACACACACACACATACACACACATACACACACACACACACACACACACACACACACACATACGTGCATTCGAGAAAGAGAGAGAAGTTAGCCTCTACCAATTGAGAAAATAAATCACAAACATCGCTCGCTCGCACCCCCCCCCCCCCCCCCCACACACACACACACACTGAATTGGTGGTTTCCCCGAACTGCACGTTCCTCTTGCGGTTGCACTATCAAAATCCCGTCATAGACCTGAAGCCCCTATCGTACTAGTCACACTGACACTGACACTGACACACACACGCACACACTCAAAGTCGACAATGACTTATTCTTACTTTTCCCGAAACGGAGGCTTCAAGTAACGACGATCAATCACACCTTCCAGCCGCAGCAGCTGCTCCCGAGCTTCCTTCAGCAACTCATCTAAGAGAGAAAAATAGCAGGGTGAGGGCATGCCAAACATTGCTTGCAAGGACGTCAACGGAAATACTTCAGGAACGAAAATATGACTAGTGTTGAGCGCAAGGTGAAAAGGCAACACACCTGCACCACACGGGTAGCACACACACACACACACACACACACACACACACACACACACACACACACACACACACACACACACACACACACACACACACACACACACACACACACACACACACACGCCATAACCCCTATTGCCTATACGGTCCCAGAGACAGTGTCGTCAAGCGCTTCCCGTATCTCACCTTCGTTCTTCATTGACTGTAGAGCATCAATCTTCTCCTTCTACATTGAGAAAAAAACACACACACACACACAAAACACACGGGGGAGAAGGCATATGAATGTTTGATATGCGCTGGTTTGCTGACCACAAGTGCAACCAATATCAGATTGCCAATGCAATGCACAAATGGAACAACCATACATCGTTCAAGATTAAGTTAGCAGCGACAATAGTCTCATGCAAAGAAAAATATTTGTACGAGCAGTTCACTATGTCATGTGACAACAATGTAGGTGAAGACTAACAATAATGTGAAGAAAACAAAAGAGCTTTCCAACCTCAGCAAGATAATTCAAACTCCAAAGGCTTTCTCAGCTTTCATGTCCTCCCTATTCCTACGTGTGGTGCTCATGCAAGCACAATGAGGATGCAGTTGATGGCAACAGACCCAACACATAGCGGGAAAACTACAATGAGAATGCACCATACTTACTTCAACTTCCTGCCCACCACTCTGCAGGTTAGCGTCGGTAACGCGCTGAGCAATGTCTAACAGTGATGCTGTCATCTCATCCAGACCTTGCCGACACTGGTCAACCAGCACGCTGGCCTCGTCTGCTGGCGTTGTGGCAGTCGTGCATCTACCAACTGAGAGTATATAGCGGGGAAAATAGCACACATCCGCATACATACATAACATACATACAGATATGCACAATTTAGTAGAAACCAATCACCTCCCGTCCACTCGTGAGCTATGTCTCTCCCAGTCTCCCCAGCAGGTTTTTACAGCAAGGGGCGGTGGGAATCAGATCAAGGCTGTCAAGTGCAGTACGATGTAAAAAAAAAGAGTAAATTCCTACCAGACTAAAATGAACAAAACCGGCAATGTGTCATTGTGTCATTGTCATTGTGTCATGTGCCATCCACAGTGAACAAAAGTGGCAGTGCTTGATACAACTGAATTGCACACACATCACGCCTAACATTACCATAGGCAAACAAATATTTTTGCGACTTACATGGTGCATTAGAGTCCTCAGGTGACTCGACTGGCTGCTCGCCAAGACCATCGATGTGTCTGTGCAGTGAAGGGCGCAGAATCTGCTCTCGCTGCCCTCTGAGTAATGGCGGGAAAGAGGTAAAATACAAAGTACGCAAGGCAGTTGACAGAGGGTGGTTGATCACACAACTAACAAATAAAAATATACAGCATTCATATCTCCTGCTGCAGCAAGTTTCCCTGGTGTGTAGAGTTATTTTAAAGTATTGTTCAAGTCCAGGAATGAGCGTGAAGGCAAGGCAATTACCAGACAACAATCCAGACAGTAGTACTCCATGTACGATACATACGATACATAGAGTACTACTGTACCAGTGTTCTGCAGCGTACTACTGCTTTCAACACAAGTTGGCCACTAACCTTGGGTGCAGGGCGTCGACGAACTCCCTCATAGCAGGCGCACTATTTAAATGAAACCAGCCATGGATCACATCTACACGCAGAACAGCAGAAAAAAAGAAAAGATATTCACGTCCAAAATCGCAAAAAAACAAACAAACAAAAAACAAACATCACAACACAAAACACCACTACCAATACCAACCTGAGCAGTGTTTTTTTTTTGCTCACAATCCCTAGACCCGCAGCAAAAGGCCATGAAAGCATGGGAAAGTGCACGTCTGAATAGAGGACAGGCTAGAGCCGCTTTGGTTGGCTGGACTTATTCCAAAGGGGTATGCCCCAAGTCTATCTATATAGAGCTCTATCTAGCTACGATACCACCACACTATCTAGCACATATCTAAGATGCCCTTCCCTCTCCCCCCCCCCCCCCCCCCCCCCCACCACCACACACACCCTCGATATGCATGTCACTGTCAGCATGAGTGTCAGCCACAACCACTATCTGCGGCCCTACACGCCCGCAGCTAGCAGATCTACTCAGATGAGCTGACCTGCATACAAAAAGATCACGGTGTAAAATCAGACTGCAGAGTATGGAGTATCAGCATGTGATCAGCGACTGACTAGTACTAGTACTTTATGGGGCCCCCAGAACCTGGACATTCCGACTTTGATAGGCTGAGTATGACTTACCTGGGCTGAGCGAGTGTACATCCAGTGTTTCCTGCAAGTGCTCTGGTACATCGTCAACACTGACTGTGGTAGCGACGGACTTGACAGGCGAGTCTCCACCAGCAACACTGCCCTCGGATGCATTAGCATTGGCCATAGTTGGAGTGGCTGGCTGGGCAGTGACAGGACACGCCGATGCAGAGCTACTAGCAACAGTTGCCAATGTACTCGCTGCAGGTGACACACCCAGCCATGATGACGACTGGCTATTATACTGCGTGAATGAAGGCACGGGCAGGTTAGGTGTAGCGGCAGCAGCAGCAGTAGGGGCAGCGGAGTGGTTCACATGATGCAAGCCATCAGGCAAACCACTCCCATCAGCAACACCGGACGAGGGGTCTTCTTGCAGCCTTGCCATGTCCTCTGTGCGGGCATCATCCGCTTCCCATAGCTTCTGCGTCTCTGCCAACCTCTGACGTTCCAGCTCCAGGAAGCTGGCCCTCTTCGTTGGTTTGGCCTCCTACAGAACACCAAACAAAGCACATGTATAGCTTTTGGACTCAGATGGACAGCCATGGAAATTTATAACTATTGCCGTATTGGCCCTCTCACACGAGTCACAGAGCACTACGTGTCTGATTAAGTTGTTACTATACCTTGAGCGCAGCGAAAGTGAAGGGTGCCCGTTGCTGACAGACACTGCACAGAACATCTAATCCCTCTTCTTCCTCTATGACCACACAACAATGCACTTGCACATGTGGACCAATAGAGCTCGCAATACATGTACTTACGATGCGAGCACTGTGAGAAACCGGTGTGTTGGAAGCCGAGTCGGTAAAGCCAAAGCGAGCGGTTCCAGCGCATGGCTCGTTAGCTATGGTCTGTATGGTGCTAGACAGCGGGTCATGATCGAGGCCCTCCACGTAAACGTCCGCTTGACCGGGGAAGATCCAGTAGCGACGGAAATACCGATCGTGGCCGCATGGAGTGGTGCGAACCTGTCGCATTGCCGTGTTGTAACGATTGCGGAGACGGTTTTGCCACTATGGAAGTAGAACAAGGCAAAGGTGGGGAGAACACCAGTTTAAACTGATACACATGTGCTGCAGTGATGCTGTGCGAAGAGGACACTTACATAAAACATCATAACACCTGAAGTGTAATGAAGAAAGACGAAGTACCTGACCCATAACAGAAATATAAATTGATCCTGTTTACAGGCAATTCTATGTTGACTACACCACCACCACTGCTGCGCTCTGTGGCAGGAATCCAGCACGCACAAGGAGTATACGGCCCAGTGACAAATTTGTTCACTCACCTTCACACAGACAGCAATCTGTTCTTCGGCTGATTCTTTGGTTGAAACAACAAGTTCACCTTCAAACAGCTGGATATCGATGGCCTCGTTGTCTTCATCTTCCTCCGCATTGCCTTGATCTTCGCCCTCAGTGCTCGAACCATCATCGTCTTCATCTGACACATCTTCCTCCTCGTCATATTCATCATCTTCCTCATACTTGCTCGCCTTGTCATCTTCTGCTTCGATATCTCCAGAATGAGACCTCCTAGCAGCGCCTTCCTCGTTGGCGGATGAGTCATTGACGCCGTTAGCTCCAGCACCCGTGCCAGAATGGCTAGTACCAGCAGCGCTGCCACTACCGTGTCCATACATCTCCAGTGCCGTGGCGGGGAACTGGCTGAGGTCTGCCGTGCGCCGTGGGCGGCGCTGGCGAGCAAAGATCTTCTTGTACAACACACGGAGCCTGCAACGAGGTGTGCGAGTGTGCACGCACAGAGAAGCAGACAGACACAGACCAAATTCGCCACAGATCATGACTTGTGCGGATATTGGCTGCTACAATATAGTAGTGGTGAAACGAATACACCGAATATTCGAACGTTCGTTCGGTTTGTCACATTCGAACGAATATTTCTCATGGCGAATATTCGCTAACTGGGTGTGCACAGTTTACCGGGCGACTTCAAACTTCCGTAACTTCACGAATACTTGACCGAATCGCTTCATCGAAAGTTCCATCGGCATTAGAAAACTCTCAGCTGTCGTCTCGAAGCAACCCGGACACGATCCGAGGTCCTGGAATGGAGTTATGGCGGTCGAACAAAAAATCACGTCTTGAGGTGTTTTTTTAGCGTGTAAAATGCACTTCAGCTGGGAATTTTGTGAAAATTGACCTAGAAATGGTGGAGAAATCTGTGCCTTCGTTTGTCATGCCTAATAATAGTGACAATATCCAATAAAATGACTGATAGGAGGGCGTGTGATGTCATCCGTGTTAACGAAAGAATATTTGTTCGTTCGTTAAGCCAAAGAATATTCGGCTACTGGGTTTTAATATTCGTTTCACCACTACAATATAGGAATAGGCCACAATGAAATTGGGCATACAAAACATCTCTCATGCCCGAGTGTTGTAACTAACACCAAAAAAGTACTGAGCTGGTTAAAATTGACAAAAATCGCCATCGGATGGCATCAAATTCGAGTTAAATTCAGTTAGCCCAGCTGCACTGGGCAGCAGACCTAATCAACTGCTTACTTTCGCAGACGACATTCAACCTTCATCTTGTCTCGCTTCAAGTCAGCAGCTACTTCCAGCTGATGCTCAACATGTCTGAACACAAACACACATTCCAATTTATCAGAGTGTGGTCATAAAGACGAATCCGGCACACTGCATCTAATTCAAACAAACAACCTTGTTTATTCTCATTCTGGAAAAAAGAAGAAGAGCAGAAACGCAACTCGCTCCTCCATACATGTTTACAAACAACAATAGCTGTCCAAGGTAATGCAGCATGCTGCAATAACTCTGTAACTTACTGGGCAATGAAAGCTGAGCTGCAGATGTCGTTGACCAAAAACTCTAAAAGCCTTGCCTTCCAAGATGGACACAGGGCGCTGAGTGGAAACCGATCCAGTAGAGTAACAGCCTGAACAAATCGAGCAATGCCAGTAGCATGCAAAACGATCAATAGGCTGAAAAAGGCCAACATGGCAAAATCCTTATGAAAGAACGTTGAAAGGGTTAGGATCTGGCTTTCTCTACATCTGCTTATAGGTACATGCCTGCCATACACACATGTGCGTGTGTGTGTGTGTGTTTTTGAAGCGCTGCCTACCTCTCCCCTAACCTCTCTGACAGTACCTCCCTTTGGGGAGCGACGTGGCCATTTCTGGCAGCTGTCAATAGTAGTAGTAGTAGTGTGTGTGCATGTGCGTGCGTGGTGCGTGAGAGAGAGGGGGGGGGGGGGGAAGAGAAAGAGAGAGAGAGAGACAGAGAGTATGTGTGTGTGCATACGTGAGAGTGAGTGTGTGTGTATACGTGAGTGAGTGAGTGAGTGTGTGTGTGTGTCATATGGTGCAGTGGTATGTGCAGCGATTTCCAATCGATAGGTGGCTGGTTCGATTCCCGACGACTATGGTCACTTTCTTCTCTTTCTCAGACTCTTCCTGACTTTTCTTTCATTCTCCTGGGTGGTTACCAACAGCCAGTGCATGCCGGAGTATGTGGTGTGATGTGTGTGAAAACAAAAATGAAAGACCAAAAAGTAGGGATTCACTGGCCAAAAAAAGCCACTTCATAGCTGTGTGGTGTAGACCAGGCTGAATAGTGGCGGCCAATTATTCAGCCTTGCAAGCTGTTGAATGATGCAATCCCAGCACAAGCTGCTATGGCTTCTGCTGTAGCATCGCTATCATCGCCTCTGGCGATGGGCGTCCAATGGTCCAATGGTGTGTGTGTGTCACAGTGTGTGTGTGTGTGTGTGTGTGTGTGTGTGTGTGTGTGAGTGTGTGTGTGAGTGTGTGTGTGAGTGTGTGTGTGAGTGTGTGTGTGTGTGTGTGTGTGTGTGTGTGTGTGTGTGTGTGTGTGTGTGTGCGTGTGCGTGTGTGTGGTGTGTATGTGTGAGAGAGACAGAGAGAGAGAGGGAGAGTACATTTTGCATGTACACAAAAACACATACGTAAGGATACGTGCATGCACAGTGCGCATACACAGCGCAAACAGGTACACACCTCCTTGACTGCAGCAGCACAGCGACCACCAGCTGGTTGGTTGAGCTCATGAACAATGTACAGTCGCAGTACTTCACTCAGGTGTCCATAGCTGAGTTTGATAGTACTCAACGGCACTCCAAGAACATCATCAACCTGCAAGACATTACGGACATGGTAGCAAATGTACGAATCTTCAGTGATTTTTAAATAGAGTTGCTAGTCAAACAAGGGCACCTTGCTCATTTCATAAGACTAACCAACATAATGATATACATGCACTTCAATCAAATACAGGGAGCTAGGAGAACTTCTTCTGATCCCAGTTGGATATGAAAGACAACTGCAAAATAATAATAATATAAAAACTTATTTTAAAGAGAAGGTAGCTGCATGCCCATCATCCGAGAACTTCTGGACCGACCAGATAACCCACCCCACAGGTTCTACGCCAGAGGAACGATTATAAAGACATTAGAAGACATGCACCCCTCACCATCTGAGCTGATGCCATTTCGTCACCAAGAAGGACAGTGAGCAGCTGTTCGATGAGGCGCAAGAAATCGTCCACGAGCTCCTTCTGAGTGACGTACTTCATCAAGTCGGCAAGATCGGGAATGTAGCCATCCGCAAATTCTACAAAAATCGAAGGAGTAAAAGCATATCTCAAAAGATACATGTGCATGTCTGACATAACGATGTGGGTGCATGTACCCACCAATTTCTGCAATGTAGTCACATGTTCCTCTTTGTCCATCACATCATCTTCTTCGGCATACATGTACAATAAAGCCGTTAGGAAATATCAACCCAGTTGGTCCTGTTGATCGCTATCCTCAAAATGAACGGATGTGATTATAATTCTGGAATACCTTTAAAAATAACAACTTTTTAGGGGGCAAAGTAAAGCGTCACTTGTGTTGCAGAAACAGGCCATGGTCAACACCCGACAAATATCACCTCAAGCATGTGTATCCAGATGATTGCATGGAAGCATACGCCAATCGACTTCAGGGTGTGTTCCCTCCAGCAGCTTACCAAGTTCTAGAACCGAGGAGTAGTCCTGCAGAAATTGAGACACTGTCAGCAGCATGCCAAATTCTCTGCTGTGAACCGGGGTTTCCAGACGTTGCAGTTTAGGAAGCTCCTGATAACAAGATGCCAACACATAATGGACAAATACAGAGAATTCTAAACTAGCGGAAAACTAGATGTTGACAGAAACGAGGATCAGTTCCTCTAAAGCAACAAACTGCCATATCAGTACTCTTCCTTATACGATTCCACAGTGACATAAATCTAGAACTTACAGCTCCACCACAGACAAGTAGATCTTCACCCGGACGACGCAGAGAACGCTCAAGCTCCTCTTGCCGTCGCCTTTCCTCCTGCATGATAAACATGAGAAATGTAAAACAGCCCGAAGAACTGCTGGAGTCCCGAATGCAGCTACAGGTCTTGAATGCAACTGCGGGTCCTACATGCAGCTATATGCCTACTGCCTCTGTGCTATATGAACAGTATTCTTGTTCCACACGCACACAGCACTAGTAGATCAGTCCCGCAAGGACTGTGCATCCTTCAGCACACATTCAAACAACGTGCTAGCTCCATAATACAGCCCATTCTTGTCAGTGAAGCACCATGTAGCATAGTGTGCCAAATCTGCCATCTCCGATTTCAACTAAAAATATAAAACTGTACAGGCTCAGTTGAAATCGAAGTAGCAAAACATCCCATGGACAAAGTCAGGATCGTAAGAAGCAGGAGCATAACAATGTGTTGAATCGTGTCTTAAGATCCAAAGGTCTAGATCAGTACAAATAGGAGTGCATGACCTCGGTGTAACTCAATCTCCGCATAGCTAGCTGCTTCGACCTTGTTAGGCCTCATCCCTGGTATGTGCTAGCATCACTCTGCATTTTAAAAGTAGTAGACGAAGGGCTTGCTTATCGTACCTGCTTTTGTAGCTTGGCTGCAAGCCTCTGTTCACGAAGTTTCTCCCGTTCCTGTCAGAAACAAACCAAGAACACTTCATGAGCGCAGTTCCTTCACTTAAAGACCCTGGCATTCGGCCATGTAGGAGAGGGAAGCCGCTAGCATTGGACTAGAACACAGATGTGACTAATTACTGAACTACCAGAAAGCAGACAAATCCACCAAAGAGCACGGCAGAGTGAGGAGGGATGACCTGTGATTTTTCACCATACCATCACCATTATAGCTCAACAAACACAAGTACCCAGGGGAGGGAAGGACATGAAATTGACTACATATTGGACACGGGGACTTTCACAATACTGCCTCTCAGAAGCTTGCAACATACCTCTGCTCTCTTCTTTGCTTCTGACTCACGTCGCATGACCAACTCTAGACGGCGCTTCTCACGCTCCTGAAATATAAGACACATTAGAAAATAGCAAAACCCATAAACCTAGCATTGAAGGCTACACTATCTAGCAAACTGCTGCTAAGCTGCACCGGACAAGATCAAAATCATCATGGGCATCCATTACAGCTACCAAATCACACACCCTAAGCCATTGCCAAACAATACGTCTTGCCTACCTCTGCCCTGAATTGAGCCTCTTGCTGGCGTCGTAATATCAATTCCTGCCTTTTCATTTCTTTCTCCTGGAGTTGACGGAGTAGAGAAACCAGACATTCTTCACAGTGCAGAAACAAGGACACTGCTGGCAAAAATTTGACAATTTCATGTGAACAAAATACCACTTTACTACATCCTCCACCGTCACCACCATGCGCTCTTAGCCGAGCCACTAGCCGAATATTTTACTAACCAAAACACCATTACACTGCGCTCTTTAGCCGACTAGACCTTCCTGCACACAACCATCACCATTGCGAGGACACTTCCGTGGACGATATTGATAAACTCCTTCAGACAGCTGTTTCGCTAATACATAGCTCATCAGTGAAGGTAGATGTTGAACAAAACACCAGTCCAGTTTAATCGCACAACTACCAAAATCACAGCAGGAATACATCACCCAAAGAGTAAGCAATGGTCATACCTTCAAGATCTGCAGCCGTTTCATTTCTTTCTCCTGCATAGCAAATGCGAAAGAGTGAAGCAGAGCATATCAGTAAAAACCTCTTCCAGTGCAGTGTACAGGAAAACAGGAAAGAGGGAATTTAAACTTGAGAATCGTCATGCAGAAGATTATCCTGACCAGGTGTCACAATGCAACGGCATTGAACAGAGCATGCACATGCAGGTGAATTTACCTTTCTTAGCTCATCCCTCTTCATCTCACGTTCCTTTTGCGAGCGAGAAACAAATCACAGCACACAACATACAACAATGAATGCACAGTCAATAGGCAACCGCACGGTAAATACACGTACAAAGAAAGCGTCTGGAAGCGCTCGGCTCATGCGAAACCCTTAAATGCACAGACGGAAAAAACAAACATGGACACGCGTATCTGGACAGCATACCTGCTGGCGTTTTCTAGCTTCCTCGACACGGAGTCGCTCAGCTTCCACCCGTCGCTGTTGCTTTATCTACAGTCACCGTGTACATGATTGTAGAGAACAAAAACGGCAGTTCAAACACAACGGCAATGTAAGAGCCAGGCAGGACTGGGGATGCAAGAAAGTAAACCGGCTGAGAGTGCAGGCAGCTGCATTGACTAGTAAATCAAATAGGACAACCTAAACATGTACAACACATACCTCCTCAGCTTGTTGGATGCGCAGTGCCTTCTCCTGAATCTTCAGCTCGCGTTTCATTTGCTTCTCCTACACGTATGCACATGTGCACAAGCAAAGAAAGGGCAAGACGATAGAACTACTTGAATAAAGCTTTTAAAAAATCTGGATAGAGCAAAGTATGCCCAAGAAAGCATAGTTGCATTTTAGTAGCAATAAGAGGATGCCCTTGCAAGGCAAAGATATTTTTCGAAGTGCCTCACTGGTAACAAGTGGTTCTAGACTGCTCGTTCGCTTCCTGATTATGTAGTGGAGCGAATAATCGTTTGTGGAAATCTTGGCTCATTACAACACTACAGTATAGCAAATGCTACTCAGAAAATTAAACAATACCCATGGATTGACACACCAGATTACAGTCAGACCTCGCTTTAAACCGCACACATCCGTTTTCCACAAAAAATATCCGGATAGGCGAGGGAACCGGATAATCGAACACCGGTTATGTTGGATGCATCACGTATGCTGCAAATCTGTAACCAGCCATTTTCTTTCGGATGGCGAGGGATCCGGATAAAAGAGGACCGGATAAGCGAGGTCTGATTGTACTGCAACGTAAGATGCAAACTGGCATCGAAGCACATGACCACCAATCTTCTGTTGTCCAAACAAGACTAACCTCTTGCTTCCGGCGCTTGACTTCTTCTTTGAGACGTATTTTCTCAGCTACTTTCACTGCAGTGACAGGAGAAAATCAAAAGAAGTCCGATGATAAATGTACCAAAATACTAAATAAAAGAAGACACCTCACACGACATCATACATTAGGATCATGCAGGGCATATAATATCAGCAGTGTGCAAAAGTTGATCACGCTCCTCAGCTGCCGTTATCACTATAATGTCACAAAGCACAGCATATAAGCTCAGGTCCTTACATTGTTTTCGTCGGAGCGCTGTCATCTTCTTGCCACGGCCCTTTGGCTCAGCTAAGGGACAGCGCAGAAAAAATGAAAAAGGTTTAACCCCAGGGCAATGGTGTCAAAAGAGCACTAGTACAAATGATATAGTTGCATTTCGTCACAGCTCCCTGACACACCCGATTAAGTGAGAGCAAAATGAACAATAGCAAATCAAAACACACAGCCGCACTAAGTCCTTCGCTACACAAAAAATTTCAATCTTTCCAAACGTTCCATCATCAGGGAAACGGTGCACTGGTGACTCCGTGAATAAAGCGTACAATATAACCAACTACATGTAGTTACAAAAACGAGATAACATAACAAAGATACCATTTCAGTGCTAAGAACTTGGGCCAATGATGCCTACAATATCTCACAAACGCCGAGAGAACTTCCATAAAAGATGTCACAATTCTTATCTAACAATGTAAAGTGTCTCAGCTTGCACTATCTCAAGTCAGGTGTTAAAGAGTTAGCATGAAGTGAATGTCTCAGCTTGTGTGATCCCGAATCAGGCTACACACACACACACACACACACACACACACACACACACACACACACACACACACACACACACACGTGCACACACACACACATGCACACACGCGCGCACACACACACACGCACAAGCACACACACACACACACACACACACACACACACACACATGTGCGCACACACACGTCCACACACATGCAAGAACACATGAACGCATGCACCATCCCACCAGGCTTACCTTTTCCCTTTCGCCCATACTTCTTCACAGGCACCCTCTTCGTGCTGCCCCTTGCCGCAGCTATACTACCCTTTGCTGATGCTGAGCTGTGCCTAGCAGACAGCGCACCACTCCTTGCCGTGCTGCTTCTTGGCACCGCCGCAACAGCAGGGGCAGCAACAGGTGCACTCACGGAGGTGGCGGCAGAATGAGCTTTAGGGTGTTTCCAACGGCGATCTGCGATTAGCTGCCGCTCATTGACTTCTCTAGGTGTCAACTTGACAAGCTCCCTTTCTCCCTGTATGATGACAAAGCAACATACAGTCAGACCTCGCTTATCCGGTCCTCTTTTATCCGGATCCCTCGCCATCCGGAAGAAAATAGCTGGTTACATATCTTCAGCATACGTGATGCATCCAACATAAACGGTGTTCGGTTATCCGGTTCCCTCACCTATCCGGATATTTTTGTGGAAAACAGATGTGTGCGGTTAAGCGAGGTTCGACTGTAATAATATCAACAAAGACATGATACCTGAGCAGCCACTTCCCAATTCAACAGAAAGCATATGATATTGCATACTTAGAGCACCATACAATCAAATGAATATGCACAGGAGAGAGAGAGAGAGAGAGAGAGAGAGAGAGAGAGAGAGAGAGAGAGAGAGAGAGAGAGAGAGAGAGAGAGAGAGAGAGAGAGAGAGAGAGAGAGAGAGAGAGAGAGAGAGAGAGAGAGAGAGAGAGAGAGAGAGAGAGAGAGAGAGAGAGAGAGAGAGAGAGAGAGAGAGAGAGAGAGAGAGAGAGAGAGAGAGAGAGAGAGAGAGAGAAAGAGAGAGTATATAGTGCACTACTTACCTGAACTTTCTCATGGAATTCTCCCACCATGAGCTTCGTACTAAAGCTGAAATTACTGATGTTTAAATTAGAAATACCATTGGCATCCAGGTACTGCAGAAAACAGACAATATGAAGACAGGATTTTTTTAAGCTCACAAAGATGATGATGAGAGAGAGAGAGATAGGAGAGGGGAGCAGTACCAAGGATTCATTCCAGCTTGGTTGAATACAATTGTGCACATACACGAATCGGATACTGACGGATAGTGCATTTTTTTTGGTAAACGCTACCGTGTATGTACCGTAAAGTACCATTGATCCGCCCCCTCTCTAATTCCCGCCCCCTGTCGATTTTCTCCTTGTGAAGCGACTTCGGCGTATATAACGAAATACGATGTTGAACCGACGCATGCACTGCTGTACACAATACGTGCCAATCCAGGATGAATATGTGCACAATTCAGCACATCGAGTCTGATCCTCCACATTGTTGTTCATCGTACTGCACTTGACAGCCTTGATCTAATTCCCGCCCCCTGCCGAAAAACCAGCTGGGAAGCGACATGGCGTGGGGGGCGGATCAACGGTATTTTACGGTACTTCAAGTGGTTTCTTTGCTGCCATTCCATTCTTGCACTGAATTACCACGCTGCCATGGAAGCCAGAAAAAACTTACCCGTTGGACCTCCGGGTAAGTTCGGAGTTTCTTTCCGCACGGTGAAAAGTAGAACACATCGCCACGCATCGCACCGCGAAATTTCGGCCTCAGACGAGTATCACGTTTCCAGCTATAAACCATAGTCAGAAGATAACAAGAACAAGAAAATTTAATATTAAAACCAATAGCAAGGTGAGATGGAAATCTGGCTCATGAAAAGCCTACATACCAAATGCCAGGATATTTACACCAATCTGCCGGGACCAGCCGAAGCTGTTACTAACAACTACAGCCCAACTAAAATACCTTTTACACACACTGAACAGCATGCAGCAATGGTTGTGAGCAAAGACAGTGGATGTTCCTCAGACTGTATACACTGGCCAAAATATCAACAGGAGACACCGGTTGGCCAGCCAGAATTATGTACGCCAAGATTCAATCGAGCGACCTTGGAAATCAAACCATTTCGGTCGGTAGCGCAGGTGGTCAGATTTACAAGGTTCCACTTTACACCAAGAACAAATGTCAAACACAAAGGGTGGACTCTAACCACTTTGCCATTACTCACCCATAGCTAAGAGGAACCTTTACAGCCGTCTCATCCACTTGACGACGCCGACCTATGGAAAAGCAGCACAAACAGCAGTGCACGCCATCATCTAGGGCCTGTGTGTGCGTGTGCACATAAGCGTGTAGGTGAGCGTGTGTGTGTGTGTGTGCGTGTGCACATAAGCGTGTAGGTGAGCGTGTGTGTGTGTGTGTGTGTGCAACTGTACAGAGCGGAGCATGATCATACCGTATGAGATCCATCACGTACAGTACAGTTACAGCATATGCAGTAGCTATACGCCGTCTTTCCTCTCCTACCCTCTGTACAGTTAGCTGCCTGTATTTCACCCACCAGCAACCCCAACCCCGACACATATGAATACAACGACTTGCAGTGCTATCTATTTTCACAGAGAACAGGAAAGCAGGAATCAAGCCGGGGGAAATTCCAGACCCAAGCCCTGTGCCCAGGATCACACAATGTCATAATTTGCGCAGTACACAGGCATCATACAGTTCTATAGTAGAAGGTGCAGCAATATCCCATCGGAATTGGTTGTTTGGGCCGCTTTGTTGTTGGTTTGCTGAACGAGACTGGCTAAAGAGCAAATGCAGCAATGTGTTGCACATATTCGTAAAGTTAAAACAGTACTACAGATCCGCGTACCAGGCAGGTCAAGAACTGCGTTTCCGCTCCTACGCGACGCCACCACACCATGATCCTATTCATTGCTATTTACTGCTATTCTATCATTATCCGTATCATTGTCTTACCGGCTGGATTAGCGGGACTAACGATAGGTACCACGGTTGGCTTCAGTGGAGGCGGTTCAGCATCAGAAGACACAGCAGATGTGTCTGAAGACGAAGCATTCGAACCACTGCAAGTTCCCGTGGCCTGGCCATCATCATCTTCGTCTCCATCACTGCTGCTGCTGCCGCTGCCGCTACCACTGCTGCTGCTGCCATCACTTTCACTGGAAGAGCTGCTGTCACTGGACGAACTACCATCACTGTCACTATCACTGTCGCTAGATGAGCTGCCTTCAGATCCATCACCATTCTCATCACTGCTCCCACTGCCATCGCTGTCGTTGCTATCATCAACCTCATCCACACCATCATCACTAGACTCATGCATAAGAACGGCAGCCGATGAGACCTTCGACACGGCTGCTGCACTGCGTGCTGGTCGTGCCAGGGATGGCCTTACCATGGATGGCCTTGGCTGGGGTGGCCTTGCCTGGGATGGCCTCATCAGGGATGGTCGTGCCGGGGATGGTCGTGCCGGGGATGGTCGTGCCGGGGATGGTCGTGCCTGGGATGGTCGTGCCTGGGATGGTCGTGCCGGGGATGGTCGGGCCTGGGATGGTCGTGCAGCAGTTGAGGCAGTTGACCGTGCAGCAGCTGAGGCAGTCGACCGCGCAGCAGTTGAGGCAGTCGATCGTGCTGGGGTCGGCTGTGCGGTTGATGGCCGTGCTGCAGACGGACGAGCTGCAGATGGCCGGGCTTTTCGCGGACGCTGGGCAAGGTGCTTTGACTGCAGTGGCGGCACCGGCGGTGGACTTTGTTTCTTCCGTGCCACCAGAGTAGGCGTGGTGATAGGCAGGCCATATCCACCACGCGGATCAAAATGACTAGATGTGCTACTGCTGTGCTCACTGGCAGACTCCTCTTCTTCGCTACTGTCATTACTGGTTGTACCACCGCCGTTGTTGTCTTTGTCCTCCTCCTCACTGCTAGAAGCGGCGGCACTTCCGTCACAATCATTCTGATTATCACTAACATGAGTGTATCTGTTGCTTCGCTGCTGCTGTTGGCGCTGCTGGTATAGCGGTGGCCGACGCTGCTGCTGCTGCTGGTGTTGCTGCTGTTGTTGCTGCTGCTGCTGTATTCTTGATTGTGAACTGCTAGTAGCAATACCTGTGTTGACATTGGGTGCTACAGAATCAACTGCAGCAGAGCTTGAAGCAGAACTTTCGGTGTAGCTCGAGGTACTGGCCACCGAGCCTTGCGAAAGTGATGACATGAGCGGTGGGCAGTCTCCAATGTCATCATCTCTAAACGACAGATTCTTGTTGTCATCAGTGTGTGCATTGCTTATGGTGGCGACGCTAGTTTGGCAACTGTTTGTCGATAGAGGACAAGTGACAGGAGTGAATGCACTGGAGACACTGCTATGCTTCGTCGTTTCATATCTACTACTTGCACTGGTAGAACCATTGGCTGGCAAGCTCTTCAACCGGTGATCACCTGGACCAGGGCCATCTGCACTACCACGACTATCACCGAGCTCATATCGAGGTCGCTTTGGCGCACGTCGGTCATCCGGGCTTCTACTGCGACTTCTCAGCTGACTGGCACTGGAGAGACTCCTTGCACTGCCGTGACGTACCGGCGACGAATCCACTGGCTCCGCGTAGACCGGACCAGACACTAAACTAGCACTACCACTGTGGCTGGAGGCACTCATCGGTGCACGGTTTTCCAGCATATAGTGAGGAGGACTGGCCATTGCAAACACAGCACCATGGCCGGCTGCCGCAGGGTGAACCTGTGCGTACAGAGCATGTGATTGCTGCGGCTGTGGCTGCTGTTGAGACGGCTGCTGCTGCTGCTGCTGCTGAACAACAGCTGTGGCTGAGCCGGCTGGCGTTTGCACAAACACACTGCTATTGGTCGCTGGCGCAGCTCCAGCGGGCTGCCACGCCACCGCCGGTGCTGCCGCCTGCAAGACCGAGCCCTGCGGCCACCACTGTGTATTCACGGGCATGGCGTAAGTGCCCGCCTGATACTGCACAGCTCCATGACCTGGGTTGCCATCCACTGGCTGGACTGCTTGTGGAGCAGCAGCAGCATTAGGAGCTGCTGCACTTGGGGTAGCAGCATACACAGGCTGATAAACTACCCCACCAGTGCCAGCTGGAACATTGCCACCTCGGGGGCCATGGATCATAGCTGATGAGTCTGCAGACGAAGACCAGAAAACACCAATCGAAAACTCGCACCCGAGGCAAGCAGCCTAACCGAAAATTATTGTACTCACCTTGAGGATTATAGTACTGATTTGGTCCGCCAAAGTGATTCATTCTTTTTGCAATTTCTTCGATTCGTTGGTCTTTCCAATACCAAGGACCGAGCTACATCGTCTCCTTCCGTATCCAGCAGGAGAACTACCGTCTTTGTTCCCAGGAGAAACGGAGAATAACGTTAGCCCAGACCCGAGAACTCGGCTAAAAGGCCAACAATTCCATGAAGCAAACAGAACAGCGTCAGAAATAATGAAAATTGAGGTTTGGGCTTCGAATATAGGTCAAAAACAGCTCGATCCAGCGGAACGAACAACAACTTCAGCAAAGAAGATGGCATCTCCAAAGAATAAGCGCAAGACAATCGTTCTAGTTGCCAGCACGCAGCTAGCCGAGCAGATATGGAGAGTGACGGTAAACATTCTACAACTCAACTGTGCAGCCTTGTGGCTGCACGAGTGCCAACTCATCTCAGGCAAGCCTGCCTGCTGAGTGGGTTTTTCACGCAAATGGGAATTTGGTGACACAGAACGCTACCGTACATGATCTTGGTACGGTAGAGTGACATATGCGCACACAAACTTGCCATCCTCAGCTGCAGCGTCCTATCATGTCATGTCAAAAATCTATGCACGGAGACCCTACTCGAAAGTCGGTTTCGTGAAGTGGCTAGGAAGATCGACCCAACTGAGCTCATGAGGTAGATTTGATGTGTGATGATCGTGATGTTGGTGGTATGGCAGGTAAGGGAGTACTGTAGTCTACTTGTCTGTACTGTATGTACTAGTAGTTCTAGATCAACCCTATCGCCGTACTGGCTGCCAGTAGGTCTACCACACATGTAGTAGGTGGTACTTAGTAGTTGACTAACTATTATTGTAATACTGGTATTCAAAACGGTTACTTTTCTTACAACTTCGACGGACCGATCGGTTGGGTAGCTGGGTCGCCGCTGTGAAGGATTTTGCTCAAGACGAAGTACAGTGTATGAGGGTGAAACCGACTAAGAGACCACTGCGAAGCGTGCCATGGCGCCAGGACATAGTCAGTTGGCCGGTTTCTCAAAAAGTGCTCGTTTCTGATTTCCTGTGTCGATTTGAGTCCAACATTTCGTGGGTGGTTGGACGTGTTGGAGATCGGCAGGGCAAACAATTTCGCGCTTGGGTGCCTTTTCTGCGTTGGGGCTGAAGGGAGTTACGGCGACTTGTTTGAATACGAAGACGAACACTGTGCAAATAGCGCATGCTCAAAACACGCATATGCGAATTCTGCGCAAGTGAAAAGGATGATGACGTCCGCCCACGACTAATTTCAAACTTACTTGACTGGTTCGACAATTGTGTTTTTGCTTTCATCCAATGCCGATCGCATGGCCTCTCTAAGTTTCTTTGCCGATCTGTCCGACAACCTAGACAGGTAGATGGCAGATAAGAAGGTGCAAGTGTTTATGATTCCTGTTGTTAGTTGTCTTGTTCGACATGGCAGACGATTTGGGGCTGGAAACTGTTTCCTTGGCGAAAGCTTCAGGTGAAGGAGTGAAATGCATTTGTCACAACCCGAATTTTCCTGCTCATCAGCCTCTCAAGCGCTTGACGGAGACTACCTGGACTACCCTATGGAATGCAGCTGAGACGAAGAGAGATGACACTTGGATGTCGATCGGAAATCTTGATAGAGAAACTTGCGGCGAAGTTCTATACCACAAAGCCTGCTACAAGTGGTACACAAACAAAAAGACTTTGAAGAAGACAACCGTTGCTGAGTCTGTCCGGCCCGTCGAGGCTGTTGGTGGCGACGAAGGCAGTGAAGGTGATGCCGGGGGGGATGATGATGATGACAGTGATGACAGCGAGCCTGAGCAAAGAGATGTTGAGCCCCCCAAAAAGCGGACCCGTTCCAGTGGGAGCCAGACAGATTTAAATTTGTGCCTATTCTGCCAGCACCTGTCAAAAAGAAGAAGTGGGAAAAAGGAGCCACTGACCCAATGCATATCGTTCAGTGCGAGCAATAACATCGTCAATGCTGCAACAATTCGCAGTGACTCGCGGGTCTTGAGGGAGGTGTCTGGTGGAGATGCAATCGCCAGGGAAATCAAGTATCACGCTTGTGCCTGGCCAACTACACTCGCAAGAGGACACTCGAGGGCCTGACGAAGCCCACAGTGTCCACTACAGCACCGTCCCTGGGTCATACTGACAGCTTTGGTGCAGCATTTGCCCAGCTGGCCATGTCCGTGCAGACACTTGTCCTATCTCAAAGTAAGGTAGACGTCGGTGCTTGAATTCTGCGGCCTGACCAGCCATGTCCAAGGAACTGGAAATTCCATGAAAAATGGTGCCAACAAGGAGGAGCTCATGCAGTTCCTCTTCAACCACTGGAAATCTGCAGAGTGCGCACAGCTGCTGCAAGGGGGATGCGTTGTCATAACAGTCCGGGACATGGCCTACCTCCTGAAGGCCAACGGTGACCACGTAGCGTATGAAGAGGTGCCAAACCTCCGGTCAACACAGGAGGAGGCCGACACGCGGATGCTGCTTCATGCCTACCATGCAAGTGCAGACTACTCGACAGGACTGGTCATTCGGTCACCCGACACCGACGTCCTCGTTTTGTGCATTGCTCTAGCGTCCAGTATTCCAGCCCGATTGCTGTTTGAGACTGGCAGACGGGCAGCCTCACGCATCGTGGACATCTCTGCTGTCGCTGAAAAGCTGGGAGCACAGGTGTGTTCAGCTTTGCTTGGCCTCCATGCGGTCACTGGCTGCGACAGCACCAGCTCCTTCTACCGAATAGGAAAGAAGAAGGCGTGGAAAGTCCTTAAGAGCAAGCAAAGCCACCAGATTGCGTTAGCACACATGGGCGACAATTTCGTGCTGCCAGTCAACCTCCAGAAGGAAGTGGAGAAGTATGTCTGCCACCTTTACGGTCACCCTGAACTCGAGAGCATCAACGAGGCCAGGTACAAGGCGTTCTGCTCTCGGTCCCCACCCCCTGCTCAGCTCCCACCATGCGCCGATAGCTTGGAGCAGCACGTCAAACGGGCCAACTACCAGGCTGGTGTGTGGAAACGGGCACTGGTCGCATCCCCAGACCTACCCAGCATCAGTGATCATGGATGGAGGGTAGACGACTCTAATGTCATGATCATGTGGGGTCTTCTTCCTCCTGCACCACCAGAGCTGATGGCGATCATCCGGTGTGCCTGCGCCACTGGATGTTCAACGCGCCGGTGCTCATGCCTACAGTCCTCCATTTCTTGCACCGATGCATGCCAATGCAGTTCCTGCGCGAATCCGCACAATGCTGTGTCCGAAGTGCTTGCAGCACCTACACTTCATGGAGACAATGAAGACAGTGCTGATGATGAAGATGGTCAAACTGATGATGTTGACAACCCCTCCCACGAGATCGCGGAATAACTGCTGAACATCAGCTTTCCATGGATTTCTGGTCACGGTAAGGCCTGTTTGATTTCCCTAAGTATGTTTCAAGTGTGAATGTTAGTCAAGTGTCAGGTAGTTACTTGTAAGTTTTTCATGGCTGTGTGTTGTGCATGATTGTACACTGTTGGTCCAAGCAAGGTAGCTTCCATGTAAAACATACTGTAAGATAGTCTACATCAGGATATGTGTGCATAGCCTTCCATAGTACATAGAAGTATCACGCCATCACAGATCTTCTGCGTGAACGCGTTCTGTGCCTGGCAGATGTTTCCTTTGGTGCTGAGACAGGTCATGTATTTGTGTGTGTTGGCTTACAGTGTTTACACCGGGGAAGTGAGCTGCGTTCAACCAAGTGTAGCTGGCAGTCCCCAACAGAACATTCCAGGTCAACCACTTCCATCGTGCTTTTCGACAGCGCGCCTCAGTATGTTCGCTGTGCACTTGTACCTGGTCATGTTCCATGCTATTTCTACTGTTTGCCTGTACAGGTTATGCCAGCATACTTACTAGTCCTACCGATACTGTCACTGCAAGTAACTAGGTTATAAGTCACCCGTGCACGACAACCTAGTATAGCAGTCACTGACTCCTCTCTCCACAGTGAATGGCTACACTGCATTGCCTAGACGCATCCCAAAGCCTCTCATTGTGTATTCATATTATTTCTAATGCTCGGGTTTTCTCTTGTCTGTCCCCGGGGAAAATTGCGATTCCGCGGCCGCGTTTTTTTCCGCGTTTTTTGCGATTTTTTAAAAGACCACGTTTTCCGCGATTTTCCCGCGTTTTTTGAACTTTTTTGTTGCACTACGCGCACTACACGTACAGACCAGTACACTGTTCGGTCAGCAACGTCTCATCTTGGCGGCTTTTTACTCAAATATGACGAGTGCTTACACCAGAGACTTGTAACTGATTGATTTCACTACATACTCACTGAAAATTGCCGCACATCAATATTATTCACCGCATATTTACCGCAAATTCACTGCAAATTATGCCGTATTATGCCGCGTTTTTCCCCGCGTTTTTTGCGATTTTTTTCCGCAATTTTCCCCGGGGACAGTCTTGTGACCCGCGACGCCAGGCATGAAGTCATGCTCCTTGCTATATACATGTATCTCGCGGCCGTAACTTGTTAACAGAGTGTTACTGACACTCAGTGCCAACTGCTGCAATTGCAGCTCAAATGCAAACACTGTATGTGTACGTGTTGCTGCGCATTGGTCTCTGCCTTGAGAATTCTTATCATTTTGGTGTATTTTTAATAACAGGCGTGGACCATCCCGTGATTTCTTAGGTGCCGGTTTTAAACATTTGCTGTGTACTTTTTATAATCACCAAATGTCCCATGACTGAGGACACCTATGATATCAAGAACAGTGTACTAAGACACTTGCTTATCTGAGGTAGACAGGCTTGATTGTGTTATAACGAGATGAATGTTTGATGGCAGTAAGGCGGTTTCCAACTGTACTTCGTGATTTGCCGATTTGTCATGCCACACTGAGTGCTCGGGCATCATCACGGACTCATACTACCAAACTATAAAATCCTGGCACACATTATGGAACTTTGAATCTAGTAATGGAACTCTGCAATAGTATAAACTAATCACAGGAGTAACTTTCTACTGTACATACCTGATTGTGCTCTAGTGTGTAGCTAGCTTTGAACCAAAAATAGTATGATATTTCAGGAACCTGAAGAGGTCTATACAGTCCACATCATCCTATCATCAAACATTCAATGTATCTGCGTGCCTGGTGTACTTTACAGTCACATAGGCAACTCGGAAAGTCGACAATACGACGTAAATTCTGCCAGTCTTTGAATGAGTCAGCGCCGTTACCATGGTTACATGATCTAAATTGTACAGGAAATTGGACACGCAGTATTCCACTCGCCGCTCCCTTATGCCCCAGCTCCGAGATGGCACCCTAGTGCCAAAACACTCCTAGAGACCCACTCTATCAGCTAGGATAGCGCTAGAAATGTTGGACTCAAATGTACACAGGACTTTTGAAAATTGAAAGTGCCCAAGCGACTAACAGGACTTAGGAGGGCTAGGGCCGGGCAGGTACACTGAGAGTATGCATTATTGGATGTCAACACACATGTTTGAGCATGGCCAACACAACTTTGACAAATCCAACCATGGCCATAAAGGCATAATCAGGACCGCCGGAATAAGAAGCAGGTCCGGTAGTTTCAGCGCCTTTCAGGCTTTCATACTAAGTTGTGTATGAAATGGCGTGTACACATGACCTCCAAAGTAGTGAACGTGTGTAGGTGGCTAGAATGTTGGTCCGGTGATTACCTGACCAACGGGACCAGGTCCGGCGGCCCTGATAATCATGATTGTCATGATAGTCGAGCCAGCGAAGGCTGCATGGGCTGCGGGAGGCCGAGAAGGCAAGGATCTAGGAGTGCATTGCTTGAGGCTTTTGCAGTCATTACATGTACTTCAAAGTACATTAAACATTTTGTAGATCTACATGATTGTACATGTCTGTCCCTGCGGGAATTTGCAGAAAATTTCGTTGCGGCAGAAAACAACAAAATATGCGGCGAAAAGTGCGAAAAGATGTGGAACTTGCCAGAGATTTGTGGAATTATTTGCAGAAAATTGCGGATTTGGACCAAATCACAAAATTTGTTGCATCCGTAGAAACGCTATTTGCGCAGTAGATCTACTTGGGAGTAGTACAAGTCATACTGTGCAAATAACCTACATGTACATGAACATGGAAAGCACTTCGGGAAAACTGCATAAAGATGTCCAAAAAAAGTGCAGAAAGCAATTAAAATGATGAATGAGAATACATGTATCTAAAAATAATGGTTGTTCCTAATCGATTTTCTTGAGACTATCATCAGGGAAAAATCGTCTCACAATAGAGGCTATACGGAGAAACAAACTACTTATAGGTTATAGGATAGTGGGAAGTATACAAGGTGAGGTGTGAAAAAAAAACTAGAAGTGGGAGAGAAGACGAAAGAAATTAGAAGAAAAGATGTGAGAGTGTTCCGACGGTGTGAGCTACTACAAAAGGTGATCTATGCATTCAGAAAGAAAATGTCACAAAATTGAGACTCTTCACCTAGCATTCACACACGTATTCATTCGCATACACCTACACCTCACACTTCCTCACTCTATCACATTCACCTGCTTCCACGCCTTCATTTCACTCACCTTTTGTAGTAGCTCATACCGCTCCTTGCACCAGGGATTTAGAACATGTGTACGGGTGTCAACGCATCACACGTTTTTCTTTGCAATAATTTGTACAGGATCGATCGGCTTCGGTCAACCACAGGTTCCGGATTCGTCTGATAATCCGTGTACAGTGCGCATTGCATCATCAAAATGACGTCAACTTGAAATTCTGTCGGGACAGCAGGGTATGTGGGAGTTGCACACTCTGGGGGGTTATGTACTCTTGATTCATACCCATTCTTCCAAGTTGCTTCACGTTATGATCTTGCGTTTGAAAGCCCTATTTGAATATTGCGGCCAGCTGTATGTGGCCAGCTGTGTTTGATGGTGCGGTACGGTACGGGACAGATACGGGATAGCGCCAGGCGTGACACAAACAAACAAACAAACAAACAAACACACAAATACCAAATTAAAGCTGTGTGGACCCTGGCTAGCGCCAGACGTTACTGAAGTAACGTCTTCTGCATAGCTACGGGAATAATAATTAATTACAATTGAAGGTTGGTGTGGGAGGGTGGATAAACAGTTTCTGTGGTAAGACTACAACATACCGTATTTGCCGGAGTATAACGCGCACCTGAGTATAATTCGCACCCCATTTTTATAAGCAATGTTTTGGCAATTCAAGGTATATGCGGAGAATAATGTGCAGCCTAGATTTGAGTGCAGTATTAAACCATAAAGACAGTACAATATGTACTATAGTGCGACCATTGTCATAAAAAGTGCATTCAGATGGTTTGCGCAGGGTCAGAGGTGGCACACTTCGTAACAGTTTGATGCATTGCCCTACTTTTCGAAGTACATGTTCATTTTTTTCATATTCGGAGCATAGTGCGCACCAACAATTTGGCCCTTGGGGCCAGAAGTAGTACCTCCTAAGTGCACACCAGGGAGTCGTATAGACCCGGGTCTATACGACTCCCTGGTGCACACTATTCTCCGGAAAATACGGTACGGTACATGTATGGGCCAATCGCGGTCATCCGTGCTTTTATAAGAACATGGTGCTTTTAGTGACATTTTGGATACACATCCCCATCTAGTCGGGCGCAGTCACCCAGTTTCGGTGGAAATGGCGAGTTCGATTGAGAATAAAGGAGGAAGGGAGCGTCTCCGCTTCCTCGGACCAAGACCATTCGACTCAGCACCCCGAAGACTACAACTGGTGAATATTTTGATTTTAGGATATACTTCCCTTACAGGGACAGACTAGTCGACTATACTCAATCTGCGGACAGAACTGTTTCGTCCTTTGTGGACTCGTCAGCGCAGCACAGAGGAAATGAGGCCGAACCTGATAGCAATGGAAATACAAATTTCTAATCAGGTCCGAACGTACCTTGCCAGAGTGCTCAAACTGACAAGTCAGTGAGCTCTATAGTATATCCTGAAACGTAGATCTACAATGACTATGTAGATCTACAGGTTGCCTGGTGGATCTACCATGATTACACTATACGGTATACCTTCTACAGCGAGATCGACACCTTATACAGACTAGACTCGTTTGCCCAAGAACGTGGCGCCCAAGAACGTCCAGGCTGGAAATCTAAGAACTCCCCAGCCTGGATTTAAGAACGAAGTCCAAGATTTTTAAGAACGCGACATTTTTACACGAAAAAGAGTCAACCGGTACATGTAGCGCAAAGTGCATTGTACATGAGCGTCACGGGTCGTGTTGGACGCGTAAGAACGCGAAATAAGAACGTAGCCTGGGCATGGGGCGCTGAAAAATAAGAACTACAGTGCATTTCAAAACTATAGACGCGTAGGGTTTTTGAAATATTTCAAATTTGGCTGGAACCTTTTGAGAATAGTTTTCGGAATATTGCTCAGAATCGCTCCACAATTACTCTCATATAGTTTCTAAAGGATTGGATAGCAGACGCCCAATTTGGAAAATTTTATGCACAAAGTGATCACAGATTTTATGTGGTATAGATGCTGGCATAACGGTTTTTGCCTAGGTACGCGTGTATAGTTTTGAAATGGACTGTACAATGTAATACTTTGCTACAGTAGGCTGGCCCTCTGAAACCGCGTTCTTGGGCGTAGATCTACGAGTCTACTGTATTTTTATAAGCTGACACATGCGGACAGCGGCTTTACGTTTGCGAAGCGTGGTCCACGCAATATCGACTACTGAAGTATCCCATTCCATTGCTAAGCGTAGACTTCGCCGACACAACATAGTCATAGATCTACTGGGTACTGCTAGACTGACAGCGGGGTTGTTTTTTCTTTAGTTCCGCGACACGAGAATAGACATATCCACCCGAATCTGGTCTCAAGATAGCGCTTGCGTCGTCATGTAAGGCGACCCCGTTCTAATTCCCCACATCAGACACATGTACAGCAGCCGTCATGAGTGAAAAATGTTTCATTGTTGGTATTTTTTGCTTTGGGTACGGCCGGGTGCAACGTTCGGTTGGGTTGTTACTAACAAACTTACTTGTCTTTCCTCCTTCCCCGATCCCTGAACTCGTCGAACAGTGCTACCAGGTCGCATGTAGACCTGCACTACAACTAAACTGTATATAGTCGTTACCTTTCTGCCACGGGTGTGCTTTGATCAACCGATATCCTGCAGTAGCCTGTTGCAGTATCCGTGACTCTGACTTACACAGGACTCAGTCAGTTCCATCGAGATTACTTCTTTGAAGACCAGCGTGCTCGCCGAGCTTAGCGGTTTCAGGAGATCTGCGTTTCCAAACGCTTGCTTGGGAAACCCAACCGCCGGGCCGGGAAGAGAATAGACAGTCGGAGAAGTACCGGTACATTGCAGGTGATAGGAGATGGCGTCCAAGTCCAAGGAGGCGTACAAAGATTTCTCGAAGGGCAGCGACGTCGTGGCGCAGTGGAAAGTGCCACTGCGGGACAAGACTCACATTGTGGCGTTCGAGCATGGAGCAATGCTGACTGGCCGGCGAGTAGTGTTTGTCGACGGCGACGTGGTGGTGCGCAAGGAGTTTGTCTTCAACTTGCTCGGCACGGAATCGTTCCGGATCGGCGATACCAAATGCGCGGTGCTCATTGATCCTGGCGAGCATGGATGGACATTCAAGTACACTCTCATCGTCAATAAGAAGCCACTGGAAACGTTTTTGAAGGATAACGGCTTGATGACGAAAACATGGCTGCCTATGATCAAAGGCCAGCCACGACGAGTTGTGCTAGGTATGAATAATCTTGATGTCATAGGCACTAGTACTAACGTTTCACACTCACAGCCATGTATGAAGGGAAATAATTCGTAGAAAAGGACTCTGAGTAGAGCAATCATCACCGCCTCTGATTTTATGCCGTTTGCCTTCGTTTGCCTTCTCATGTAGGCATTGCAGGGTTCTAGCCAGGGAACATTTGTAGGGGGTGGGTAAGGGAAACAAACTGTTCACCCATTTTTCCATGTTCCACCATTGCCTTTTACCAACAAGAATGCAACATACAAAACAATCAATCTGTGGCCGCATTTTCGCTCTGTGACCCCCACCCTCCTTTGGCTCAAAGTTGCCTCGAACCCTCCATTAGTATCCTGAGTGTTTATGTGATTACATCATCAGTTGAGATGCTTTGGCGAAGTAGTGGCACAGCACTGCACTTCCACTAGTGCAAGCGACTCGCGCTGCATTCATAGCGCACATCAGCGAATCCGCTAACTCACGCTATATTCTTAGCGCCCATAAGGGAATCCGCTGCTTAACCCGACGAAATCATTCGCCTAGCCTCTATCCTTGCGGTGTGGACATAGCATCTATGCCGCATGAGTATAGAGTGACTGCGTGGAATCGTGTAACAGCACCGTGGAGACTCGGATCTCTACAATATAATGCTTATCCGCCCAAATCCCACAATCACATGATGGAATGGGTCAAAGCAACTCAGTGGAGTGGTCTGGTCGCAGGTAATGGTACTGATATTTGATGTGGTGCAGCATTGTGTGCCAGTGCCAACGCCCAGTGGTTCTCTTGATACATATGCCGGGTAGTTTTAATAACTCAACACTGTTGTGTACGTTTTGTTTTGCAGAAAAATCTGATATAACGATATATGTGGATGGCAAGAAAGTAGAAACAGTGGTAAGAGACATCAGTACATGTGTACGACATACATTGATTTTGTGGATGCACTTGTATAAGGCTTAAAAACGAGCCCAGCGCCGTGGTTGGACGCACACATCGGTTGAGTATTCGGCAGCCTGGTTATGTGAAACTTACATGTATGTACCTAGTCAACTAGCCAGCATGGCATAGACCATGGTCCAGATCAACCACTGTAGACTGCGTGCAGAGAATGTCGATCCAGACCGCTCAAGCGCATACGTACATGTAGCTCACGGTATCCATCTTGTACAGTGTCGTAGTTGCTCGGTGTGGACGACCCCATGGTACTCATTCTCATCAGTGGCCATGGATTTCTGTACCGTGTGGTTTCATTCCAGGCTGAATTTATGGATTCAGATGATGAGGATGGCTCGGAAAGCCACACCGGCACATGGCAGAACTTCATGATTGACGACTCGGCGTGTTGCAAGATCAAGGTCTACAGTTCACAGGACCGATTCAAGGGCATGCTCTACGATCTGTACGTGCATGACAAACTTGTCCCGGTAGCTACACGAGACAAGATACTGGAGACGGAGCGACCCTCCTGACCGTGGGGAAAATCCGATGATATCAGACGGTCGGGTAATCTGTGGGTGAGCTCTGAACCGCGTGAAGTTTCCCGCCTTTACAGCTTTGTGGGCTCACAAAGCAATAAAAGCCACACAGCCAAAGTTTCTCTGAAGAACAGCATTGATCATAGTGTTCCCTAGTCGCAAACTTTCAACATACGATTTGTAGTGCTATGTCCTCCAGCATAGTGATGAAGAGTAGGAATCTATACCATATTATTAGCAAAGAAAAGGACCGTCCAAGGAACTACAAGTTACGCTATAATGTCCACTAACACCACCAGTTACTTGTTAGTGGACATGATAGCGTAACTTGTAGTTCCTTGGGCCTCAGGCTTTTCTTTGCTATAATCTGCTCTCCATCTGAGTCTATTATACCATATTACTGGTCAAAGTTCACTTTTAAAAGTGACAAAGTGATGATACAGCTTTTCGACACTATTCAGTGTAGCTTCTTTGGCATTGGACTTAGTAAACTTGAACACACATGCTAATGTGTGACAAGTGTGTGTTTTTGCAGCTATTTAGTTGCGGCCTCCGGGGCAAGTTGAGATTTGGCTCTTCCTTGTCAGAACTTGATATCACATGCCATGGTAGCACACTGTCTCAGCACAATGAATGTCACAGTACATGTCCTGTAGAAACAGTGCCTTCCCATCCCAAGATTATGGTTTCAGCTAACTTTCTACTGCTCCGTAGCATTTCATCAGCGTAACGTTACAGTCATTGTAATTTTTAGTCAACCATTCTGACAAACATTTGTGTGTGCTGTCCATGTGTGATCATGCATTCGTTCTGTTCGGCTAAGGTTCCTGGCATAGGGAAGAGCGGTGCTGCTCAACCACGGCAACTGATATTTGCCGTAAAGTACCGCGAGAGCACCCCGCCCCACCTTGATTTTTCAGCCAGGGAATGGACCGAATCGTATGGCAGGGAAATTCAAAGCAAGTTTGCAGCCGGGGTGTGAGAGCCATCGTGTACCGTAAGGTTACACGCTTAGCTTTTTCTTGCTTGCGTGGAACTCCAAGGTAAACCATACGGATTGACTGCACAGTGTTAACTTGCACGCAGCAAATGTTTCATGATGTGTATGTGTGCACATGTACATGTATGTGTGTTCCGGCTGAGTTACGCCTTACGCGGAAGTTACGGGATGATATTCGTAATTTTAAATGGCGGAAAGAGAAAGATTTCAGGCCTCTAACACACTGGCACATGACTGATTGAGTAATTAATTATTGTTTGAGACGGAGCCCCTGCAATGCAACCACCACCACGTCCATGTAGATATACCAGGGAGTTGTACAATCTAATGATGTACAGACAGTAGATCTACCGCCAACCTGCCCTGTTTGGGGAGTTTTATTGTGCAAAAAGTCCCTGAACAGCGAGTCAGTGTGAATGGACTGTCGAACAAACTGTCCTTGTACAGTCATGGTCTACCATCACATGGACCATGGTCGTCCAGGGCCTAGGGAGCAGTCTACACACGTACACACTGACTCCACAATGACTGTATTATGTCATCTCAGACTGTCACTGTGTCAGTACAGTACTCATCATATCGGTACAGACAGTTGTAGACGTAGATCTACGTACTATTTACTAGATTGAGTACTATACTTACTACTCTAGAAGCGTCATGACGCCAAACAAAAGTGTGTAGTCGACTGCACGTGCCACGTGGAGCGTGATCACGCTGGGGCCGGGGTTTCGCGCCAAAATTTCGTCTTGAGATAAACACACAAACTCAAACCACAACAGAACGGATCAGCTGAGCCACTTTCGGAGTTGTCTGTGTGGAAGCAGGTTGAATGCACTTCTTTCATCCTTTCATCGTCTTCATTCTCTTCAGGATTTGACTTTACTTGCACTCCGTTTGGACCGCACGATGTGGATCCAGGTCCGTCTCATGGACGGCAGCAAGTCTGCTCGGTTTGATGGGCTTAGCAAGCTGACTAAGATTGAGCAACTTAGGGAGAAAATCGCTGAAGAATTTGAAGTGGAGACTGAGCGGCAGCGTTTGTTCTACCGTGGAAAGCAGGTATACTTCTAAGTTCTCTGTGATTTGTCTGGCGTAGCGTAAGCTAGTGGATATAAGATATTGCACCGTGGGAAACAATCTGGATCGACAGAAGCCGTGGACTTGTCCGGGATCAAATAAGTGAACTAATAAAACAGAGTTTGCCTGATTAGAGTTTGATTAGTGTGAACGTACCAAGAGCTGGGCGATACTGCTTGCCGGTGTGGGTCGTAGCATGAGAAGAACGCTTTTCACAGGACTAGCTCATATATTCAATCACTCACACTGATAATATCAACAGCACATGGCCATTATGCCATTCGGCAGGTTGATTTCAAATGGATCCATGTACAGAGCACATGACCGTGTCTCCTTGCTAGGGTCATGTTCTTTTTGGAGTTGGCGTGCTGTTCGTGTGGCTGCCATGCGGCGAATGGACTCCGATCCAGAGCTTGTTGCCGAGCCTGGGAAAGAAAACTTCAATGTGTCATTAGCACTGTGACGGCATGCTGGCTTCAGGTCACATGCTGCTAGTGCCAAGTGACACATACTGTGACATAGCCAAGACAAACGGCAGGGATTGTTGCCTAGCCTGCACACATGATATGCACATGCAAGCTTTGCCCTCACTGGCTTAGATTAGAACACAACAATGGCTGCAAGTCCTGTAGCTAGCCAGTAGCACTGCATGCTTTGTCTGGCTTGAGTCGATTTGGTACACATATGCACCACATACGCTGCACTGTGCAAGCAGGCAGGCTGCAAAGAGTGTCCTTGCGAATGGAATGTGTCAGTGGCCTGCATCAGCCATTGATCATGATCAATGGTCAATCTGGTTTGAGCCTGAAAGGCATTTTGATATGCGCAGAGACATGGGGACTTGAAGACTTTCTTTGACATGGCTGCTGGCCAACAGGCAACAGTGCTCAGAAACTGGTGGCCTGGTGGCACATGCGTGAACTGCATCTTGGCAGGTGACCTGGTAAAACTTACTTCGAAAACGCTGTAAATTAAACGATTAATTCCTCCAGAGACTGTCATCGGTCACTGCGATTCGCCGGGTCGCTTGCAGTTGTAGACTGTATAAGTCATTAAGAGGTTATATGAGTTTATGGGAGGATAGTGACTACTGTCACTTGACTTTGCTGGTCATGGCCTCTAAATCTAATATCAAGTATACGTAATAACTTAGTTGCTGAAGGCATGTGCACATCTGTTTCTCTAAGTTGCTGTTCCATTCATTGTGCATTACTTCATCAGGTTTGCTCAGGAAACTGAACACCGTGCCAGGATAGCATGTCCTGGTTGTGTTCTGCCCCTTATCCTCCACTCACATAGGCTCCTTACTACTAGTAAATCCCTTGGTACATGTACTTTTATTGTACAGAAGACCAAGGAATCATGACGAGTTTTAATTTCATATGCTTTGCAGCCTATAATTAAGTTTGGCAATCTGTATCTGCTCCCCAGAACCCCCAAGCTCACATACCTGCAGCAAGAGTCTGTTATATTTTTTAGCCATGTCGAATGTGCTCTGTTGTGTTCCGTGTCCTCCCAAAATCAGCTGGAAGATGGCCATACACTGTTCGACTACAGCGTCGGCTTGAACGAGATCATCCAGCTGATGATCCGCAAAGTGCTGCCTGTAGCGACACTGGCATCGCCCTCCAATGGCGACTCGTCCACAAGCGACGAGGTCAAGGACGAGCCAATGGATGCAGCAGGCGAGGAAGCAAAGGAGGTATGGCTGTGCACGCAATGCATGGGTATATACATGTACGTGCATGGGAGGTCTTGACACGGAAAAGCACACGTGCATGAGTTACAGTGGAGAGTGGATACTAGACTAGTATTACCTTATATCAACACTTTGAGTTTAACAACTGATTTCTGTTGCCCAAGGTTTTCTGGAGCTCGGCGTAAGTGTCATATTGAAGACAGTGACTTTTTTCATCACTGAAGTAGAGTGCTGTTACCCCCAATGTCCACTGTGTGTGTGTTCGTGTCTAGTCATGTGCTGCTATATCATTATATGAACTTGTAATATGCCCAGAGGGAAGGGGGGCTTCTAATACTGTAATTTCACAAATTTCGGTGTACTTTTATTTTCGGTACATTTAATAGGTGCATCTGTTTCATACCTAAAATTTCAATACACCGAACAAACACTAACAGTCTAACACACATAATCCAATAGGTAACTGCTTCTCTCCACCGAAAATTTCTGTTCACCTAACCTGGCCTTTTGCCCTCATACCGAAAACATTGAGCACCAAAAAATTCTGAAATTAGAGTAACTCATCACTTCTACTTAGTTTTTGCTTCAAGCAAAGTACGAGTGTCATGTGACTTCCAGTGTTTGTGTGTGCTTGCGTATGTTGCAGGAGGAAATCGAAGGTGCCATGTTCAAGGTGAGCTCAGATGCGTGGTGTCCAAGTGTCTTGTCATCGATCGTCTGTAGCGTGTCCCATTGAGTTGAGCTGTTGGGAGTGTTTCATGTGCAGCGGGCCAGGAAAGATTGGGATTTCTGTGTCAGAACTTTCAAAAAATGCCGTGTATGAAGAGCTGCGCAGGGGAACTGTAGTATTGCCATGAGCTCCACGCACGTTTAGTACTGTACAGCAGAATCGCTGCATAATACTGAAGTAAGACCTACGGATCTCTTTTCCATCCAGTGAGAGTGCTGCATGTACATATATCTGCGAATGGTGGCACGCTCCAGTACACCTTCATTATTGATCTGCTAGCAAGCAAGCCTGCACAAGCAGCCGAAATGAATACCGCCATATCCTTGACTGTGCAGCTCGTCAATGTGCACACAGACACAAAGACAGCCGGCGGTGGAAGGACAGACCTGCAGATGTCCGTGCTCTATAGTTGTAGATCTGTATGTTAACTGCATGCACATAGTTGAGTGCTACTCGCATGTGTGCAGAATGGTACGCCCAAACCATGTGTTGTTCTATTCATTCACTTTACACATTCTTACAGGTTGGTGATCAGGTCGACGCACGCGATCTGCGCTGTGGAGCGTGGTTCGAAGCGAAAATCCAGCGTGTCACCCGCGGCAATGGCCAATCGACCGCATCGCAAGGCGAAACGTCGTCGGATTCTAGTTCAACGACGGAGTCCGCCGCCACGGCTAACGGTGGTGACAGTGCCGACATCTTTTACCATGTACACTTCGACGGGTAAGGTCTTCTCGGAGTCGATGCTGCAATATCTGTATGTAGGCGAAGAACACAGTATAGCCCACTTGATGTGTGTGATTCTGGAAAGGAGTTTGGTCTTTCATCAACCACCACACCACAACTGCGCTCTCCAGCCTACCTCAACTGATGGTGGCTGATGGTGTGCTGTGGCAACGTGTCGAGGTCGGCTGAAGAGCGCAGTTATGGTGCGGTGGTTGATGAAAAATCTGTACAGGGCCAAATGCTGCTGCTTACCCTTCATTTCGAGTTTGGTCTTCTTATTCTTTCTTCCCCTTCTATGCTGTATTCCATGTTCAGCTACGATGACCATGAAGTTGCAGCGCTATCGTTAGATAATGTTCGACCGAAAGCGGCCAGATCGGTGGACATCGCTAATGTAAGCTCTTGAAGGCCATTCTCGCTGGCTCTGCCTCCCGTTGCACACTTTGTCTGTATAACAACAGCGTCTTCCAGTGTGCCTCTCACTTTTTTCTGTCACATACGGACACTACCGTAAAAGCCCGTGTATAGGCCCCGGGCGTATAGAATAGCAGCCTCGATTTCCGGGGCGTTATTTTGGAACCGGGCGTATACTCGGAATAGGGACAGCAGTAAGTATTAGGTATCAGTACCTGTACATGTACTGGTGTTGCCGGCATACCTGGGCGTATACATGGGCATGGGCGCTATTTTGAAACAAAAGTGTTGACTTCCCCTGACTGGGCGTGTACACGGAGGGTGGGCGTAATTTCGAGTCGGCGTATACAGGGGCTTTTACGGTATTTCACATGCACCTGCCGTGCCAGAGAAGGAGCCAGCACTGGGTCAGCTGCTGGTTGTGCTGGGCTACCACTGGTTGGTTTTGAATCCAAGCATCGGACTATGCCCATTCCTTTAATCTTATAGTAGAGTGCCGTGCTCGGTACCTAGCTGAAGATCAGCTCAGCTGGGCAAAAATCCTGGCCATTACCCTGCGTTCTGTCTGTCTTTCCTATATCTGTATCGACAATGAGTGCTCGCTTCTTGCCGGTGAACGCCCACTGTACGATCAAAGAGCAACGATGGTAGGTGTATTGCACTATACCGCTAATATGTCCGGTATCATAAGTTCGGGGGGAAAGTGATAAAGCAACACACCACTTCAGAACAGTAGCAGTGTTTATACCCTCCTGCCATGATGTGTGTTTTCTGCCATTCACTTTACTTTCAGCTTAAAGTTGGCGAGCGGTACATGGTGAACTACAACAGTGATACGCCGAAGGATCGTGGCGAGTGGTACGACGCAGAAGTCATCAGCAAGGTGTGTACTGGGTCAAGTGTAGTTTGCTATTCTATGGTGTAGGTAGTGATGATGCCAGGCCGAAGTTTTATTTTCAAAAATAGCTACCGGTATATACACTCATACCGTTTATCCGGGCGGTCCGAAACCGAGCACTGCCCTAACTTTGAAATGGCCGCAGCTGCGAATCACATACATTTTGATTGGGCATACACCACGGTGCCACGCCGTGCACGTTCTCGGGCCTTTATCCGGTCAGCACCCCCAGCAAACTTCTGTGTATGTCCACCAGAAGAGAGTCCAGCCTCCTTCATCTCCTGAGGTACATACTGGTTGCCAATCGTTTTACTGGCCACTCCACGGCCGAGACAATAGTCATAGCTCTCTGAGCCACCAAAATGCAAACGTTTGGGGGCAAGAGACGTGAATGTATTATTGAGTGCTTCACTGGCGTTGGAGCTAGCACAGGAAGCAAGCTTTGTCAGTGTTGTCCGCCTGTTTAGGAAACAGTTCAATGAGGAAGGTGTGGAGCTCCTTTGACTGAAGGGGTCGGCCTCGTGGCAGGCAATGCTCACATGTTTACTATCGCTACACTCGGCAATATGTGTGGTAGCAGCTGCAGTTGGCAGGTCAGTTGTGCTAGTGCGCGGTGTGCTGGTTCCATCAGCAGGAGTACTGGCAGCAGCTGGCTCACGGGTCGGTGTAGACGGTAGCAGCGGGTCTACCATATTTTCCCGAATATAAGTCGACCACCCCAAATCCAGGAGTCAATTTCATGAAAAAAAGTTTTTATAGCTCCATGACACCCACACATACAAAATGATGAATTCTCTGCGAGGAGAGATCATAATTATCATGCTAGTAAGACAAAATCTGAACAAAACCAGTGTCATCCAATATTGTGTGTTTGTCTCCTCTGTGTTTCTGTTTGACAGGATGCCGCAGCAAAGCGTGTTGTTGTCCGACTGCTTCTAGGGTATGTCCATAGGTTGAGTTAGTTTCCACCCGCCTGTACTGTGTGCATTCACAGGAAGTGTGAGTTACGAAGTCTGAAGAGAATGTTGAACGATCTCTGCTGGGATGATGGCTACACCTTAGCTCAGTGGTTAGAGCATCGCTGGCCTCAAGCGAAGGTCCCTGGTTCGAATCCTGGTGGTGACAGTCAATTTTTTCTTCAGACTTTTCCCATTTGTGTCTTTCCCTCAAACCAGTGAATAATTGGGTATTATGTGTCTTTGACTCAGGAGAATCTTGCGGCTGGCCTTTTGTTGGTACAAGCTCTAAGAAAATCACGTTCTTCCTATTATTTCCAGGAACGGCGTCGAAGGCGAAGAAGTACAGCTCGTTCACTTGGATATTTTCCAGATCGAGAAGAACGGTAAGTGTGTGCTTTCCATCTCATGGCTACGACCTGTGTATTCTGCCGCTGTTGTTCCACGAGTGTGTCTTTGTGATTGTACATGTATTCCTGTTGTTGTTTGTCCCTGGTGTAGCAGCCATACTGCAGAGAAACCTTATATCAAGAGTACAACGTACCCCCCCCCCAGTACTAGTATGCAATGCCTGATCCAGTTCTGCATCTTGGTTGAGCGTAGTCGGATCTTCTGATGTCATGCATACGCTCGACACCAGCGCGAGGCAGGGCGCCTTTGTTTTGGAGTCGATCGTCTGGGGGTATTTCTGGTGAAGAAAAGTCGCGCTGGAATGCACAAACTGTACGGGTGCTACAGGGTTGTGATGTTATGTGTACCAATCTCGTGTCCTGCTCACGACCGGGATGTGCCCGGAATCTGATCTGTACGGTATTATGACGCGAAGATCCGATTACGCTCGACCAAGCGCCTATGCAGAGCTGGATCAGGCGTTGCACACTCTGGGGCCAGTGGGAGAGTATGCACTTACGGCGCACTTTTGTTCCCACCGGTATCTTGTGGTATCGTGAAATGTGCGGCTTTTTTCTCTTTCGCCATATTTTCTGTTTTGACATTCTGCTTTTGTTTGTGTTTCCATTCATTCTCGATGGCTCAGGAGAATCAGCCAACGGCGATGGTGACAAAAGTAAGCATTGTTACTGTGTGCATGTCAATACACTCCTACCTCGCTTACCCGGGTGGTCCGGGAACGCACTGCCCGTAACTCCGAAACGCATACATTTGATGGGGAAAGGCCCTAAATATGGCATATGACGTCACTATTTTCACAAAAGTGACGAAAGAGTAGTAATATTTCCAGTAAAACTTGCCCAAAGGGTACCTGGTAGACCAAAGTGCCTGTAACTTTGGGGTCCGGATAACCGATTTATGAGTGTAGTCAAATTTTGGTGCCACTGAGATGTAGTGTGTGTTGCTGTTCTGGACACCTGCCAGGCTTGGTGTGTGTTTCTGTGTGTCTGTGTGGTTGCACACATGCGAGTAGTTACTGACGAGCGGGTTCTGTGCCAGGGGCGCCCTGCCCCGAAAATGGGGTATTATTGACAATAGTGATGTTCTGCTGTACGATACGGGAACGCGATGCGAAGAACCCTGGGAACACTCTTCGCGTTCCCGTAACGTAAAGGAAATCTGTTCTGCTCTACATTCACGTAGAGAAATCACGTGGAATGGGTACTGGGAATTTCCCCTTCCAAATTTGGCAGGTTTCTGCCTGCATTTCAATGATACCCGCCGATCCGTACGCATTTTCTTCGCGTGTGCTACAACGTAGAGAACCTCGTCTACGCGTATACATCTGGACCCAAAACGCTCTAACCCAGACACCTGCTCTCTACGTGATTTCTATGTTTCACGTATTGCAGAACCTCACTAATACCCCCATTTTACGGTGAAAATTGAGTAGACGCAATGAAGCATATTGTCTCATGAGGATGTTAGTGTGGAGAGAAGATGGAGGTTCTCTGAGTCTCAGGCACATTTAACTGCATTCACTCTGTAGTGCTCTTGTGCACTTAGTTAAGATCTGCTCGTCTTCCATCTCTCTATCCCCCGGCTGCCTTGCAGGAAATAATGCTCCCGACTGCCGATGGTGCAAGGATGTTCCGACGCGCAAGTGCAAGCATTGCGCATGTGCCGAGGTGAGGTTTCTCTGTGGGTGTGGGTGTGAAGAGACATGCCCGTTTCTGCTCTGTCCGCTACCCTAGCTGTGGGGGGGGGGGGGGGTGGCGATGTATTTATTTATCTTGGCCAGTGTTCTCCCTGTGCTTTGAGGCGTAATGAATACAATGCAATAATGACTTTGCTGTTAGGGAGTTCAGCTCTGGCCCAGTTCAGGTGAAAACTGCAGTCACGACTCGCGTATACATGTGCAATGGACCCCGCATGGCAGCTGTTTGGGCTGACTTTGAGACCGCTTCTATCTTCTCCCATGGCCGCTTCTCCCTTTTCAATGCTATTTTTAGGTAGCTGAGATAATTACCTTTCCATTGATGCCACACATGCTGTACTTGACAAAAAAAAACTGGAGCTGCACATTGCGCAGAGGCATTGTGAAGTACTGATCTCAACCAGATGCATACTTGGCATTGGGAGGAACACCCGATGATCGTGTTCAGCGACTGACTTTGTGTGTTTGGCTGGTGTTGTGTGGCTTGCACAGTGCGGTGGTAAAGACGCGCCGGACAAACAGATATTGTGTGATGAGTGTGACAGCGCTTTCCACTTGTGGTGCTTGAACCCGCCATTGGAGGAGCTGCCAGAGGAAGAAGAATGGTAAGTGTAACGCCACTGGTTCGTTGTTGTGACTGGCGGGAAGGAGTGTGGCGCCGCTAACGGTGTTACCTCGTTTTATTTGTATCGGTTGTCACAGCTTGATGGGTGTGTGTGTGTGAAAGGCATTCACTGGCCAGAAAAAGTCACTTCAAATAGCTGTATGGTGTAGACCAGGCTGAATAGTGACGGTCAATTCTTCAGCCTTGCAAGCTGTTGAATGGTGCAATCCCAGCTCAAGTTGCTATGGCTTCTGCCGTAGCATTGCTATCATCGCAAGGCGATGGGCGTCAAAAGGTCAAAGGTGTGTGTGTGTGGTGCAGGTGTTGTGATTACTTGTCCTGTTGTAGTGTGGCCTGTACCGATACAACCTTGTTTGGGTCTGATTTTCCTTTCCCGTGTGTGTGTGTACGTGGTCATGATTGGCAGGTATTGTCCCGACTGCAAGAATGATGAGAACGAGGTGAGTACTGTGCTTTTGGCGCAACCACTGTTCTATCCGCTCCGAGTCCGGGTTACTAGTATTTGTTCCTTCGCTTCACCATTGTTTCTCCTTTCAGTCTGCATGCTTGAAACATTTTGTGAGCAGGCACTGTCCCACAAGGGCGCTGCTGTAAGCATCAATCTAAATAGCTGTAGCGCGTGTCGACTGTGAGCGGTGTGCTTGCTTAAATTTAATTTCACGGTTCGCGTGAGACTCGGCTGGAAGCCGTGTTTTCCGCATCCGCTGTGGGAACGCCACCACCCTCTAGGATCAAAGGCGCAGATGCAGCGCCTAAACGGTGGGAGGTGAGTAGATCAGACCCACCACCAAGTGGTCAAAGACCGAAATCCCATTAGCTGCATCCATGTTACCCTCGTGCTTGCTTGTGAACAGATAAATATTTAAGATATATTCGGTGGCGCTTGTTATGCTGTCAGCCTTGTTCATTGTGCGCATGTGTTTTCTGTTGCGTCCTGCTTGCCTCCTCCAGGTGATCAAAGCCGGTGAAAAAATGCGTGTCAGTAAGAAGAAGTCAAAGATGGCTTCTAATCAGGGCTCATGCACGCGCGACTGGGGCAAGGTAAGATTAACAGAGTTTCTTGTGAAACACTTTCTAGCCTCGGTTTTTTTTACACAGGACAATATCTGCTAACACGAAGCTCTATCAAGAGACGCTTGTGTTGCTTGGGCTTCGGTGTATGTAGAAGTGTAACTACCACTCGTCTTCTGGTATCCTTTTTTCTTGCATATCTCATAGCGTTCTGTAGTTTGCAGTAGGACTGTGTGTAGAAGCTTGATGCCAGTGGAGCAATGCTGGTACATGTATCGCTGTGTTCCATTGCACTGTCTCCGGGTACCAGTGTCACTGTGAGCGCAGTTTGGCACGTGTCTGGTTGTAGCGCTGCTCTCTCTTCAACTTGTCTTGTTTGCTGTTGTCATAGGGCATGGCATGCGTTGGTCGCACCAAAGTCTGCACCATTGTACCGCCCAATCACTTCGGCTCCATACCAGGCGTGCCCGTCGGGTCGCTGTGGCGCTTCAGAGTCCAGGTATGCTCCCACGCTATGCGTGATTTCTCTCTTTTGGTGCAGAATTGTGTGTGACTTTGCAGGACTCCAGTCAGTGTTGTTACTATCAGTGACACGCACGCTGTGCTGTTAAATCTAGAACTTTTGAGCTGTTGTGGCACAGACTCATAATAATTTTGACTAGTTTTCATTTGTATGCATGCCTTCCTCGGTAGTGTTGTATTTCTCACCATCAGTAGCAGGCTGTGTGACGTATTGATGCTCAATGCTGTGGTACATTTCACGCGCCACTCTGCGCTTGTTCTCATGTTTATTATGGCCGGTGTGAGTAGTGGGGCTGACTTCATTTCTTGTTTGGATGCCAGTGAGCCACTTTGGAAAACGTTTCTCTTGTCTTTATGTGGCTTCCTCCTACTCACGTTCTGTAATGCCTCGCTGTTAGAGCATTGCTCTGCAGCAGTTACTGCTCAGTGCTGTCATTCTGCAGGATATCGTGCAGATGAATCCACATGTTTTGGCATATTTGCAATGTCTTCCTTTGCTTTGCTTTGGGTGTTTCTGTGTGTGCTCATCTTCCAGGTCAGTGAAGCAGGTGTCCATCGGCCACACGTATCTGGTATTGCAGGCCGCTCCGAGGAGGGAGCATTCTCGCTGGTGCTCGCCGGTGGCTATGAAGACGACAAGGTACATGATTGTACTGTGCTGATATATTGTACAGTACTAGTGATTGATTTCACGGTTCGCTTGAGACTCAGACTGGGTTTTCAGCATCCGTAGGAACACCACCACCCTGCTAAGATCTAAAATCTTTGCGGGAGCTAGTAATTTATAGATGTATTAAATAATTAGAGTGATGGTCAGTGAAGTCCAACCATGGGTACACTTTCTGCGCCCTGGGTCAGACTCAAGTAGCCTCTGGCGCCCAACAGCTATGCAGCGCAGCGCAGCTTACATGTCCACCGTGCAACTTGTGGCACAGTACTCATGCACGAAGTCAGATTTTCCTGGCCAGCTCTCTATGTACTCTGTGCTCATGGTCCTGTGTGTCCATGTAGTGGCAATACTCGCAGTGTTCTTTTGTCTCATGCACCGGAGTAGTACTAGTCAGTGTTAACGACGTGCATACTAACGTCAACAGATCTGCGCGTGCGAACTGGTGTGGAGGAGTGAGGAATGAGCGGGGCAAGTGTGTGCATTGGTGCGGAGACGCCTGCACATAAACATAGTGAAAACTTCATGGAAGCACTGCAGTAGTACCGTTAGCAGTGTTTATTGTGTGGATTTGCGGCCATCTCTTTTTGGCATTGCATACTTGGTGAGCCATGTATTACTGTTAAAGGGGAAGTTAAGGCAAAAATTAAAATTTCACCAGTTGTAGTCTTCGGGGTGCTGAGTCGAATGGTCGTGGTCCGAGGAAGCTGAGACGCTCCCTTCCTACTTGAATCCCAATCGAACTCGCGCACTTCCACCGAAACTGGGTGACTGCGCCCTACTAGATGGGGATTTGTATGCAAAATGTCACTAAAAGCGCCATTTCGTTCTTATAAAAGCATGGATGACCGCGATTGGCCCATATGTTGTAGTCATTTGGACGCTGAGTCGTTTGGTTTTGGTCCGAAAAGGCTGCGATGCAGCGTTCCTCCTTTATTCCCAATCGAACATGGTTGAACAAGCGGTCACGTGCTCCTGCGTACGCCAGTCAGCTGGTCACCGTGCCTGCAGGGTACAACTTACTAGCCTGTTTGACCTTTTTTGGGTGCAATCCTGTCACTCGAGTTGAACCTTGGTGTGAAAGTTCTCGCGTGCTGGCGTGGTGACCAGGTGATTTGGGCACCCAGGAGCACGTGACCGCTTCTTCAACCATGTTCGATTGGGAATAAAGGAGGAACGCTGCATCGCAGCCTTTTCGGACCAAAACCAGTCGACTCAGCGTCCAAAAGACTACAACATATGGGCCAATCGCGGTCATCCGTGCTTTTATAAGAACGAAATGGCGCTTTTAGTGACATTTTGCATACAAATCCCCATCTAGTAGGGCGCAGTCACCCAGTTTCGGTGGAAGTGCGCGAGTTCGATTGGGATTCAAGTAGGAAGGGAGCGTCTCAGCTTCCTCGGACCACGGCCATTCGACTCAGCACCCCGAAGACTACAACTGGTGAAATTTTAATTTTTGCCTTAACTTCCCCTTTAAGCCCTATATATAACGAAGTGCTAAATCTAACGAGTTAACGAGGAGAAATCTGTCGTTAAAATAGAAAACGCTATACAGAAGTCCGTACGTACATTGTTGGTAGTGAGAGTCGTTACCTTTGGTACACCTAAACCGGTCAATTTTAGGAAATCGTTATAATATGCGGCTCGTTCGAATAATAGCTTTTAAAGTACTCGCTCTTCTGAATTTACTAGTATTTGCTGTATGTTTGTTAGATCATGGTTTTCTAACGCACACACAAAGTAACTTCTGTCTATCGTCTTCATTTCCCTCGTTGTCTGCCAGGATGATGGTGTCGAGTTCTTCTACACTGGCAGTGGTGGCCGTGACTTGTCCGGTAACAAGAGAGAAGCAAAGCAGAGCTCTGACCAGCAGCTGACCCTCATGAACAAGTAGGTCCGCGGTGGTAGTGTAGCTTAGCCTGGCGTCTGCAACCGGGGATTCTCATGACCTGACATTGTCGTTTGCCTCGACAGGGGATCATCATAGTCTGGCTGCACCAATCGGAATTGCCTCAATACTTGTACATTGTACAGTGAAATGTCTTATACCAGTGTCTCTTTCAGCCTCGCCTGCATACTTTCTTATCGGGTTCTGATGTTTTGGCTCCTGCTGATGTGCCCCGGCTTTCCTAGTGTTTTCAGTGCTGCATGGGTAACTGACCAATCTTCGGTCATGTACTTAGACTTGGTATTGCAGCATTGCTGTGGCTTTGACGTAGTGCTGGAGCATTGCTGTGGCTTTGACGTAGTACTGGAGCATTGCTGTGGCTTGGATGAACACCACTGTATAGTTCTCCAGTTGTTTTGATGTTCGACTGTCTGTATGAATCTATTGTACAGTTGAACATCGATTATCCGACCACCTCTGGGCAGACAACTGTCAGGCGGTGTTCAGATAAGGCAAATGTTCCGGATAAGAAAAACTGTCACTCACACACTTTCAGTGGTTATTACTAGCCGCACGACCTTTTTACTTTTTACTTTTCAAAATTTTCGTATTTTTTGAATGGCTCACTACATGCACAGTGCGTACTCTACGGCACGTGCGCCCAAAAAAACTGTTACGGATAATCGAATGGTCGGATAGTCGATGTGCGGATAATCGATGTTCAACTGTATTGATAGTATTCTGTGTTGTTCTCTCATCTATGATGGCTGTGCTGTGCTGTGCAGAGCCCTTGCCAAGAACTGTGATGCTACTGTCAACGACAAGAGCGGTGGCTCAGCAAAGGACTGGAAGAAGGGCAGGCCAGTCCGCGTTGTTCGCAGCGCGAAGGGCAAGAAGCACTCAAAGTACGCGCCGGACGAAGGCTGCCGCTATGACGGCCTCTACAAGATCGTCAAGTACTGGCCGGAGAAGGGCGCAGCTGGCTTCAAAGTCTGGCGCTACCTGCTCCGCCGTGATGACCCGGTACGGAGGGTATTTTATCGTGTGTGTCTGTGTGTGTTGTGCGTAGTGTTGAAACGAGCGTATCTATAACAAACGAGCGATCAGTTCCACTCACGAGCAAGCTATCGAGCGAGCTAACAAGTTGTTTCATTGATGAGGCAAATATGATTTTTGGAATATTTTTTTTCTAAGTTCGATTTTTTTCACCTGATTCAAATTATCACCGCCGGCATTTGGGGTTGCTGCTGCTGCTTCACTTCGGACTGCTGTTTGGTGTCGAGATGCAGCCTTTGTAAGAATAGACTGTTTTGCAAAGATTGCAAGTAGCCCTGTTCTTCCCTGAATCGCGGGAGAAAACTTCCAAACGACTGAGCGTAACTTTCACTCGAATGGAGAGGTGACCGAAGCGTATCCTGCGACAGGTCAGCAGATGCGGAACAAGACATCAGTAGAGTCTACCAAAGCTGCAACGACAACTGAAACAACTCAGTGTTGTGCAGCCATACAGTCACCGTGCTGTAACTGCGAGTGATTTCACTTTGCGCGGGACTGGACTCTCGATCGACCAGGGAGTCTTAAAATAGTTTATGAATCCCCTGTCGACATGTACTGCCACGTGTACGGTGTACGGTGTTCGTTAGTGCAAACGAGCCGAGTTTCTGGCGAGCGAGCTAACGAGTACCCGGTGAGATCGTTTCAACACTAGAACTTGTGCGTATGTGTAGTGTGTGTGCGTGGGTGTGTGTGGGTGGGTGTGGTGAATTGAGTTTTTGTTGACACTCCTTTTGCACTGTCACTGTGTATAATCACAGTCATGTCAATCTACAGCGCGGTGACTGGCATATTGGAAAGAAGCATGCACTTCTTTACTGTGATATGATATAGTCCATCTCCTATCCATCTTGACCTCTTCACTGTAGTCTCCAGCACCGTGGACCACGGAAGGCAAGAAGAACATCAAGAAGCTTGGCTTGACGCTGCAGGTATGTGTGGCATGCACCGCTCTTGATCTCGTTCAAATCGAACCAGCCAGGTGTGCTGTGTAAATCCAAAATTTAGGAGTGTTTCTTCAGTAGTGCGGAACACATAGTGGCAATTACAGACGTGTACCGGGATGAATACGGATTTTATTCATGGCAAGACTATTTTTACATCGCCACTCACTTGCGCCAGTGTTTAAGGACCAACCCTGGTTTATTGCATTACTGGATAGGTCAACGAGCAAATCGCAACTCCACTTAGCAGGTGCAAAGTAACGGTCCCTGTCATCACCCGCCCATCTTTCTTTTCTCTAGTGCAGTGTACAGAGGAGAGAAGGAGTGTTTACGTAACGTTAACGCTGGATTTTGATTTTCCTCATTGATTCGTTCACCTAACTATTAAAGTTGTTTTATTCCGCTTGCATGTGTTGTGTATTTGTGTTTGTGTTTGGCTGCAGTACCCCGAGGGTTATTTGGAGAGCCAAGCGCAGAAGGAGCAGGAGAAGGAAGCCAAGAAGAAGCGCAAACGTTCTGAAGCCGCTGCTGGTGGGTGATGGTAGTTGCTGACTTGTTGATGCTGCTCACTATTATGCATCGGTGTGGTACAATATAATAATATACAACATTTTCCTCAAGCGAAGGTCCCTGGTTCGAGTCCTGGTGGTGACAGTCAATATTTTCTTTAGACTTTTTCCCTTTTCCATTCCCTCGATTACTAGTAGTGAATACAATATCTTTGTTTTGTTCTAACGTTGTTTGGTTAACGTCAGTTCTCTTGTTCAATCTGGCAACTGTGGCTCTGTACATTGATTTCTTGCGGTTCTTTTTTGCACAGGGGACGATGAAGAAAAGTCAGCCACGCCTGCCAAGAAGAAGAAGAAGGTGGCCGAGTCCGCAGCCGCAGCAACCAAGACGACGACACCCAGCAAGACGTCTCCCAGTAAGACCTCCGGACCCGTCTACCATCTTGAGAAAGAAGAGCGCGATCTGATCAAGAAGGATGCGACGAACAAGAAGCTGTGGGACGGTTTGCTGAAGGGCAAGGAAGAGGACCTGTTGAAGCGTGTTGAGGAGGCGTTCATGTGCATCTGCTGTCAGGACCTGGTGTATATGCCGGTCACCACTGTATGCAAACATAGCGTCTGCAAGGTGAGCTACAGCTACGGATCTAAGCAAGTGTACATGAAACCCGGAGTTTGCAGCTCTGATGGGTTGCTGTCACGGCAAAACTCCGCGATCTAATCATTTCAGTGATGTGGTGCGTACACGCAGGATTCAAGCAGGCCTCTTTCTGCACAACTGCAGCTCACGTGTACTTTCCGCCTCAGATCTGCACCAAATATGATGTAATCCCGGAGCAGAAAAAGTCAGAAGTTGCACCTCCTGGGTTTCATGTACTCTTGATCTAAGCACTGTCAGCACTGTTGTTGTTGTGTCAGCGGCTGACACTCGCTGCTGTGCTGTTTGTCTCTTCTTCTTTGTTGATGTCACTGGCCATCACATGATGTGAGTTAAGGTGCTACTTGGGACAAATCCTTTAGTGCATGCGGAGCATTGATTACGTGACCGACATAGCCTTTTGTGATATGCGCAGGCTGGTTGTTTGCATGCAGGTGTGTGCACTCTGCTTGTGCTGTGTGCCGGCTTGCGTGTGCTCACCAATATAAAAATGATGTACGTGTATGTGTGTTTTGTGTTTCTGCTGTGCCATCGTACTAGTCATGCTTGCAACGCTCATTCAAAGCGGAAGTCTACTGCTGCCCTGCATGTCGCGGGGACTTGGACCGCAAGATGTCGCTGGCCGTCAATGGAGAGCTGTCCACGGTACTCACGTCCCTATTCCCCGGCTACGGAGCGGGTCGGTAACTGGTGCTCTCAACTCTTCTCCGACTGGACAGCTTGTTTTTATGCTTCAACTTTTTATCCATCTCTTGTTTTACCCGTTGCACCAAATCTTCTTACACGTAGCATGAGTTGCGGGTAGCGCTCTTGGCTCATGCTTTTGATTTTTACTCCTCTCACCGCTTAGCAAGACCCGTGACAAGACTGACTAGTGGATATATGCAAGTCTCATCCACATTTTACGTGATAATACTCCTCTAGGACTAATAATGGATTTGTCTTCTCTCCCTCTCTCTTGTGCTGAGATATCAACCGTTTCCAAGTAGATATGTGTTTTGTGTTCTTTTTCGTCCTTTGTTTGAAAGTTTTTCTTCTTCTTACTTTTTGGTGATCTTCTGACAGAGTTAGAGGGTAGGTAGGATGTCGTTCGTATTGTTTCATTGTGATATTCGGAACTGTGGTTGAAATTCATCATTGCTTGTGCAGCATTGTGCCGGCGGTAGCTTCTTGATCTGCTGTTGTTTTTAGAATTTTGAGGTGGTCTGTGTGCCCTCCTCATATCAATATCTCTGTGTATGTGTACATGCTGCAGGCTACTGTCCCATGCAAACAATGCATATTCATCTGCGTCCTCCTGTGTTCATGGCAATAATCATTGATTGTCGTTTATCCAACCGGGCACTACATGTGTGTGCAAGTGGGGATGGTATTATCCCATCAGCTGCTAGTGTATGTAGTCAGTATAGCAGGATGCTTGCCTGTGAACGAAATCCCCCAAGTCGTATGCATGCAGCGCACTGAAGAATGTGAAGCACTAAACTACCGGTATGCACTTTTCACGCAGTATACAGTGCTTTCCATGATTCTGTACGTACATGTAGGTTATTTGCACAGTACGCAAAATTAATAGCGATTCTAAAGATGCAACAAATTTTGTGATTTGGCCCAAATCCGCAATTATCTGCCAATAATTCCGCGAGTTCCTGGCAAGTTCCGCATTTTTCGCCGCATTTTTGGTTGTTTTCTGCCGCAAGTTTTTGAGGATTTTTTCCGCAAATTCCCGCAGGGACAGACTAAAAAGCCACAGCCTAGAATAACGATGGCACGCTGTGTTAGTTTTCTGGCAACTTCTGTGAACATACCGGTATGTACATGCGAACATGTGATCGATCCGGTGCGTTTCTAAGAACGTGTTAGAAGAACGCAGCCAGGATGATGAAAGATAAGAACGCCCCAGCCTGCCCCTTAGAGACAATGTTCTTGGGCGCGTGACTCTACTGCATGCTGTGGCAGAAGCAACTCATTCACTGTTACGTATGGTACACACAATATGACACAAACAACAATAGAATGAATGGATGAATGAATGAATGTAAAGCTTAAAAAAAGTCGACTTTAAATATAATTATGTACAGCAACTCGGAAAGTGTGGCAGTAGGAGAATGGTGTGTCTGCCATGATCAGGTTCATGTTCAGTGTGTGGGCAATGCGCAGCAAATAGAGTTATATCGGAATGCTCCTCATGTACAGGTCGGGTCATGTTGAATAATAAAACAAGCGGGTCAGGTCGCCTGATGACAACTCAATGGCCGTGTACTTCACCGGCCTTACCAGATACCTACACGAAAACACACAAAGATGAAACACGCACACACACAATCGATGCGGACAAGCAAGGTCAGGTATGCTAGCAAGTAATGATATGGCGTCAATGTAAAATGGACACAGACACATCCTGAGTGAGAAGAAAGCAGGACGCGGCATCACCCTAAGGGCCGGGTTCCACTGCGGCTCCGCTGCTCGAAACGTCATACTTACCATAGTGGCCGCGGCTCGAGCTGGAGCAGCGAGGCCGCGGCTCACCGCGAACTTTCGCTACGATTCTTGACCAAAAACTGCGAGCCGCAGTTGCGGCTCGACCTGTTTCCCGTACTTTGCATTGTTTTGTACGCCAGAATTTTAAAATTCAAAATTTAATTCGTTGCGCAGGCCAGAACACGAGGATTTTTTTGATTTCGCGCACAGACAGGTGAAACGTCATCAAAAAGTGCGGACCGCGAATGGCGAGTGTCAGTGGAACCGCGCTGCTCCGCTGCATGCAGCCAAGTGCCGTGGAGCAGCGGAGCCACAGTGGAACCCGGCCCTAAAGGGGCCTAAAGTCCACACAGGAACGGTCGAAGCAAATCTTTATTTTTATTGCGTGACGATTGCAAACAGACTCAGAAATGCAATACGCCCCTCTCCTGCCAGCTGTGTACTACATCTTGAATTACATTTACAATATTTACAGTAAAGTGGTGCAGAGCAGACTGTGTATTTACTAGAGAGTTTGAGGTGCACGGTATCTCTGACGTGACGCGAAAGTTCAGCTCGCGCGTCGAAAAACAACGCGAGTGACCTGCAGCTCGCGTCGAAAATAACGTGCATCTTTTGAAACCTCTCTACTGAGTTCAGTTCATGAGACTTTTGTTGACAACAGCACTGACTTCTGAAGTGGATTGCTCCACTGACTTCTTTTCTACTATTAAAAGGCGAGAATGTTCTGCCGAGTCACTGCGCCCACAATAACCCAACCCCATCCACCACAATCCCCCCCCCCCCCCCCCACACAACAGTTATCATTGTTTATCAGAGACACCAAGTGAACATAAACTAGCGTGTGCAACTCTGCCCAGTTCGGCCAACTGTGGCATTTTTTTCATTGCCGTCAACTTTGCCAGAGATCAGCGGAGTTGTAATTTCTTGCTTACGGACTCTTGAGGAGGCTAAAAGTCAGCTAGAAACACTAGCATCACAAGGGCACGGCCAGGTAACTTGCAGCCTCAAACTGCAACACAGCAAGAGAACTTACTCGCTTGAATTCATTCATGGAGGTTTCAGCCAGCGTTGTTCCGTAGAACGTAAAATGATCGATTATGGTCGTGTCTTCTCCGCCCTGATTGTCCTTGACAAAAATCTGTGCAAGCAGAGGATGGAAAGCAGCAATAGTCCTTACACACGTTGTACAGATGTACGGAGTTCTGTACTAGGGCCATAGGTGTTCACTGTGTGCTAGACATGCACACTTGACCAATTTAGCCCAATTATCTATGGTAAACAATCGCTATCCCAGCTTCTCACCACTTTGGATAGAACTAATGACTAGGTAGATCTTTGTGGGAAAAGTTCGTATGAAATGCCTTCAGGGCCCATTTCTGAGTGGAAATAGCAGTGAACACAATGGGGCCCTGCACATTCAACACCCAAGCAGGTCTACAAGATTCTACGGGATTTCGTGCATCTGTACAACATGCATAAAGCTTATGGCGACATAGCAATAACTGTTACAATGAAACAAGGCCAAGTGCATGTATTCGCACACACAGTAACTTGCACTTGACAACGGAATTGTGCAAATCCACACCAGTCACGAATTTCTCAACTCGATGCATACAATACCAACACCTGTCACACTACTTTTACTTACGCACAAACTCTGAACATTCTGGAACTTGACGAACTGCACAGGAACTAAACCATTACCTGTCGTATCACCGGGCTTCAACCTATGCAAGACACAGACACGCACACAGACACATACGCATGCGCACACACACACACACAAACCTTTGAGCTTTTGACGCCCATTGCCAGAGGCAATGATAGCGATGCGACAGCAGAAGCCATAGCAACTGGTGCTGGGAGTGCACCATTCAACAGCTTGCAAGGCTGAAGAATTGACCGCCACTATTCAGCCCGGTCTACACCGCCCCAGCTATTTGAAGTGTTTTTTTCTGGACAGTGAATCCCTACTTTCAAACACACACGCACGCACGCACGCACGCACACACACACAAGTATATAGATTAAGTCAGCTAAAGTCATGATAAGTGAAACAGGGCAGTGGCAAGGGCATCCGTCTGCAGCCAGTGCACTTATCAGCAAGGACTAACAACACCAGCAGCATCAACTTTGTCAGCATTCCCTTACTTACTGACACACACACCTTCTTTTTTTTTCTTTGACGTCCATCGCCGGAGGCGATGATAGCAATGCTACGGCAGAAGCCATAGCAACTTGTGCTGGGATTGCACCATTTAACAGCTTGCAAGGCTGAAGAATTGACCGTCACTATTCAGCCTGGTCTACACCATACAGCTATTCGAAGTGACTTTTTCTGGCCAGTATTTTTGGTCTTTTCATTTTTTTTCCCGCACACACATCACACTACATACTCCGGCATGCACTGGCTTTTGGTAACCAACCAGAAGAATGAAAGAAAAGTCAGGAAGAGTCTGAGAAAGAGAAGAAAGACGTGTGACCATAATCGTCGGGAATCGAATTCGCAACCTATCGATTGGAAATCGCTGCACATACCACTGCACCATATGGGACACACATACACACACACACACACACACACACACACACACACACACACACACACACACACACACACACACACACACACACACCACCACCACCACCACCACCATAGAGGCCTTACACAAACTCCTGTGTCGGTTTGTTGGTCTCAGCCGAGTCAAAGTCTGGTGCATTCGGCAAGTTGGTGAACAGTCTTAGAGTCTTTGGAGCATGGCCTGATAGAAAGACATACACAAACAGTTTCCTGTAATTTAGACCAGACATGTGGAAGTCCGAAGTATGACCAACACGCATGTGAGGACTACCGTCCAAAGATGGCAACAACATCAACTAACCTCAATTACACCATAATTATGGACAAAATGAAGGCTAGCACTGCCCTACACAGCTATGCAAACAGTAACCGAAATGAGCTGCGGGGAAACCAGCCAGCAATGCAAAGTGGAATGGAAGGCAACCCTTAGCCGCAGGTAATACATACAGACCCTGACGTGATAAGCCAGCACTAAATACACCAGCATCAGTATTAACAACACACCGACTGGAGCACTAGGAAGGAACAGCAACAACACCAACGCCACAACTAACGCCACCACCAACGCCACAACTAACGCCACCACCAACACCACCACCAACATTACCACTTACGACACCAATACCACCACTAACATTACCGCTAACGACACCAAACGTACCACTATGGTCAACGCCAATGCCATCACAACCACGAACAACACCAAATGTAGCACTAGGACCAACGCCATCACTAATGCCACCACTGACAACACCAACTGTAATGCCAGGACCAACGGCTTACGCCATCGCTAACAACAACACCTGCTGTCACCTTCACCACCACTAACAACACCAATGCAGTAGAAGAAGAATGATGCTAGTTGATACACGTGTTGACACTACTACTACTACTACAGTGCTGCTCAATAAAATCCAGTCGCGTCACTCAAGTTTGCGCCGTGTACCATTTCGCAGCCCAGTGTTTGCAGGTCTTTGGCTGCGCAACGCCAGGCGCGTACTTGAGAGCCGCGACTGGATGTCATTGAGCAAAACTAGTACTTACATGTGCTAGCACTACAGCAGCAGCAGCTCTACCCTAACCACCCCTGTCACTTCTTCCCAGCATGCACCTACAAACCAGCCGGAGTCACACCAAGCTCCGACTGGGATAATTTAGCTCACCATTGTCGGGTGACTGGACCTGTAACGTGTGGATCTTTACCGACTGCAGGAACGTGATGAAGATTATCAACTGCAAAACGCCAGCACACATCACACAGTCACAGCGTTAAGCCCAGGACTCTGATGAGAGAGTGTCAAGTACAAGGTGTGGGCATCAAACACATTCATACTTTTCGCAATAATTTATCACTATACATCACCTGAGTAAATAATTGTTATACAACACCAAGAAACAAAAATGAACTCTCCATACAACTAAACTGTAAGGTTCCCTATCCGCAGGCCCATACAAGTGAAGTTCCCTATCCGCAGGCCCATACAAGTGAAGTTCCCTATCCGCAGGCCCATACAAGTGAAGTTCCCTATCCGCAGGCCCACACAAGTGAAGTTCCCTATCCGCAGGCCCATACAAGTGAAGTTCCCTATCCGCAGGCCCATACAAGTGAAGTTCCCTATCCGCAGGCCCATACAAGTGAAGTTCCCTATCCGCAGGCCCATACAAGTGCGTGCGCGCACACACGGCACAAGAAACTCACCTGCTCATCGCATTCCGATTGCAGATAGCCACCACCAGAGTGCATGGCAGTGGTGAACCGATGATCGTCACTCTCATTCAGGCATTCACTCTTCTCCTTGTCCACCATCTCCACAAGATCAATCTACGGCAAGACACAGCACACGATAACACAGACCCTACACAAATCAGGATGCCACAAAAGAGGACAATCAACTGCCCAGTTACACATAGGCTAGATCTAGTCATGCAGTGTCATCATAATTATGGTGTGGAAGCATGCACTGCCGTGCGCACAACATACATGCATATTTCTGGGTGCATGCATAGCACCGCATGTGGAACCAATGCTAGAATACACACAGCAAAGTCCTGTTGTATGAACTATGAATCATTGGGCGCTGCCGGCACTTTGTCGATTGGCTGGTACAGGGCTGAGTGAGGATGGAAGTAAAGTATATGCCTTGATCGCCTCGTCTAGGCCATGGGATTGGTCGGTTCCGTGACCACAGGGATGTAAGTAAAAAAATCGAATGCTGTGTATTTATTCCTGCGGGGTCACTAATTAGTGTGCTACACAACATAGTCAAGTGCTGAGACAATGACTGTACAGCTGGTCACGTCTTATTTACTACATGCACCAGTGTGTGTGTGTGTGTGTGTGCTCCTTGCCTTTATGTACTTACATGACCAGCAATGAGACCAGGCAGCAATTCGGTTGGCTTTTCCGGAGCAGCAGCAGCGGCAGCAGCACCATCACCGGCAGCAGGGGCAGCAGCAGGTGCAGCCGATGCATCGGCGCTGGCATGCTGCTGGAGCATGGCTTCCAGTGCGGGCCGGTTGGCACCGCGCACCTGACCGACTCTAGCGCCCGAGCGCATGAAGATGAACGTGGGCATGGCGCTGACACTGAACAACGCCGCCACCTCCTGCAGAAGAAGAACCAATGATTATGAAAGGCTTATGACGTCTCAATCTAAGTTCTGTTTTACACATCCTATCCTATATAATAACAGACATAGTGAATTAGACTCCTGGATATTTACATACGAATCCTCCATAGCTCAAACGAATCCTAACAAGTACAGTAGGTATCGGTTATAGCGTGGGTGTTTGAAAAACGACATTTGATTCTTATTGTCGATATTTCTTACACACGATAAATCACGTGTGACATATCATATGCACGTGTGACATATCATATGCGCGGGGGGGGGGGGGGGAATTGCGCGCACGTTTGACATGTGGGCACGTACACATGATACACACGGATCAATCGGACTCGCGGTCGGGCTAGGCGACTGCGGAGCAGCGGATACAAGAGAAGACGGAAGAAAGAGTCCGACTGGACAGAAAAAAGTGATTCTCCAATGCTCCCTTGGACATAACTCTCTTTTTGTGTTGAATATTATTGTATTGAGTATGCACAGAGCACAGATGTTATTACTACAGGCGATACACTTTGCACTAATCTGGCATATTTTGCTACACAAAATCCATTCTTAGGGCCGATATATTCTACTATGCGATAATACTGCTTGTAAGAATAAATATACACATAAAATATGTGTTATGATTATGAAAAAATGAGTGTTCATTCTTGTACGCAGTATATTCTTGTATACGACCACACTATAACCGATACGCACTGTACTAGTAGTGTGCATATTCCTCTGGCACGCCAGCCAAGCGTGACCATCAGATTTATCACGTTTTATGGCATTCATTCTCTGGTCTTGCGTATGCATGTACAGTCACAGTGTACTACAGCGCACGTGTGTGCCGGTGTTGTACTGTTACTGCTGTATGCTAGATGTGCCTGCAGATTACAACACGTGCACCACATAAGCGGGATGCCAATGCGAAAAGCTGCAGTTCTACTTTGCCCTTCACATGGAATTGGTCATGCAACAGGACTGCACGTCAACTATGGGTGAGGGCTAACATGTATGCATGTACATGTATCAAGGTGTCTATCTATGCATGCATGCATACAGGATGAGCAGACCCTCTTCAGGCTCTGATGATTGCCATAATGCTGTACAGGCAGTACTAAGGAACTCCTTGCAAGCCAAAACCAGACATGATTAAGCAGAAGAGCTGGTTTACCTCATTTTCATCCACGTTCACCTTCAGAAACAGAACATTAGGATACTGATTGCTAAGCTCTTCATACGCAGGAGCGATCTGACGGCATGGTCCACACCTGTGCCCAACCACAACACCCCAATACTCTGTCAGTGTCATCCTGGCACATCAGTAATACTGGTACTGTATCAATTTTTTGTGCAACACATTGTTGTTCGATAGCTACCGGTATTACATTCGTCTTACGTATACCGTATTTTACCGGTTGTAAGTCGACCCCGGTTATAGGTCGACCCCCGTATCTGGAGGTCTCAATTCTGCGTTTTGAAGTTTTCACCAAAAGAAGCACTACTAACACCTCCCTGCTACTAACACATCAACAAATCATGTAAACATTCCTTATTGGATGGTATGTCCCAATCCTTGAAAAAGGCCAATAAACTGGCAAAAATGTGTACACATGGTGCACTCGTGCATGCAGGGCAGGTCATTTTTTGTAAGATACTGATAGTTCCCGGTTATAAGTCGAATCCCGGTTGTAAGTCGACCCCCACCCTTTCTACTTCCATTTTTAGTCATAAAAGGTCGACTTACAACCGGAAAAATACGGGTAAACGACCTTTTTTTAGTTGTCCATAGCAATGTATTGATGCAGAGTCAAGAAACATCATTCAAGCAGCTACGTATTTTCATCCACCAACCGTAAGTCAAAGGCGCAAACTACAATCAAGACGTAAACAATGATTATGTGTGCAGAAAATAAATAAAAACAACAGGTCATTTCGGCACTTACCAGTTCGCAAAGAAGTCGACTACAATCAGCTTTGAGTCAGCGGCCGTGACCTTCGCCTGAAAATCAGCTGGAGATTCTACTACTTGCACGCCCATTCTGGATTTGATACAAACGCCAACGTACTCGACAGAGAGGAAGCAAGAAGAAACTAACTTTCTGAAAATACTTCGTGCAAATGTGCTTCAGCTGTTGTTCTAGATTTTCTTTGATGGCGCTGGATTTGAAAGAAGGTTGTATTTTTGACCCTTTTCGCATGACATCGTCGCTTTCGTCAGCAAAATTTCAGGATGATCTATGATTCATCGATGACGCGTTCCGCGCGGGAAGGGTTTTTGGCACTTTTTTTCCTTTTGATTTCAACAAAATTCTGTTTATGCATGGTGATTCTTCGACCTTTAAAAAAAGCTTTCCGCTTTCTTTCATTCCATACTCTTCTAGATCCTCCATACGGACCACTATCCCGCCGGTGAACTAATACTTACTTCAATTTACTAGAAGCTGTCTCCTTGGGCGTTCGGGGAGGCAGGTTAGCACCGAAGTAATGGACAGTCAACAGAAAAAGTGTGAGCTTGGCCCATGGAATGTCAGCACCACACAGGGACCTATTTTGAAGTCCAGTTGTCCATTGCAGGAGAACTCCACGCACGAAGGTGACAAATGTGCAGAATGCTGCTTTGCCAAATTGAACTACCCTTTGCCTGAGATGGTGTTTGGGGAGAACTGCCTGAGGATTGCGCACCAGGCGGGATTTGCTTTGGAGTTCAGAGCTCTGGATGCTCTGAAGCTGGTAGACGATAAGAAAGAATGGATGCATGTTCCAGTGGCTGATCAGTGGCAGAAGGAACGCCAGGGTGTCACAGGCGTTGATAAGTGTTCCAACCCATACGACTGGACTTACAGCACACCATACAGAGGAAGCCTAGTGGGTGACGTCACGGTCTCAACAACAGAAGAAAGAATAAACTTGGACAAGCTTCGTGAACGGGAGAAAATCCTCTTCTTCGATGAGATACTTCTGTTCGAAGATGAGCTAGGTGACAATGGCGGCGCGCAACTGGAGGTTAAAGTGCGCTGTATGCCCAGCGGTTTCTTCGTACTGCAGCGCTTTTTCTTGCGAGTCGACGGCAGTATTGTGCGTCTTCACGACACTCGATTATACCATGGTGCGGGAACGGACTATGCCATCCGGGAATACCTGGTGAAGGAAAAGAAAATCAGTGAACTACCGGGACTGGAGGCGCATGAACTCCGGGACCCCGATTTCCTGTCAGGCAAAATGAAGGAGGTCGAGCTGGTATGTGAGCGCCTTCAATTCCCATCTGCATCTTAGTGGGAGCGGCTACTTACGTCTGTGATTCATGGGAAGCATCCTATCTGTGGTAAAAACTTGAGAACGGGGTCACTGTGAGATTTGTGTAAATCAAGCGTTGGGTGCATGGAATAAGCAGTAGCCAGATATCCAGCCGTGTGTATTCTCTGTGCCGGTGCTGAGTTTCAAGCAGGTCGGCTCTGCCTCTAGCCTGTTCCGAATGGCTTGTCTATGCTTGGACAGTACCTCACACCCATGTATTTGTATGGCCCGGCACAGCAGTAAGGACTGGGCGACTGCTCCTGCCTGTACCAGCAATAGTAAGACTACCCCTGTGGCTGCTACTCTGCCAGACGCAGCACCGACCAGCCAACGCTACAGTGCATCGGCTTTCGATGGCCTCCGTGCTTCAGGCACAGCATTGTGCAGCCATGCACATTTACTTTTCCTATAACATCAATTCACCATCATCAGCTCTAGACTTGTTCAGCATTGCCTTACATCACTGGTAAGGGACGGGGAGAGAGAGAGAGGGCAATGGTGTTCTAATGCTCTTCTTTTTAAAATTACAAAAGTACGTTTCTGAAATGAAAGTTGATTGCTACAAAAGGTTTCAGAAAGTTCCATCTTCGCTTCCCCCCCCCCCCCCCCCTTTATTAGGGATGAACCTTTGTTTATAATTCTGCTGAGCATTCTTAGCAATGTGTATCCTGATGATACCCATCACAGGCAAACGCATCGCAGCAGGCAAGCCAGCTCAGTCAAGAATATGGATGATCTGCTTTGGCAACTTCTCGTGAGACAATGCTGCCCAATCTTGTAAATGTACATGGCATAGTTTAGACTTGTTTTCTCTTTCAGAAATTGATCAGATTAATCATTTGGAAAGAATTGCTAGTACCGCTACAGAATTGTACTTCCCTTTCTTAGCTGGGAGTTTATGTAGTGGGAATGGGCGAAAGTGGAGAATAAAATAAGAATACAATTGGGCTTGAAGGATGTGATTTGGACCTTGAAGGCGGCTGCGGGAAAGTCGGTCTCACCGACTCTCACGCGAACTGTGAGATTTTATTTATTTATGTGAGACTTGAGGTGAATTCGAGAAAAAAATATTTTCCATCCATGATCTGTAGGGAGCGTGAGCAGAGCTGGCTAGCAGGCTACTCCCAGTGGAAACGTGCCCGGGTAATCCTGGTTCCTCCATAGGCCACGGCCTTGTCACGGACGACTCCGTTAGACTTGGTCGTGTGATCTGAGGAAAACAAGTGGGAGAAAAACAAGACACCAGTAGGACTAGGTCTTAACGGGAAAAGTCCGACTAAGTGGCTCCGATATTCTCACCGCACATCTTTGTCGGATACACTTATGGGGTTCGTGACATTTGTACAATGAATGTTGGGCTGTAGTGCAGCAAAGAATCATGGAAATCTTTGAATCCCAAATAAACGAGGACTGTAGAACAAGAAGTGTTGGTTTGGATCCAAAGTGCTAGTTCAAATATTGTACAATAATTATAAAATGACTACAACTTATAGCGTAAATGTGCTGAGATACAACACTCGTAACAAGGTAGAAATTTATCAAGTTTTAGAAGGAGAAATAAAATAATTATAACAACGCCAACGCCATAGTGAACACATAATCATTATGTGGCATTGTTCACACCTCGACGAATTTACGCTACAAGTTGTAGTCATTTTTTTCCATTTTAGCCATTCCCTGTATAGTCCTGATGAGAAGGGAGCAAAAACGTTTGATATAATCTGATATGAGTGTCTTCTGGACTGGATGCGTTGATTGCGTGGATGCATGAGAACTTGACTTTGTTCTAGAACAAAATGGTTTGTCGCCTCCGGCCTCCGTTGTAATAATTATAGCATGCTATTTCTTGCGGGGCACTATTACTTCAAAGTACTTCGAGTACTCGTATGTCGTAGTGCATGTATATCCAGTTATCCACCCCCTTTATCTACTCTGGTCATCACCCATATTTTTAATAAGCCTTATGCACATTGTATAGATGCACGATATCCCATAGAATCCCGTAGGCCCGGTTGGGTGTTGAATGTGCAGGACCCTATTGTGTTTACTGCTATTTCCACTAAGAAATGGGCCCTGAAGGCATTTCATACGAATCCTTTTTTCTGGCAAACATCTAGCTAGTCATTAGTTCTAACCAAAGTGAAGAAGCTGGAAAAGTGATTGTTTGCCATTATAATTATGAGGCTAAATTGGTCAAATGTGCATGCATAGCACACAATGAACACCCAACCGGGTCTGTACACACCTACGGCAAGAGTCCATAAACAAGAGTATGCAACTGTGATCTCTTTTCTATGGGCCAGATGCGCAGCGCACTGCCTTCATTACATCATTCAGCTGGAGTCCACGCACTGCGGAAAATCAAACACCGCACTTTCCCTCCAGTTTGAAATGAACTTTCGTACGGAACTGGAGTTCACGCGCCAGAATTCAGAGATTGTGTAGGTACTGGAACGAATTGAGCAAAAACGGATGGGCTCGTGCGAGAAATTGAGAGTTTGAATGCATGCTTTCAGAGCATGATGAAGGCAAGTTACGTAATGAAGGCAGCGCGCCGCGCACTGACCCATAACCACAGTTGCATACTCTTGTTTATGCACTCTTGCCTACGGTCCTAGTACAGAACTTCGTACATCTGTACAACGTGCATATTAAAAGGTCTATACATAAAAGCTTCCAGTGCAGCAGGTTCCATACTGGTAAAACTGAGGTGAGGACATCTTTGCAGATACTCCCCAGATATCATGTATTTCTAAGCTTTGGAGCATACCCGGAGATCTTTAGAGGTGCATGTCTGGAATGAGTATTTCCAACAGTTAGCTGGACAAAAGTCACCCAGGACACCACATGCATTCCAGGACACATTCTTTGCAGCACACCCTGGAATAGCCTACCCCCCCCCCCCCCCCCCCCGCGCACACACACATGCACACCGGACACGTATGCACTGCGCGTCCTTGCAGCTTTCTCACCGAAACTGACGCTGCAGGAGCGTGCCTGAGTGGAAGGCCGCTGGCGAGGGCGTTTCTGGCTGGACACAATTGGCTCTTTCACTTTGATGACTTTCAGCCAAGGTCCACAGTAGGCTTCCTTGCACCCAACAGCAAAGTAGAAGTCTCCGTTCTTTCCCTTGACTGAAACCGCAGTAAATAGGAAATACACAATACACTGCAATAAATAGCTTCATTCATTCAGGTCGGCAGCAGTGACAGCTCTCACGAACCAAAGAAAATGTCACTCTGGAGATTATGTTGTTTATAGCGTACATGTCTTGAATACAATCATCGCATAATCATGTACATGTACATGCAGTGTATAGGTGCAAGTATGTCTGTGTTATTAGCCGAGTGTCTGGAAAATACCGGCCTATATCTGGATGGATGGCCGGCACAGGACACGGTTATGTACTGTACATCAGGCTAGACAACCCGGGCCAGGTATGTTGCAATTCGCTCCAAGTGTATTCATGATCATGGCACAGTAACATCATGCCACTTGCTTACAAGGCATTTTAGCCCCGGCTTGACCCCTGCCCCTATCCTGCATAACATTGTTGTGACCAGGGAGTCGTAAAATACCGGTATTTTACGACTCCCTGGTTGTGACCAGGCAGCAGGGAGTATAGTAAAATCCCAAATAAAGATAATGGTGCTTTTAAAATATAAATAAAAAATACTTTAAAAAAACTTTTAAAAGTACTTTTACTACTCCCTGGTTGTGACGCTAATCAACAACCTCAGCCAGCTCGGTGCAACTCTGATGCGGCAGGAACTCCAAGATGCCCACCTACTTACAGGCAACCTGGCTGCTTGGAGGGGGCTGGATATATCCGAACTCATACACTCATAGGACAGAAGCGGAAGGAGACATGCAGCGCGTACTATTTTATTTACTTTCGTCACGTAACTCATTTTGTCCTTGCTGTGATGGCCGAGTGGTTAAGGCGTTGGACTTGAAATCCAATGGGGTCTCCCCGCGCAGGTTCGAACCCTGCTCGCAGCGTTCTTGTTTTGTCATTTTTTATGCTTTTTAGCAAACTTTTTAACCCAGCCCAAGATGAGATGATAATATTCTGTCATGGCTATTCTGTGTCAACATCTTTCATTTTGGGCTCAATCTGTTTATGGAGTTTGTATTGAATGCAACCCAGCTGATTGATCACAAGGCCATTCTGCATCATGCACATTTTCATCCCAGGATGAATTCCGACTTGCCCTATACCGACCTTGCTGAACGCACCAGGACAACATGAGATAACAAATGCGGCCGTTCGTATACGAGTACGTACCAAGGTAAACTAACCCAGAATGAAAAATTCCCCGTAAACACACTTCCCTCTGCACGTTAGGCTTCGGTCACACTACGGCAAGTTTGAAGCTGGACGCAGCGTCAAGCCGCAGCACTTGACGCAGACGCGGGGTCGACCGGTCACACAGTGTTTTGTTTTGTTTGCAGCTCATGACTGCCGCGGCCTGACACATTTGTCGACGTCACAAAATCACCAGGGAAACTCAATGACGACACGGATTCCCACGGAAACCGGCCTTTTGCTTATTATACACAAAAATTGTCGGACAAAGTTTTCAAATTTTTCATTGATTTTTGATAACAAGAAGACGAAAGGTCCACGCGTGCACGACCGTTGTTGTTTCTTTCCGAATTTGAAGCCATTTTCAGTTGTAGTGTCATGGATCAGGCAAGAAAAGTCCGCATCGCAGCTGTGTTTCTCCTGACTTCGTCATACTGGTTGTCCTTTTTGGGGCTCTTGACGACAACACAACACTCACAAATCAACAGGCTCCAGTTGGCCGATGACCCACTCGAACAACTGGTCCTTTCTCGACATCATTTTCTTCTCAGAAAACGCCTCGCTCTTCCGCCAGGTTCGGAGCAGAGCAGCCTCGGCCTCGTAGGTCCACGGACTCATCTCGAAAAAAAAGAGGGAACAAAACAAACCTTGAAGAGACGAATGTCGAATGACTGCTCAACTCAAGCAACTGTCTTGAAACTAATTTTACTTGAAAGACACTGTTTTTCCGCCAAGCGTCACTCCCATCAGCGGCAACGCAGCCGATTTCCCCACGTCAGACGCAACAGCGTCTGACGCTCAAACTTCCCGAGGTTGCGTCAGTTGCCATGGAAAAGCTCATGATTCTGACGCTGACGCAGCATTTTTGCCATAGTGTGACCGAGGCCTAAGGTCAGCAACTGAACACATAAAAGTGAAATGCTGCACACTGCCTTGGCATGCATCGTGGCAACTGACTGGCATCCAACCTGGCGGCATGGTGGCATTCCTTTGGAATCATGTGCAACAACCGTTCAAAGTACATAACGAAATGAAATGCTAGCAGGTGGTTCTCACCAAGGTCCCGGTAGTGATTGAGTCGGCCACCTAGCATTGACTCCTTTGTGTCATGGTTGACATGTCCATCGGTTGGCTTCTTTCCACTTTCACTGTGTTCACTGCCACGACTGTGGTCATCACCTGGCTCGACGCTATCACAGTGGAGGATATCTCGGCCCTGCACAGCCACCTCACATCCTACGGCCATGCTTTCATATTCTGAAAGAGCACAATGGAAACAACATTCAGCCAACAGTTGTCATACCGTGAAGGAAACTTCAGTAAAAAAATACCTCCGGGACATGAAAAGCTGCACTTTGACATCGAGGTACTGTATATCTATGCCTTCTAAGGTCAAACGAATGGAAAAGGATACACTGCTCCTTGACAATAAAATGCTTTATAGCTAGGGCTGAAACGATCATGGATTTTCACCAGAGAGTTGTATACTTCAACTTACTGTATAGACTGTATACTGTATACTGTATAGGTCTATACAACTCCCAGATTTCATGCACCTATCAATTACTCTCAGTAACTGAGTACAGGCAATACTCGTATACTAGTCTGTACTCGAATACACGATAGGAAAAAGATCAGAGTACTCGTGTTTTACATGCATACTTTCACTCCCAATTGTAATAAATATAATATATTTATTATACTTGAATCTAAGACTATCAGCTTCCAACGGATGCTAGTAATTAATTTCTTCTATTTGAAGACTGCAACCATGTATCAGCATGATGACCAGCATTCTGCGTCATGCCAGGCATACCTGCTTGTTTATCGCCGGAGTGGCCAAGTGATTCCTTCGCCTGCTCCAGCATTGCCTCTCCGCCACGTGCACTGGAGACAAGCAAAGCCCAAACGAAACGCAGATACAGTACATGTATTTGATTTACCGTATTTTCCGGAGTATAATATAAGCTGCACTTTGAACACTCAAAATTCACCCCGGAAAAAAGGGGTTTCGGCTTATACTCCGATAATCAAATTATCGGTGATAAATATGGTATTTTGTGGCAAAAAATGGGGGTGCGGCTTATACTCCTGACAATACTGTAAAACAAGTTTAACCAGTAACCAGCAATGGCCATCAGAGCAAAATATGTGGACATAATCATGGCCTGGCAATGCACTGAATAGATAACTGAATACAGTTGCTATTCTAACGCTACATGTGAAGCCAAGTTGTACCGGGGCATCCACTGTGCAAGGCCAGTGAGATCCTCCTGGCTTATGGTCCGAGATGGAATTTATTTGTTCAGTTCATTATTGCCAGCAGCACTCACACAGCTGGAGACATGCACCATTACCACTGCATGGCCGCACGCCGGCGATCACTGTGTGGTGCTCACCCCCTTCTGCTAGACACCGTACCGGCATGAGAGTAGCGTGTAGTCAACCAACTATGAACATGTAAACGAACGGTGGCCCCACTCCATCATGTCGTATAATTTCCCCTGCTCCTCGGACCTATCAAGAAATTCATTCCCGGAATCCAACACTCAGAAACCGTGCCACTGTAAACGGTCACCGCCGGTACGTGTACAGTACTTACATTGCCAGACCTTCACTGAGACTGCTGCAGTGGACAAGCACACAGCCTTCTCCCTGCATTGCTACGCCGCAGCCTTCGGCAACTGCTAGCGACCGGCCTGAACAGGACGATACTGCAGCAGGTGATGAACAACCATGGCCGGCAGTTGAAACTGTTTTACACGGGCTTCTGCCTGAGGGGACACGAAAATACGTGTGGAGATGTTATGTTTATGTTCTGCAGTTACCATGTTACCATGGTTACACTTGGTGAACTAAAATCCAACCCTAAGTGCAAAGTTAGCAGCTCAAAACCAATTTGCATTCCATTGAATTGGCCTAGCTGGGTGCATGATACTAGATCAGTGGGTGGGGATAATCGCCACTCTCCTGCATCTACATGTACATTGTCTTGCACTACATAGTCAACTTCGCTTGTAACGACACTGGGCGGGGCATCAAAAAAGTGTCCTTATTCGCGAAGTGTCGTTATACCCGAAGTCTCATCATTATGACTGTATTACAGTTGGATGGGACTTTGCTCTGGGCATGGACATTCTGTCGTTATTCGCGAATTGTCGTTATATCCGCAGTCGTTATTAGCGAAGTTGACTGTATTCCACATCTTGGCAATCACTACAACTTACAAGTACAATCATCATGCACACTTCCCAGGCAAACTTCCCCACATACTGAGCATTGCCACTGTTACTTAGTTACTACTGAAGTATCAGAGTTTTTTTATACGACTCCCTGGTTACTACCGGTAAGTAAGCATGGTAAGACACTGAGTGTTAGCTTAGCCTTAGTTACCATGATGATCTGTGTAGATCTGTGTAGATCTGTGTAGATCTGTGTAGATCTGTGTAGATCTGTGTAGATCTGTGTAGATCTGTGTAGATCTGCATGACTGCTGAGTGCTGTGTATACTAAGGTCCTAAGTAAGGAACCCACCACAGTCAGACCTCTTCTTCCGAGTTACTTACCCGATGTTGCTGGTAGGAGAGAGTTCGCACTGCTGTGTGAAGATCTGGGGTGCCTCCTCCTGGCACTGCCCGTGTTCAAACTCAAAGCGGCCACTCCAGACGTGGTCAAGGCCACTGATTCAGTGGTGCCGCTGCTGCTGCCCGACAACATCCGATGGTAGCACTGGCTGTGCGGGCGGGCATCTTGGCTCCTCACTGGACCAGAATGCACTGCCATCGCCTCCGCAGCGACCCTGTCGACTGTCGGACCTTCGGCACTGGCCTCGGCTACCAATGATGATTACTGTTGTTCCGCCAGCTTCTCTGCTGAACTGCTTTGTTTCCGCAGTTCGGATCTTTCCCCAATGCTTATGTTGCGGCAGAGCAAGCAGGTAGTACGAACTCTGATCTGAGTCTACTCGGTGTCAAGCCTGGGCCGCCTAATCACTTGATCATGCCTGTAATACGTGGTGTATCGCAATCGATTGCTATTGACATAATTGTAAACTTGCGTCGCAGAAACAGATCGAGGAAAGTAAGTAAGTAATTAGTTGTTCCCCACGACCGCGGAGCTCTTCTGACAACTGTCAGTGCGTGCTCTGTTTTCATAGTCGACCGGTTGTCTGGCGTAAGTCTCTAGTCGAACATGCCCTACGCGCTACGTTTCGATTATGGTGGCTCAGACAAACGCTCCGCTGCACTGAGAAAACCCCCGGACAACTGTTACAGTCATGCTGCAAGCAATAGCTAGGGCAAGTCCGCACCATGTCCGTGAATACCCTCCAGCAATACTCTGCAGCCGGTGCATTCGAGGAGAGCGCCGGCGGAGATACAAGATCACTCTCACGAAACTCTAGTGGCAAGTGTTCGGATCGAGCTGGATGAAGGCCTGTACGGAGTATTACCATGCCAGGTATTTCCTCTCACGTCGTTGCAAAACTCCCGCTGTTTCCAAACTTCCTGACCAGCGCGTCAGGACGACATTCCCGATTGATCTTTCTCCGATGCTCTGACGTATCGGTAGTGGTATTCAACCAAGCTTTGCTGACCAGAGGCAATATGCAGATAGTTGGGCCATCGGATGACCTTCGCATTGGACAGCACACGCGCGGAAATACCAGCACTGCAGCCTTGTGTGCGTGTGTGCTTCAAGAAAAAGTCATTTTAGCGCGACCCAGCATGGAGCCGGAGGACGCGGAAGCTGGGCCCATGTACAGTGATGTACGCGTGGTGAGCAGCTGCGAGCTGCCAAGACGGTGTGGTTGTTGGCACAGACTCAGTGACATGATACCTCTGTACTGTGCTTGGGATTTGCCGGTGAGTGTGTGAACTTACTTATAATAATTTTGGCCTAACTAGAATTATTGTAGTGTCAGGCTCAAGGACATTATGCCATAATATGGCATAGAGCCAGTGGCAAACGACTTGAAACAACGGATCACACCGCCGCAGATGGGGCTATCCTGTATGATGAGTATAGAGGTTATGCAAACGATATCATGGTGATGAACTACAGTCCATTCAGAAAAGGTTGATATCCTAGCTTTTGGCCATCGAAACGGGTCAACTTTTGAGTTTTCGTCTCCTTTTTTAGGCAATCCCCCATGGAATGCTCTTCCAATTGTGTTTTTGATGTCTATTTCTCCAAAAAGCAAGCCATAACAAGAATAGGATTTCGGCCAGGTTTTGCCCCAAAAGCACTAAATTGGGTAAAAACTAAAAACCATGAAAATCCAGGCCGTTCACTCCACTTGCATAACAGTACATTTGCGGTTCGAACCCCAGTTGAGGTGCCTTTTTGGACCCTTTTTCAAGTTTCGAATCGCGCGGCACTGCACAGTGTACCACAAAATTACCAAACACGGGAGCTCTCCAGAGCCAGCGCTCAACCTTTTCTGAATGGACTGTAGCAGACTGGCCGGCTTATGGGCGCTAAGAATACAGTGTGAGTCTGCAGAACGGCTTATGATGGACTCTGTGTATCATGACATAATTGCGAGTCGCAAGTGCATCGCTGTGCAGTAACTTTGCCAAGGCATCTCAAGTTCTCAACTGATGATGTAATCGCATAACCTCAGTACATGTATTGGTGAAAAGATCCCAACTGGGCAATTTCTGAGTGCGTGAGACACAGTCATGTAGGCAGGTGGTGTGTCATTTGGAGGTGTTCTCTTAAGCTGCAGTCAGTCACAGTGCCGAGAGACATACTGTAACTTGAACATGTTATTTTCGGTGTAACTTTAATTTCGGTGATTTCGGTAGAGAAAACAGGCACCTAAATTTTTAAAAACTTACACCTAAAAGGCACTAGAATATGCACTGTATGTGATGGGAACGCTGGTCACCTAATTCTACATTACACCTGAAACCTGGCAGGTCCCTGGCACCGAAATTTTAATGCACCTAAAACTGCATGTTTTACAGTACCCGTCATCACTACGAGTCTCGTGACCCAATGAAATCTGGGCTCACAAAAAACGAGCGTCGGTAGACTTGCGACAGTGCACAACCCAGTACTTGCAGGCTGGAGGGGGGGTGGGGGGGGGGGGGGTGCACAAGGACCTAGGTGACTCATTCAGCAGCACTGTACTATGGTAGGGGGAGTATGGTTGATTGAGACAGCTTTAGAGACATGGTGATATCACATGACTGGTGATATCACATGACTGGTGATATCACATGACTACACAATGATCATGACTGTATAGATGACGGTGTATCGCAATCGCTATTGCCATAACTGTGAACTTGCGCCACAGCGGCAGATCGAGGAAAGTACATGTAAGTTGTTCCCCACGACCGCGACCGCGACTATGCGTATAGCCACTGGGCGTGGCATGATATTCGTTCGGAACGGAATTGAATTACGGGTTGTTGGCAGTCGTCCAGGGTGTGCACACGATTGATTGTGCTGGAAGTGATTTACCTGGTCCGGTCTGCAACGCTTTTATCGCTATCACTGACTGCTTTCCTCAACCGATGAGGAATCGAATACCATTTTCCCGTGGTTGGCCAAGATTTCCATTTGCGACCAGGAGCCAAAGTGCATCGTCCTATCTTGAGCGTTATGCATGAGCTTAGCGCGCTATGTATCTGAATGGCTGAATCTGAAACCTTTGGAAAGCTGGAGTATAACAGGCTGATTGCTGGTCAAGATGTTCACTAAAAAAAGATTGCCAACTGTGTAGGATACTGAACATGAAGTGTTTTACGAACACATTTCCACACTCTACTGCCAGTGCTCCAATACGGAGAGGGGAAGTGTCGCAACGGGTGACAAACACAGAACTGGTGCAAAGTTCTGCCCATCATAATTTTGCAGGGTAACAATTGAGTTTCAGCTGCTGAACACTGATTAACCAGCACTCCCCATCAAGTCTCCTGTTGTACAGTAGCACTTTTGGCTGCGTCATGAATCTCCAGTGCACGAGCTGCTCATGCCCATGGGGACTAAGTCACTACGCCAGTGCCATACTTATGGTCCTGGAAGACACAGGTGCCCGCATGATGCATCTGCTGCTTCAAATAACCTGGAGTCCTTCCTGCTGCTGCCACATTGTCACGGACGGGCGCATGTGGCCTGCTAAAAAATAGAACTGTCCTCACTGAGCCGTGCAAGTCCTGCCTGCTGTGTGCATGAGCTTGCAGCGAAGCACGAGTCTTCGGCCACGGTGCATGCAGTGTACATGTACTTCGGTTTAGTGGATGTGATTCCATGACAGAGAGGTACTGCAGTTCCCAGCCTGCTGTGTGAGCAGTTGCCATGATTACCCAAGCAATCAAACATCAGTCCAGCTGAGCTGCACGGTCTGTGCCCCGGCCTGTGACCAGGTACTAGGTGTACAGGGAACACTCCCGCTCACGCACGTCACAGGACTACTGCACATAAACACCACAGGACTGCACATAAACACCACAGGACTGCACATAAACACCACAGGACTGCACATAAACACCACAGGACTACTGCACATAAACACCACAGGACTGCACATAAACACCACAGGACTGCACATAAACACCACAGGACTGCACATAAACACCACAGGACTACTGCACATAAACACCACAGGACTGCACATAAACACCACAGGACTGCACATAAACACCACAGGACTGCACATAAACACCACAGGACTGCACATAAACACCACAGGACTGCACATAAACACCACAGGACTGCACATAAACACCACAGGACTGCACATAAACACCACAGGACTGCACATAAACACCACAGGACTGCACATAAACACCACAGGACTGCACATAAACACCACAGGACTGCACATAAACACCACAGGACTGCACATAAACACCACAGGACTGCACATAAACACCACAGGACTGCACATAAACACCACAGGACTGCACATAAACACCACAGGACTGCACATAAACACCACAGGACTGCCCACATAAACACCACAGGACTGCACATAAACACCACAGGACTGCACATAAACACCACAGGACTGCACATAAACACCACAGGACTGCACATAAACACCACAGGACTGCACATAAACACCACAGGACTGCACATAAACACCACAGGACTGCACATAAACACCACAGGACTGCACATAAACACCACAGGACTGCACATAAACACCACAGGACTGCCCACATAAACACCACAGGACTGCACATAAACACCACAGGGAACACGTGATGATAAGATAAATACTTTGCTGCTTGCGCGATGCAATACTGGTACCTCAGGCTTATCTATGTTCTGCACTAGAAATAAGAGAATACGTAAGAAGAACTACACAAAATAGCTGACCATACTCAGCGCGACATGTCGACAGCAGCTGTCTGATGATTGAAAACACATCAACACCTAGCAATGCAGCTTTAGTTCCAGTGCGGGGAGCGACCAAAGGTCCCCTCTCTTTACCTCTTTATTCACGCCGCACAATTTTCCACTACTTTCACTTTTGCTCATACATGTACAGTAGTATTGACATATCCGCGGCAAGCCGCTTATGTACAACGGCATGGGTGAGGATAACAAAAAATGAAAATATATTGTTGGGGAAATCCACGCTATTATCGAATATTCAACAATGACGGGTGTGGGGTTATACCAAATTCCCATAATGTGGAAGTACGTTATTACATATTGTTGAAAGCACTAGGTGATCTGCACTCTACAATGTCACCTGTGCGATTATATCACATGCACATGTACTTCAAAATACATGTACATCCTTCAAAGTGGTGAACCCCTTGATAGGCGACAAGCCTCTGGGTCATCCTAATAAAGATATTATTATTATTATTATTATTACCAACAGAATTGACTAAAATAATGTGAACAATGAGTAACCAAGCTATGATGGTTTACCGTTTAGTCACTACCAGCATTGTTTGTAGATCTATCTATACAGATGTCAACTAGGCACTTACTACATGTACGATGTCAAAACGGATGACGTGGCATTCTCTCTGAATTAAGCAGGGACTTGTTGGCCTGCCAACACGTATGTACACGAGTTTGGTAAGGGCATCATAATAGATGCGGTGAAGGTCCATGCCTGGTTGCCTGGTATGAACATAGTCGACCAGCTTACACGTTGAAGAGTCATTTTCCAGACGACAAGAACGAGAATAAAACTATTTAGCACAAAAGACTGCAGGAAAGGCCTGCATGTTTGCACCCCATCACTAACAGAATACGTGGAGCAGTATAGAAAAAATAGTTGAAAGTTCCCTAGTTTGATCGGAATTGCTATGAGAAAAGATAACGTTATACTTTGTGAACTGTTTTCATGGCTGAGTGCACAAGTAGAGTGCTCTCCATTAACAATAATTGCCAGCGAGCATTGCTGGCTGCTTCCTTGCAGCCTGAAGGCGCGTGGCACTTGGGCAGTATCGGCTTACCTACAGCCAACCTACATACCAGCAGCAGGTGCGGGCACTCTCCTGCTGCATTAGCTGAAGCTCTTCTTAATCGACACAGCTGGGAACTCGCGACGCAAGTCCTTGGCGTGATTGTCCTGGACATGGCTGCAGAAGGAGATGTCTAGGAACTTCATGTTCGGGCAATTTGATAGCAAGCTGGACACCACGGCCACAAACAACAACGACGACGACAAAAGCACGACAACGACGACGATGACCACCACCACCACACAACAACAACAACAACAACAACAACAACAACAACAACAACAACAACAACAACAACAACAACAACCTCTCTTATTGGCGATGGTGCCATCGTGAGAATAAAGAATTCAAACAACAACAACAACAACAACAACAACAACAACAACAACAACAACAACAACAACAACAACAACAACAACCTCTCTTATTGGCGATGGTGCCATCGTGAGAATAAAGAATTCAAACAACAACAACAACAACAACAACAACAACAAAATATTCCTATTAGCCAGGCCATTGTGATACATGTACATGTACACTCATATAATTATTATCTCTTATCCGGACCACCTTGAAGTTACCGGCACCTCGGTCTATCGGGCACCGTGTGGGTGAACTTTAGAGGAAATATTACTACTCTTTTGCCATTTTTTATGGAAATAGTGACGTCATATGCTAGATCGCTAGCCCTTCCCCATTGAAACACACGTGATGCAGAGTCACAGCCATTTCGAAGTTATGCAGTGCCCGGTCCCAGACCACCGGATAAGATTGATATGAGAGCAACACAGATTGGCAAAAAAAAAACATTTCAAGGCATGTACTCTGCAAGCCTCGTGAACAGTGCATGAGGAGATTACCACTACCCATCTGCAATTAGGCATGGACGGGTAATGCTAGCATTATGGATGGCATTATAGTCCCTTTTTTCCAGGTGGCATAAAGCTGGCATTATAACACCATTTCGCATGCAAAATTGGCATTACAAGCATAATTGCCGGTCGACAACGGTGTCATGCATGAAGCTGGCTAGGTCCCGTTCCGAAAATCGTGCATCTGAACCCGTCCGGCTTCGTCCGGAGACTTGACGTTGCAAATCAACCTTCTCAGTGGATTGTTTCAGACAACATGCGCTGCAGCCAAATATGCAGGATGCATGATTGATCACGTGCTGCCTACGTGGAATCTCCCGCGCTTTGTACTTGTCGCGTGCATGCTAAACTGTGCCTGTGACTGGTGTGTACTGTGTAGTGCATAGTGACTGGTGTGTACTGTGTAGTGCATAGTGACTGGTGTGTACTGTGTAGTGCATAGTGACTGGTGTGTACTGTGTAGTGCATAGTGGTTAGTGTTTTTGCTCTGCTAGTCTGGCAAATGGAAAAATGAATTCGTCGACAAACTCAGCAGGTCAGTCTGACAAGGTGCGCGATGTTGTTCAGCAGGCATTGGCCGATATTGCAAAAAATGTTAAAGAATTGGCCGCCAAGGTAGCCCTAATTTCTGCCTTGCAGTTGGAGGTGTCGTCCCTTCGAGGAGAATTGGCGGCTCTCAAAGAAAGGAACTCTGATCATGACCCTGTACAAACTAGCACACCTGAACCTCAACCCGTACGTGTACAACCGCCTGCTGACAGCGTCAGGTTGTACAGCGCGGCGGCACGTGCACAGTCGTCACAGGTGCGAGCACGGGATAACACATGGGGAGGCCCCAGCCAGCAGGCCAGTACTACACGACCCCAAACAAGTCACCCAGGCACTCAGGTCACGTCGTACTATGAAAACCGGCCCAAGCGCTCTGATCAACTACAGGGAGGATCCCGCACAAAATGTTGCGCTTTGTATGTAGGCAATGTCAATAGTGGGTGCACATCAGAATCGATCGCCAAATGGTGTGAACGCCGAAATATACCTGTCATCAAGTGCTCCGTGTCTGAGACAAAGTACTTCGGGTTGGCCTTTGCTCACGTAATTCTGCCAATACAACACAAAGCTACTGTTCTGGAACCCGAATTCTGGCCTTCAAACGTCAGAGTTCGAGAATGGCGCTTCAAGGCTGACAGTGTAGCAACTGGTCGAGCTGCAGAGGAGCACTAAATGTTCTGTTTAAATCCTCACGCAGCCCCCTTTCAACCCTTGAACCCTCATGCACCTATCTTTCAGCCACAAAATAGTTGCCCCACTGTAAATCCCCTACAGCATGAATTAATTAAAAGTAACCTCAAAATAGGATTCCTAAATGTTTGCCATCTTCTCAATAAAAAGCATGACATTGAAGATTATATTCTTTCCCATAAAGTTGATATAATGATGCTGGCAGAGACTTTCTTAACAACCTCCGTTTCCGATGACATCCTACGCATACAGAATTACACCCTGGTCAGACGCGACAGGCCAACTCATGGCGGAGGCTTAGCAGCATATGTAAGAGATCATCTCCGAGCCCGAATTGTGAAGGCTGACACCCAGGTGGAAATGCTCATGTTAGAGGTCAGTGGGCAGCGTTCCAAGGTTCTCCTTGGTGGTGTGTACCGTCCTCCAGGCACTCCTGTGCAATTCTGGCAAGAATTGACGAATGCACTAGACACTGTCATCTCCACACTTCCCACATCACCTCTGGTCCTTGTTGGAGACTTCAATGTCGATGTAAGCTCCCGCGACAGCCCCCAGCTAAACAGCTTGCTGCACCTGTGTAATTCTTTCGACATCAAGAACCAAGTGGACAGTCCTACCAGAATTGGACCCCAAGGCAGCCAAACAACCCTGGATCTCGCTCTGGTCGGAGACGATCATGTGAACTCTTGTGTCGTAGTACCTTGTACAATCAGTGACCACTTCGCTCTGGCACTTGATTTGCGACTCACAACGTCCTGCACACCGACCGTGCGACGTGGCCGTAACATTGCAAGAATTGATATGGGTCAATTTGCACACCACCTTCTAAATAGCGATCTAGAGAACTTCTGCTTTGCGCGGACAGAAGATGAAATGTGGGATATGTGGCTGGAGAAACTTGTCGCGGCCTTGAACACTTATGCTCCTATCCGTCTACACCGCCCAAGAGCTCCTACCCGGAAATCCTTCCCCTGGAAGACGCCAGCTCTACATGACCTAGTCCAGCGACGTGACGCGGCCCATCGACGGTGGAAAGCATCACCTGCAGACCCGGCACTACGCAATGTCTTCACTTCTGCCCGAGACGAAGCCAAGCGTATGTCACGACATCTCCGAGCCATCTACTTTAGGGACCTTCTTGCTGCTAGTCAGGCCAACGCACGAAAAACCTGGCAGACCATCAACTACCTCAGCGGTCGTAACAAGTCCTCAGTTCCACCAGCCGTCAGTGTCTCACAGCTCAGTGACCAATTCAGCGGTGTTGTGTCAGACCCAACTAGACCACTACGTCTCTCAGCCCCATTGGGTCCCACGAAGAAGGAATGCCTCGAAGAATTTGCTCCAGCAAGTGTGCAAGAGATCGCTAAGCTGCTCTCCAACATCGACGTGCGCAAAGCTGCAGGCAGCGACCAGGTTCCAGCTGCAATCCTCAAACACTGTTCTCCTGTCCTTGCACCGTCCCTCACCATACTAATCAATGCATCTCTGGCTTCTGGTGTTGTTCCTGCATCTCTGAAGATTGCGGATGTTCGTCCCCTCTTCAAGTCAGGCGACAAAGCTGTCGCTAAGAACTATAGACCAATATCGTTATTACCAATAGTTTCCAAAGTCCTAGAACGGGTAGTCCACACGAGACTCTGTAAGTTCCTCTCCGGAAATTCCTTGTTCCCCGCAAACCAGTTCGCATATCGCCCACTTCACTCCACAGAAGATGCCCTGACATTGGCTGTAGACAGATACTTGGAGGCAGCGGATCAGCAGCGCCATACAGGTCTTGTACTTGTCGATATGAGCAAGGCCTTCGATAAGGTCAAACACCAAATTTTGGTTACAGATCTATTTCAGCTTGGTATTACCTCAACGGCTCTCAGTTGGTTCATGAGCTACCTAACTGACCGCCGTCAGCGAGTCGTCCTGAGCAATGGCCAGTCGTCCGCCCTCTCTCCCTGTGAGTGTGGTGTTCCTCAGGGAAGTGTGCTGGGTCCTCTTTTGTTCTCCATCTACACAATGGAAATAGAACAGATCACAGCTCCAGCCCACTCACAGCTGTTTGCTGATGATATCCTGCTAGACGCCATCAGTCAATCCGTCGAATTCTTGAATTTAACCCTCTCCCGTTCAGTCTCCAACCTGGCCAACTTTCTGGAAGAAAGAGGCTTAATACTAAATCCCTCCAAAACCCACGTTCTAGCCCTTCATGCGTCTCGCAGGCAGCCCTTGTTACTTAACATAGAATGCAATGGAAATCCCCTAGCTCAGACCACAAATGCTCGATATCTAGGTCTACATCTCGACACCCAGCTTCGGTGGGAGACTCAAGTTGCAACTATTACACGGAAGACCTCCCAGAAACTGACGGCGCTGCGAGCCATTCGCTCCTGCTTAACTGAGCAACAAGCCCTGCTATTTTACAGATCGTTAATACTACCGGACATGTTGTATGGATCTAATGCCTTCTTCTCGGTTCTCTCTGCGCACCAACGGCATCAGCTTTCGGTCCTCGACAAGCGATGTATCCGCTGCGTTGCCAACCAGCCATTCCCCTCCCACACAGATCCCATCTACACCCGTCTAGGCCTCATCCCCATCATCCAAAACGCCCACTGTAAACTCCGCCTCCTCATGCTTCGTATCCACACCGCCAGAATTAGTAATCTCCTGTCCAAGCGCCTACGTCGCCAGACTGAAGGCGTCACTCGGATCAACGATCCAAATGCGTATGTTGTCCCTGCCACCAGGCGAGTCTCTGGTGACTGTCGGCCGCTCGTTTCTGCTGTTAAATTATGGAACGCCCTGCCCCAAGAGTTCAAGTCCCTCGCCTGCCATAGATCGTTCAAGAGACTTTTAAAGGTTTATTTTTATGGTTAGCCAGCATCTAGGCTTGGACTTGGAGTCGTGACTCAACTGTGACTCAACTGTGCTTTCTTCTTCTTTCTTTTTCTTTTTTTCCCTTTCTCTTTTTTCTTTTTGAGTATTTGCAGTCTGTGTTTTCTGTGTTTTTCTCTCTTTCGTGGAGGCTTGCTTGTTGTATCCTTGGCTCTCGGCCGTTACTTTATCGCCATCATAATATAGGGCACCATTGCCCGTTTGGTCTGCGATACAAAATAAAATTTCAACAACAACAACAACAATAAATGGGCAAATTGACATCCATCTTTGGCGTGCTTCCACACTGTTCAGTTATTCAGAGCTGGGGTTCCAAGTGCCTGGGCTGCTGGCCCAGCAAATTTGGCGTGCTTTCACATGTTTGAAGTGCACCCCTGACCTCAGGGTTCAGTGTGTACACTGCTCGCTGTCTAGTGCGTGACACCGGATACTACTAGTACTAATACGTACTAAACTAGTCTAAAAAACGCATTGCTCGCGTAAACCACAGCCCACTTGTGCTCGTCTGGTGAGACATTGTGCCCAATTCTGCTCGGGTTCTGAATACCCCCGATTATGCTCGAAATTGTGCGGGCATTATCCGCCGGGGCCTAATGCCAGATCCACGCAGGATCTAGGAGCACTGTGAAAATGTAGCGAAGCTGCTCCACGAACTGCACCTGTATCACAGTTTTACACACTTTCTCGCCGAAAGGAGAAACTATCGTTACTGAAGGAAAGACATCATTGCAGTTCATGTGTTTTCGCCACCTTCATTGTTCACCATGGAAGACGAAGTCATATCCAGCTCTTCGGATGAGGAATTGCCTCGCGCTCCGCAGGCGGATATCAGCCGAGATCGTTCAATGTCTCACAGTAGTCAGCCTGTTGGCAAGCGAACCAGAGTAGCCGGCGGTCCATCGACAAAAACAAAGCGTTTTGGGGCAGCCACCAGGGTAGCAGAGTTTCCGAAGGAACCCTTTTCGGTGTCACTCGGTAGCTTGTATTGTAAGGCTTGCCACATGCCCCTTCAGTCGAAGCTGAGCATCATCAAGGCGCATATCGGAACGGAAAGGCACACTGTAGGGAAGAATAACTTACAGAAGAGTGCCCTTCGCCAAGCAACTATTGCTGCCGGTTGGAGCAAGTACAAGAAAGACCACCCTGCGGAGGTCGTAGGCAGCGGTCTCTCTTCGGCAGTTCTGGATGATGTTTCCAAGAGGAGGATAGATGTTGTGGAGACCTTCCTGCGAGCAGGTGTTCAATGGGCAAAGGTCCCTTACCTGCGGCCACTCCTGGAGGCTGGAAACCTACGTCTAACCGACCGTTCCCACATGGCACAGTTCATTCCGTTCCTTATGGAGACGGAAATGAACCGAGTGAAGGAGGATGTGAAGGGTGCGGACTTCCTTGCTGTAATATTTGACGGCAGCACCCACCAAGGAGAGGCATTGGCAATTCTGCTGCGATACTTGGACCACGACTGGATACGTCAACAGAGGTTGGTCCACTTCCACGTTCTGGCCAAGTCACTGACTGGTGTCCAGCTGGCAGGAGAGCTAGTTGCTGCTTTGTCCACTACCTTGCAGCTGAAGCCAACCACACTTGTCGCTGCTATACGCGATGGTGCAGCGGTGAACAGAGTAGCAGTTGAACGAGTTAAAGAAATAATGTATGGTGATCTCCTTGATGTCATCTGCATGCCGCACAGCTTGGACAATGTCGGGTGGCACTTCGACACCCCCATCTTGGATGAATTCCTGCAGTGGTGGGTCAGCCTTTTTGCCAGAAGTCCAGCACCTAGACTTCTATGGAAGGCGAGGGCAGGCGTTGCGGTCAAATCGCAGAGTAATACACGCTGGTGGAGTACCTATGAAGTTGGCGCTCAGCTGATGGAGTTCTTCGGTGATGTGCAGCCTTTCCTGACTGAGTGTCAGTATTCACCTAGCGCCTGTCAGCACCTCAAGAGAATCTTGAATGAGAGCAAGGACCTGCTGAAGATGGAACTGGCTGCCACTGTAGATGCTGGGAAAGTCTTCGTGCAGAAGACGTACGTCCTAGAGGGTGATGGTATCTTGTCCACCCAGACGTACGCAAGTTGCACTATCTGCTGCTGTTGGATTCTACCCCAATGTAGCAAGTGTTGCCAAGGACATCGCTGGCAACGACGTAGACTACCAGCAGGAACTCCTGGTGCATGCCAAGCAGTGTGTTCGCCCTGCCATCGATTACTTCCTTCGGCGCTTTAATCACCGAGAGGGTGACCTATTCCCTCTTGTCCGGGCATTCAAGGCGGCCAGACTTTTCTCCCCTCACTTTGTCAGCGAGACAAGGCCCACACTGGTGCAAATTGATGCCCTGCGCGTGTTTCCTGCCCTGAACACGGATGCTGCGATAGCCGAGCTGAAGGAAGAGCTTCCAGCGTACGTGGTGGCTGCCGAGGACGTACAAGCCGACATGGAGACCCCAGAGTGGTGGCTGCGCAAACAGCACCTCCCAGCTTGGAAGAAGGCGGCAAAGCTGGTTCTAACCGTCCAGCCTTCCTCAGCTGCAGCCGAGCGCGTCTTCTCCCTGCTAGAAGCTGCCACTAGCAGCCAACAGTCCCGTCTTTTGGAGGACAGTTTGCAGCTTGCCATCATGCTGCAGGACAACCGTGGCAGAATGTAGCTGTGTGAATGGTGCTGGTGAAATGTGCTCAGCAGCGGAAAGAGTAAAGATAAATTTCTGTCTGCATGTACATGTATTGCTTAGCTTCTATTTCACTTGTAGCTTGTGCGTGAGTATGATGCAAAGAGTCCTGTCACTGGTGCTAAGTTGAACGGAAGCTTCCTCACTGCTGTTTAAGTTTTTCTTCTACGCTTTGGCCTTGATCCAAGACGGCCTTCTTAAATCGACTTTTCAAACTTTCAAACTGGCATTATGGAGTAGTGTGAGCATTATAAGTGGCATTATATCCTCATATTATGAGCATTGCCTGTAGCATTATCGCAGCAAATAGCTAGCATTACCCGCCCATGCCTATCTGCAATGTACGACACTCCCGCACACCATGGGATTCTACCATCAGGATAAGTACTGCTGGTGCGGAACATGCATGTTGTTATCAGAACTACAGTGTACTGGACGAAGTACATGTACAGTTACGCTCGGTGAATTCCGACCCAAAGTGCATATTTGCCACTTTTTATTATTTGGCACCCTCGACTTCCGCGGCCCTTGACGCCCGGCCCTTGAAGTGGCACGAATGCGGCTGTACGGTCATGTACAAATACAATGATGTATTCAGGACTGGTCCAGGGCGCCCGCCAGCTTTGCGCCTCGGGTCGGATTTCACCGAGCTCAACTATAGCTGAGCACAGCCAAACTCCAGAAAGACAACAATACATGATCTGCAAATGTACACTGTGCCGGCTTACTAATGCAGCGCCGGTGGTTCGACCCCGTTGCAACCAAGCAAGTCCAGCTGCTCCAAGCCACGGCAGTGATTGGCAAACGCCGTGATATCGGAATCTCGCTCCGTCCTGCAATCACCACACACGAGCACAACACATCCTCAGCGCACAATCAAATGGCACACGCAGCACTTAGTCTTTCGCCGCGCATCATTCACATCGATAAACCTCCGTCTTACAAGTGCCCAGCAACAATGGCATTGTTCTCCATCTTACCGGACGGCGGTGAGGAAAATCTTCTTGAGATGAGGACAGTTCTCTGCCAGCCGCTGTAGGCATCTGTCATTGCTGGCATCAAAGCGGCTGCAGGCAAAGACGGCAGAGTAAAACAAGATCGACATCGCCAGTTCCACATTGTGAAATATAGAATAGCTATCGGCTACACGCACGCACACACACACACAGTGCACGCATGTACACACACACACACACACACACACAGTGCACGCATGCATACACACACACACACACACACACACATACACATACACATACACACACACACACACATACACACACATACACACACACACACACACACACACACACACACACACACACAAACACCATACACACGCGTACGCACGCACACACACATAAAGGATCTGCAGCTCTGCAATTATCTTAGAGCAGTTTTCATTCTATATCCAAGAGATTGTTAGTGTGGAAATACAGAAAAGGTAGAAATGCGAGTATCTGCCTAAAGGTGATGCTAATGTAAAACTCACAGCCAGCCAAAGTCCAATTCTTGAAGCTCAGGACATCCTTTGGCCAACGCCACCACCGCCGCAGATGAAAAGTTCAAGCTGCGCCACAAATCCAGTGATTTTAGATGCCTGGACAATGTAGACGAGCATTCACAGACCATAACATCAACACAAGTCACTCCGAAGCAACGGTATCATCAATTATTACTACAAGAATTTTCCCGTTTGCACCTTTCATGATTGAGAAACGGAGGGTCTACCAGGTTCAAGTCCTGCTTGGAAGCGGGAGGTTTTTTTTCGAGCCATGCTGCGATCCACAGTTAATTGGGAACTCGTGGCCTGGCACGAGGAAAACATGGATGCAGCAAATGGAGTTTCGGTCTTTGACCACTTCGCTGGTGGGCTGATCTACTCACCTCCCACCGCTTTAGGAGCAGCATATGCGTATGTTTTCTCCCTGAACCTTTAGCAAATCATCTGTGCATGTGAAAATGGTTTATCCATGTTGTGTGGTTTTCGACTTTGTGGTTCTCGCTGTAGTTTATTGGCACGCTGCGAGCATCTTTCAAAACATTACCATAAGCACAGTCTCCATTATTACCACTTATATAGTCTACTCTCCAGGCACAAACATCACCAGGGACACAAACTTACAGAGATGCCAGCGCGAAAAATACCTCAACAACATGAAAGTGCGCTTGAGCACTGCTCGATAGCACTAACCGGAATCAAAATCTGGGCTAGTTGGTGGACTAGTAGTAGTCGTTCAGAAGTCCTTGGCCAGCTCAGGTCTCACGAGCGGCGTAAGAAGGCCGAGTATGGGCCACGGATCGTCAACATCGAGCGTGCGTCATTTACGCCGCTTGTGTTTACGACGCAGGGCCTGGCGGCACCGGAGTGCGCGAAATTTCTATCGACGCTGGCGACATACCTGTCCAGGCGTCACACCGATATCCCGTACTCCATCCTCATCAACCGGTTGCGGGTACGCATTTCATTTTGCTTACTTCGGTGGGCCGTCACCTGTTTCCGCGGGTGCCGGGCCTCGTATCAGCGGCGTCGCCAGTCGTCTTTCCTGGTGGAGTGCCGGCAGATGGGTGGCCGATGAGCTGTTGCCATGGCAAGGGGGCTGCTGAGACGCCGACTTGGCACAGGGTGGACTCGCTACCGATGGTACGGTGTAGGATGTATGTACAATGTAGGTACTTCACTCTGTTGTCATTAAATTTTGTCTGTCTATTTGTTGAATTGGATAGGTGTACGGACAGTTCTCCACAATGCATGCACATCCATTCATAACATTCATGACAGGTAATTTATATTGACATTGGCTTAGACTTGCATACATGACGGGACCTGTTACTTTAATTTTCACTTTGCGTTTAAAGTTTTCTTCTTTTGACATTGGATTTGACATTGGATTTGACATTGGATTTGACATTGGATTTACTAATTGATTTGACGTTATTTAAAGGAGTTTTTTTTTTAATTGAATTGATCTTCAATGATTTACGATTTCACGTTTCCGCTATTTTGCCCGTAAAAGAGGCTTGTCACCAGTAGTAGTAGTAGTAGTAGTAGTAGTAGTAGTAGTAGTAGTAGTAGTAGTAGTAGTAGTAGTAGTAGTAGTAGTAGTAGTAGTTTTTTTATTATTTGACTAGGGGAGTCCCAACAGGCATGGCCTTGTTACAGGGAACCCTAGGTGAATCTTTGTGAGGTGAGCAAAAGTACCAGCAGATTGTGCCTGACGACAGTTTGGAGGAAGAGTGTTCCACCGACCTGCCGCCAGAAAAGAAACTGAGCACAGTCCATACCCAATATGTACAGTATAGGTAATACTAAGGCAGCTGTATCCTGGCCACGAGTACGAGCATTTGTGTGCGGGCCAACTGAACGCAGGAGAAACAGTGACTGTAACGTACACTTGTGCCCCGCTGTTTTCCAGGTTTTCAACAATTTTTAATATTTCTTTGGCTCACCAACCCAGTACTGTACATGGCATTGTATGTAATTGCTTAAACTCTGACATACAGAGTCTGTGCAGATACACTGAGGCTGTGATCCTTTGGTCAAATCTGAATCCAGATCCAGAACCCAGATCCAGATCCGACAAATCGATCACTACAAATCGAGAGGATCCTCTGGACCCGAGATCTGGATATGATAAACTGATCACAGCCCTAAACCAGGAGGCAAAAGCACAAAATGAAAACAATGCTAAATGCCGGACATAACTAATGTTACTTACTTGCAGGTTTTACCAACAATTACTGCGATGGTAGTGCCATCCAAGTTGCAGCTTCCAACGTTGATGTGTTCCAGAAGTGGATTGTTCCTACAGAAAGGCAGTCCAAGCATAAATACTGATCCACGACGCAGACCAACATTAGAATGGAAATTTTTGAAACGAAATAGAAATCAAGCACTCGGTTGGACCCTTCCTGTAGTGTCATGCTCAGCGATATGGATGGGTGAACAAACACAAACTGAAGTAACACTGCAATCCACACTACTCGCACTCAAACTTCAAATCATCAAAAAATCTGAGGAGGTTTATATAGAATATTCATAAGTTTGAGGGAGTTGAAAACGGTGGAAGTCCGAAGAAAAAAGGTGATACGAATGTGAGAAGAGAAAGAGGATTTGTTGGACTCTTGCTTCGTACTGAAATTCTACAGTAGGCAAACAGGACAGTCACAGCTACACCACACCCGGTATAACCAAGGGTCGGCGCAACAGTCTCATGTTGGTCCAAAACGCACATTCGACAGTTCGTGCACAACCCTCCTCCCTCCCTCAAAAGTGTGCGCCGGATGAAAATATGTTCACCAGTCTAAGTAAAACATAATAATTATATGTCCGTCTGAGCTACAATTTGTAGCCAACACCTGCTCTCTCAAATGAACTACACGTATGTGCACTGCAGGGATGATCTTTTTTCTTCTGCTGTGACCCCTGGACAACATAATATACGATACAGACATGTTGTACAATGGTAGATATGGTAGATGATTGGGTAGCTGGCACGATAACCTACTGGATGAGGGTGACTGCGTTCTTGGTTGAGATGTCCGTGTTGGAGAGGTTTAGGCGCCGTAGTTGGGTCAGTTGCGGCAGCAGGAACAGCTCTTCCTTCGCATTCGAGCCACCGTCGCCGTCATTGTCGTCGTCATCATCATCGTTGTCATCATCATCATCATCACTGTCAGAAAAGTCACCAGCTGGCAGTGCTGGACGGCGGGAACTTGAATCGGGGTTCATGAAGAAGAATGAGCATGATCGTACATCCAACTCTGCAATGACAAGTAAAGTATCAAAGATCGAACGGAAGAAGTCACCGGCATTAGATCTCACACTGTAGGAAGCGCGTGTACATACAAAGGACACCGGCACGTTGCATTCAATGTCACAACACGTACTCTGTGCGCTGTATGGAGAAAATAAGAGAAGACCACCATCAGCTACACCATACACATACCTACATGCACAGGTCGTCGCATTTCAACAATCAAATATGGCAAATATAGACTTGCCCTGACGAGGACACAGATTGAGTATGAGCCACACCGGTTCGCAAATTCTAGTGATTGACTGGAGTCGCTTATTACGCATCAATACATACTACAATGTGTAACTACTACTAACTAAGAACACAAAACTGGTGCTGGGTTTTCCAGCTGCGCTGAGACAGTCCTACTGCACTGTATGTTATGATCAGGTTGTCTAGAACAATTAGTCATCAGTGCAACGCACTGCTTTTTCACCCACACGAGATACGTGCCAGGTGTAACGGGACAGACGTTCCGCTTCTGTCATGTTGGCTGTCGCTATAGTAACACACCTTCTAACTGGTCTCCAAGGCCGTTCAGAAAGATAAGCGTTGCCTCGTTGACCAATGGACTGCCCACTGCTCGGAAACGTGTCAGTCGAGTGCAACACGCCTGTAGGAACCTACAACAGAAGGGCAGAGTAGCAATAGAGAAATTCAGGCAGCACAAAACAAGACTTGTGCTGCTATGACATCATGACTCTATCACGACATACATACAATGCCCCCCCCCCACACACACACACATCCTTCACTATCATTATTACTGGGCTGTGATCCCATTTGACTTTGCGAAGTAAAATACAGAATACGATATGATGACATCATGCTGCATGGACATCACCAGATGCACAAGGACACCCAGAGATGCGGTGACGCCCCCCCCCCCCCCCCCCCCCATGACAATGCAAACTAAACCGTAATTACCTGTCAAAGTTCTCTGGGGAGACTTGATTGCAGCCCCCTGTCCATGAGATGTCCAGGCTTTTAAGAAAGTGGAAGCGAGGTTCAACAATCTCCAGAAAACTGTTGTTGACCTGCCGGAACAATGAACAAAAGCAGCAAGATCCAGAACAGAGGTTGATGACAGGCTATACATTTTATAACAGTCCACTGGCACCATCAAACAAAACATTATTGTGATTATGCAAATGCACACATGCCTGAAATGCCATGACAGCACACAGACAGTAACACGGTGCATGTACACCAGCAAGCATGAAAACAATACCTACACCGCAGATAGCAATGCAGTCAATTTTTTCCCGAAATAGCAAAACATCTTTACGAACTGAGATGTCGCGATTTTTCTGGTAATAGTAGAAGATGGTGGCAGCTCCTAACGTTGCAGTGCGCTACCAGACGGCAGTTGGGGGTCAGCCAAGCGTCAGTCAGTCGGCAAGACTCACGAGCTCTCAAGTTAGAAACATGTTTTTCAAAGTTGTTAAACACTAGACCTCATAACTCCTCGCTAGGCTCTACCAGCTTCACAGTACAGATAGCAATCTCTGAACATACAGTATACAGTACTATACTACTTGGCATGCTGAGAAGCAAACCAAGATTACAGATAACACTGCATTGCTACTATGTTGCAGACAGGCAAACCTTGGTCCAGAACGGCTGGAGATTGATATGCCGGTAGAGAAAGGGATCATAGCACGCCCTGAAGAACGCCCTGCAGAAAGCAAATATCACACACGGCCACCAGTATAATTATTATGTCAGCCAAGGTTTGTAAAGTAGCCCAAGGCAAGACTTGCTTCAGACGATAGCCAAACCACACACCAGGAGCAAGGTTTGCTACTGACGAATCGTGATAATATTGAACATTTCGGCAAATCCATGTCTTCTGTGGCGTGGATGATCAAACCCTTGCCAAACGCACTACAGTACTGGCTTCTCTGCATATTAGGAACTGCACAACACACAACAGTTGAACTGATTCGAACAAATAGTAATACTACTCTGGCACGCTGAAAGCCTGCTTCAGGAAAAAGACACAGAAACGTGTCATGCTTCACAATAGGGCGCTGACTTGCCTGCTCACTCTGGTCGCCGTGCACAGACTCTCAAAGTCCAGGTATCCCAAGATCTTGAGCCAGGTCTCCATCTGCAGCACGTTCAAAGTGGATACCATTGCAAAATTCTCTCAGTTCGACATGAGTACATTGCATTATCCATGACTGCACACTAGTGCAGAGTACACCCACACATACCGGTATACACACACACACATGCTGCATGCAGCACAGAGTATGGCCACACATAACAGATACATGTACACATACATTCGGTGCATGCACTACCAATGTATCACGTAGGTGCCGGTACGCCAACAATCAATGTCGAAACAGTAACAGGCATAACATGTCCAATAGGCAGTGTTAGCAAAGCCCCAGAATGCAGACATAACCTTGTGGTGGAATGTACATGTAATGCGTACATGTGCTATGCAGCTGGCCGCTGGGCGAGCTGATCATTAAGATATCTACACGCAGTCCTGTAGATACTTCTTTTTAAAGAAGTAAAAGTACTCAATCTGAAGTAAAAGTACTCAATCTGAAGTAAAAGTACATATACTTGTGTGTAATGCCCTTGTGTACACCATAGCACTGGCCAATGAACTACACAGAGGGGCTACGGTATTCTGTGCAACTTTGCTACAGTATTACATGGCGCTCATGCATGGCTGATTTATTCTTGAGTGTGAATGTCACTGGTCGGCACAGATGTATACTGCTGCAAAAATATACAATCGACAATAAAATTTGTTTCAACTGTCATGTAGCAACAGTCCATGACAACACGTACGGGTAGGTCATCAAAGTAGCCATTGGAAGGGTACTCGTCATCAGCCTCGACATCAGAGTAATCGCCGGCCGAGATCTGCTGCTCCAGATCCACTGGCGCCCGATCTTCAAGTGAAAGCTGACGGAAGAGCTTCTCGGTCACATCTGGCTCACTGTTCCTAGACGCGATGGGCTCCAGGCTGGCATCGACTTGTGGATCTGAGAAACAAACCAAATAGCATAAGGCGGTGCAAGTGCAACTCTTTTCATGTGTTGCATGTGTTCATATAAATATGGCTGATTTCTTCAAGAAAAGCACTCCACCTTTTCAGGGGTATTCACAGAGTGATTTCTGCAATGTGCAGCACATGATGACTGGGAGCAATATACTACAGTGCATTTCAAAACTATAGACGCGTAGGGTTTTTGAAATATTTCAAATTTGGCTGGAACTTTTTGAGAATAGTTTTCGGAATATTGCTCAGGATCGCTCCACAATTACCCTCATATAGTTTCTAAAGGATTGGATAACAGACGCCCAATTTGGAAAAAATTATGCACAAAGTGATCACAGATTTTATGTGGTATAGATGCTGGCATAACGGTTTTTGCCTAGGTACGCGTCTATAGTTTTGAAATGGACTGTAAGCCCATACAGTACCACCATCCACAAAGAAGAAGAAGTCAGAGAAGCAATGAGTTGTCTCATTGTGCTCATTGTGCAACTCTTGGGTGTACGATTCCCTGAAATGCACGAAGCTGGACACAATTCATGCACATCGTTCGCCTGACGTACAATTTTGCATCCTTGTCGTAAATCGAACCGTAAAGGCCGAGCCAAACTCAACTTCTGCAATCAGGCAACTGCGGTTGCACAAGCTGTGCGATGTGTACAATCAAAGCTTTTCATAGTGATCTAATTACTGTAAAACCTGCCAAGGCGACCACCTGGATAAGGCAACCACCTGTCCTAGAAGACCACCTGTCCTATAAGACCACAGACACCAGGACCGAGGGATGCTATTTCCAGTCAAATGACCCTGGGTAAGGAGACCGCCTGGTAACAGAGACCACCTTGTGAAGGTCCCTTGAGCGGTCGTCTTAGACAGGTTTCACTGTACTGTGAGTGGGCTTAAAAGCCATCACATCCCAACAAAACCTTCCTTTACTAATGTAGTTCACATTGATGAGCTGTGTCAGCTTTAAAAATTAACCAGTGCAGCCCTGTGGAACTCCATCCTCGCATTATTTCTTTCTTCCGCCACACTGCAGTTGTGGCAATGGGACACACTTTCAAAATGACTTACACTCCTTGTCAGATGCATGCTTGCCAATAAGTTGACAACAGTCCAGCTCAGTATAGTAGTCCATGTGTTGTGAGTTGAACTCAATACGCAGCAGTCTGCATAATGTACAAGGTAACAATACACACACACACACACACACACACACACACACACACACACACACACACACACACACACACATGCACACACACACACACACACGCACGCACGCATGCACACGATCATGCACACAATTCAATATGATGAGGTGGCGTGAGGGCGAGAGCAACGCAGAGCGCCAGTCGGGTGGACTTGAAACACCCTGAGCATACACGATGACTCGAAAGTATACCAGCTGTGCATGTAGACGTAGATCTATGTGCAACTGTAGCCAAGCTGCACCTGCTACAGTCATCATACGTGTACATCCCACTAGGGGCCGTCCGTAATTATCGATCTTTTTCACGAAGAGATAAAGTCTCGTTTATGGGTGGGTGGGTTGAGGAGATTTCGTTTTGAAAAATAAAATATCGATAGCTGAAACATCAATCTATTCTATCTGTCAAGTCAATATATTTTTCGTTCAAGGGGGTGGTTGTCAAGTCAATATATTTTTCGTTCAAGGGGGTGGGTGGGTGGGGAAGGATCATAACTAAACTTGTTCATTCCGTGAAAACTATCGATATTGCCGGATGGCCCCTTACTAGTACAGTTGCGCTTGGTGAAATCCGAGCCAGAGTGCAAAACTGGCGCCCCGGGTCATTTCTGAAAATACATCATTGTATTTGTACATGTGTATAATTATCCAGCCGCATTTGTACCACTTCCAGGGCCGTGCCAAGGGTCGTGCAAGCTGAGGGCGCCAAGTAGGCACGTTGGGTCGGATTTTACCGAGCGCAACGGTATGTCAAATTGTCAATACGTGAACACATGTGCAGCTTCATACAACCCGTGCACTATTAGTTCCATGATGACAGAGACTCGGACACTGAGTTTCCCCTCACATGCATAGGCTACCTAGTACTATATGGGCGCTTGCCAAATAATGGCCACACCAAACATCTAGTGACAAATTTCACATGTGCTTGTGAAACTGGGAATCATCTGGTACCTTGTAGGAAACTCAGGCTCGTCGAGTTCCGGCGTGAACTGGCGGATAGTGGATGGAAGTCCTTTCTGTGGTGGTCCAGACCACAGCACTTGCCACCTACAGATGATAGCCAACCATAAGCACACAGAACTATAAGAAACCTGAGAATTGAACAATGATGATCAACTACATGATCGACATTCTATTTATACTTTTATAGAATATGTTCAATCAGCTGAGATTCCACGGTGACATACCGTATGGAATCGGGCGAGTACAATTTCGCCTCGTCAGGTGTCACATTGCACGCCAAAATCCGCACAACGCTTCCCGGATGGTAGGTTTCCCTGATACGAACAACATGTGGGAAAGTAGCATCTCGGTATTCAAGCTCTGCACAAATAACACACAAGACCAACAAAACGATTCAGTCACAAGTCATAAGCATGTGGAATGCAATAAAGTGTATGTCAAAAGTATGCAGCAGTCTCCGAGGTGCGTAGAACTAAACAAAACAACTTTTCACAGTAAAAATGTATGCATAAGGACTTCTGACCAGTGAGGAACAGGGATGCGCATCGAACCGTAACCAGTATGGTGCCATGCAGCTATCTTGTTTGAATTTCAGAGCATGAACTCAAATGTACAAACACCAAAACTGCTCAATCGATTGAGTATGATGTTCGTAGCATTTGACTTGCACGCCCTGGAAGTGGCGTGAATGCTGCCGGGCGTACACATGTACAGATGTAGTGATGCAATCGGAACTGGTCCAGGGCGCCAGCTGTGTACTTTGGATTGGATTTCACCTAGTGCAACTATACATGAGTGTACACGTACATGACGATTATACTCACCGATGTAGTCTTCGGACTGGAACCAATTAGGACATGGGCCGAGCGGCTGCGCGTACGATGGAACATCGCACCACCATGGGCCATAGGTTCTCTAAAGAAAAAAAACCAAGAAAATACAAAACAAGAAGAATCAACATGTAGGATACGCTATCCATGCACTGTCGAACAGTGGAATAGTGAAGAGAACAATGAAGATTCCACCTATGAAGTATAATTACGGCCAGAATTCAAATTCGATCCAGATGCATTCAACAGCAAATAAAAAAAAGATAACGCTGCGAGCAGGGTTCGAACCTGCGCGGGGAGACCCCATTGGATTTCAAGTCCAACGCCTTAACCACTCGGCCATCACAGCAACCACATCAACTGCAAGTGGGCAAAAGTTCTATAAGCGGTACAGAGTCAAAAAGGTTTGGCCTGAAGGTGCTGCACCACACCGTTACCTTTAATAGGTTTAATAGTTCAAATACTACCAATACAAATCAGGGCCTGGATTGTCTCTTGCAGCCCATCCCAGTGGCATCCTTGCAAACAAACGAGATGTGAACCTGAACCATACAGAAAATCACCAGTGGCTGCTGATACCAGGAAAGTTTGTCAGTATGCAATGTTCCGCCGTGCTTCCGCCTCACCCCAGCACCGATACCGTACAACTTCAAATAAAAATAGCACGTGAACTATGAAAGCTGGTGAGCGCCAGTGCAGTGCCGGGACCCACAACAAATTATACGAAAGAAAATCAGCATATAAAAAAAACTGGGTTGCCGTCTAATCTGAACTTCTTTCCCGGGTCGATTTCAATCAACATGACTTCCACATTATAGTTGTCTGATAATTGAATTTGAATCTCTAGATGCTTGGGCGTAATTAGAAGTACCGTGAAATCAACGTACATAGAACTTGTGTAGGATTCCTGCCGAATAGTGCTGGTATTAAATTTGAATCTTCTAATGGCGTAATTTGAAGTTCACTGACTGTAAACTGCACTGACCGGCATAGAGTGTGGGGAATCAGAGTCAACCCTGGTATATGAGCTGTGTGTGATAATGTAAGAATTTTTTGAGATGAATACTATGTTCTGGGTCCATGTGATATTTCTTTAAGGTCCAGATCAGATACAAACAGGCCATAAATTATGCACGTGACCGCCAGCTGGCATTAAGGCTAACCAGGAGCAAGGCCGCTGCCAGAGTCTTCCAGCGCAGATCGGACTTAGGTAAACTAGAGGTCGTCAAGCGCGCACAGTTTCGTTACGGGTGGGTGGGTCAAGTAGAGTTTCGCTTTGGAAATATTGATAGCTGAAACATCAATCCATTCTAGCTGTCAAGACAATATATTCTCGTTTGGGGGTGTGGGGGTGGGTGGGGGAGGGTGATAACCAGACTTTTTCGTCCCGTGAAAATGATCGCCAATGCCGGATGGCCTGTTACTGTATTTAGCATTGAAGACGGTTCAGGTATGTGGGGTCAGGCATGCAGTGACATGTCGTGGCAGGAATCAGGTGAAAAGTTAGTTAGACCGGGAGATGGACAGTGCAGTACAGCTTCCCCATCGCCAAATGTCCAAGACCATTGGACTTGTATAACCCCGCCCCAACACACGCACGCACACACACACACACACACACACACACACACACACACACACACACACACACACACACACACACACACAGTCAACTTCGCTAATAACGACTGCGGATATAGAATTTCCATGCCCAGAGCAAAGTCCCATCCCACTGTATTATTAAATACTATAACCAAGAGTACATAACCCCCCAGAGTGTGCAACGCCTGATCTAGCTCTGCATAGGGTCTTGGTCGAGCGGAATCGGATCTTTGCGTCATAATACCGTACACATCTGAGGGGAACCCGGGGAGTCGCGGGTACTCTCGGATCAAAAACAATGGTGCCCTGCCTCGAGACCGGCCTTGCGCTGGTGTGGAGTGTACGCATGACATCAGAAGATCCGATTCCGCTCGACCAAGACCCTATGCAGAGCTGGATCGGCGTTGCACACTCTGGGGGGTTATGTACTCTTGATATAACGAGACTTCGGGTATAACGACACTTCGTGAATAAGGACAGCTTTTTGATGCCCCGCCGAGTGTCGTTATAAGCGAAGTTGACTGTACATGTACACGTGTGCGCGCTCACACACACACTCACGTGTACATGTACATACAAACGTGCACGCGCGCGCGCGCGCGCACACACACACACACGCGCGCGCGCGCGCGTGCACACATACACCCATGTTACAAACATCATCAGGACCATATGCCAGTGGTACATCTATTGCTATTAGTGTATACCGTAAAGTCTCTGCCGTATTCACCCTTACCAAAACCATGGCAGCTGTGTGATCACCATAAGTTCTAACACCAGCAGGTCCAGCAAGATTATAAGCTGAATATGAGCTGTTCTGACCGGCTCTCACTGTTCGCCCGTAGTGGCTGGAGAACCGAACCACTGTCTTAGCGTTCTGGATCGGGTATACTCTGTCACCTTCGGCGAAACATTCTTCATCCATGAGCCGCGGAACGGCCATTGCCATTCTTTGGCGAATTTCCTCCCGATCCACCATGTCGCCAGTAGGTTACTCCGGGCCCGCTTTTTAAAATTCCCAGCCACACTCACCGGACTGGGGCACTGTATTTTCATTTCATTGCTCCAAACGATTTGACTGAAAGGTTCTCGCCGACATGGTGAGGGCATGCATTTTCGTCAGCTTTTATTCTCCTCCCACGTCAAACTCAAAGAGTGCAGTCGCCTGTACTGTACGAGTACTGCATGAGCCCTACACGTGTAGGGCTCCCTGGTCGGTACCGGATCGGAGTCACTTTGACGTAACGTCATTTGAAGCGTGTGGCTCGCGGAGTCGAAGCCGCGAAGGCCAAAATTTTTTTATTTTTTTTTATCACCGCGCGAAATGTACTGCATGCACGCGGGCAACAGAACATAATGAGACTCGTGAAAAAAGAAAAAGGCCCAACCCTGCCCTGCCGGGCCAGCAAGACTGCTGCCAGCAAGAGTACATGAAAACCGGGGTTTTCATGTACTCTTGCTGCCAGTTATTTGGACTTACGGGGGTCGCCATGGCAAATAATAATGGAAAAACCAAGATCAATCGTGCACGCAACACAAGTAAAAGAAGAAGAAAAATGGAACAGAGAATCAGAAGTGGCATTCTGCTGCGGCCAGCACAGCGGGAATGTCAGCCAAAGCTCGGTTAGATTTCGGTTGAGCGGCGCGATGTCCACGGAGGCTAGCATTTGCTGAGCGGACAAGAGAGAAAGAGACCCTTGACCTGATCCAGGCCAGTACGGTGAAATGGTTAAAAAATGCTGCTTCCGGGAATACCTCCCGAACAACCACATGCCATCATGTTCTCAGCCATCACGAGAGAGGCCATCATGAAATCAGTCCTCAATACCAACGGTGCGGCCGGACCCTCAGGCATGGACGCCAATGGCTGGCGAAGAATCTGTTCGTCCTTCCATAGTGCCTCTGATGCTCTCTGCGATGCGCTCGCCCTGTGTGCCCGTCGCATAGCGACCACTGCCATCGACCCTTCCTCCCTTGAGGCCTATACCGCCTGCAGGCTGATCCCATTAGACAAGCAACCCGGAGTTCGGCCCATCGGAATTGGTGAGGTCGTCCGACGTGTTATCGGCAAGGCCATATTGATGGTAGTAGGCCCAGCAATTCAGCAAGCCACAGGGTGCCTCCAACTGTGCGCAGGTCAACAGAGCGGCATCGAAGCAGCCATCCACGCTATGCGATCCGCATTCGCGCAAGACGACACTGAGGCCGTGCTCCTAGCCGATGCATCAAATGCGTTCAATCGTATCAACCGCAACGTATGCATTCGCAACATCCAGCATCTGTGCCCAGAATTCTCCACCACCATCGTCAATACGTACCGGTCCCCATCCCGGCTGTTCGTCGGTGGCGAGACCATTCTCTCCTGTGAAGGAACTACACAAGGCGATCCGCTCGCAATGGCAATGTATGCGTTGGGCACCGTGCCTCTCATCCGTCGTGCTGCCTCTAGCAAAGCCGTACAAGCGTGGTTCGCAGATGATTCCACAGCAGCAAGCACTCTCACCAGGCTTCATAAGTGGTGGTCCATCCTGGAAGAAGAAGGTCCATCCTATGGATACTACATCAACGCCAAAAAGTCGATACTTTTGGTGAAGCCCGAGTGCTTAGATCGAGCCAGGGAAATCTTCCAGGACTCCAGCATAGACATCCGGTCGGATGGGTGTCGCCACCTAGGTGCCGTCCTCAGATCACCAACATTCTGTTCGGCATATGTGTCAGGCAAGGTGGATGAGTGGTGTCGTGAAGTGGATGTTCTGGCTGAGTTCGCCCGCACCCAACCACAAGCGGCATTTGCTGCCTTCGGCCAGGGAGTTCGCCATCAGTGGTCCTTTGTCGCCCGGACAGTGCCAAATACGGCCGACCTGCTCGCACCCTTGGAGGAAAGAATCCGTACCAAATTCATCCCTGCCATCATCAACCGCGTTCCGCCAGGAGACATCGAGCGTGCCATGCTGGCCCTACCGTGCAGGGACGGAGGGCTGGGGATCGTCAGCCCATCCTCCCTTGCCTCCCAGTTCCAGGACTCTATGCATATTACCAAGTCTCTCGTGCAGAAGATCCTCCAGCAAGATCAGTCAGCAGAAGGCGTCCCAGCTGCCACCATCACAGCGAAGGCAGAGATTGTTTCCCAGTCCCGGCGCCTGGCGAAGGAAGCGGTTGCCTCGGTCATTGCCACCTCCACCAGCACCACAGAGCGCACCCTGAATCTTGCTGCTGAAAAGGGCGCCTCCAGCTGGTTGACCTGTCGGCCCCTTCGTCAGTATGGTTTCAACCTACACAAGCAGGCGTTCTGGGACGCTCTCTGCCTACGGTATGGTTGGACCCCTCCAGGCCTGCCAACAGAATGTGTGTGCGGCAAAGCGTTTTCACCGGAACACGCGCTGTCTTGCCCAACTGGTGGCTACCCCGCCATGCGGCATAATGACCTTCGGGATCTCACCGCATCTCTCCTGCGTGAAGTGGCCCATGATGTCCAGGTCGAGCCACATCTCCAGCCGCTAACCGGTGAGACCTTCCGTCACCACTCCGCCATCTCCGAGGATGGTGCCCGCCTGGATGTGGCCGCATCGGGTGTCTGGGGTGGACGTTTCGAACGGGCACTACTGGACATCCGGGTATTCAACCCGCACGCCCGCTCCAACCGCCAACAGTCCATCACAGCCACCTACCGGAAGCATGAGGCCGAGAAAAGGCGCGCGTACGAAGAACGCGTCCGGGAAGTTGAACACGCGTCTTTTTCTCCCATTGTGTTCAGCGCTTCCGGCGGCTACGGCAAGTCCGCCTCCGCTTTTTTCAAGCGTGTCGCCTCTATGCTCGCCGACAAGAGAAAGGAGCCCTTCTCCTCACTTCTTGCCTTTATTAGGTCAAGGGTTTCCTTTTCTCTTGTTCGTGCCTCCAATGCCAGCCTCCGTGGTCACCGCAGGCCACGGTCTCAAGATGCCCGCCAGAGAGTCATTGACTCTGATGCTTCTGTGGTCCTTGCTGCTGCAGAGTGCTTTCGGTAACTATCCGTGGTGTGTTTGGCTACTGTTCTGCTTCAGTACCCCCCCCCCCCCCCCACTTTTTCATGATTTTGCATGTTATCGTTTTCTCGGATTCCGGTTTTCCACTCTGTTATGTTCGAATCCATAGTCTGTTTAGTTTGTACACGATTTGTACGCAACTTCTCATTGTTTTTTTTTGTTTTTGTTTTTTTTACCAGGCGTGGGCCATCCCCTGATCATATAATAGGTGCCAAAGACTGCACAGACGAAAAAAAAAAAAATGCTGCTTTGTAGACCTATGCATATGCGCATGTACCAGGGAGTCGTAAAAATATTTTACGACTCCCTGGCATGTACGAGTACGTAGTGTAGTCTACCACCGCGGTACCGGTCTACCGAGCCGGAGTGTGCGAGCACGTAGATCTACAAAACACGTCTTTGCACTCGATCGTGCAGCTGGGTGAAATCCGACCCAGGTGAAGTCGGCGCGGCGCGCGCTCCAGTAGTAGTTTGAAGTTTTATTACGCGAAAGACTTAGGGCCGGGTTCCACTGCGGCTCCGCTGCTCCGCGGCACTTGGCTGCATGCAGCGGAGTAGCGCGGTTCCACTGTCACTCGCCATTCGCGGTACCGCGGTCGTGGTCCACACTTTTTGATGACGTTTCACCTGCCTGCGCGCGCGCGAAATCAAACAAATCCTCGTGTTCTGGCCTGCGCAACGAATTAAAATTTGAATTTTAAAATTCTGGCGTACAAAACAATGCAAGTACGGGAAACAGGTCGAGCCGCGAGCGCGGCTCGGAGTTTTTGGTCAAGAATCGTAGCAAAAGCTCGCGGTGAGCCGCGGACTCGCTGCTCCAGCTCGAGCCGCGGTCACTATGGTAATGATGACGTTTCAAGCCGCGAAAGACGAGCAGCGGAGCCGCAGTGGAACCCGGCCCTTATAGGCGATTCACACGACAGGCAAATCCACGTTTACAGGAAAGTCACCATGGAGATATTCCTGCGGGTGACCAAAATTTGCCCGCGGGAATCAAAAGTGTCCATGGCCTTTTTGCCCGCGGATGCACTCATCTGCGGGCACTTTTACAGTTATGAATATGAGGCTGTGAGGTCGTACTATCGTACGGTAGTCTTGAACCCTGGTTGTTTGGCCTTTGTTTTTGGGTACTCATTCCAAATCACCACAGTAACGCCGTATACTCACCGGATACTCGCGGGAGCTCTGGCCCGCGGCCGTGTGAACTGCGGCCTCACGTTTCACTTCCTGCGGGCACTTGACAAACGTGGATTTGCCTGTCGTGTGAATCGCCTATTAGGGCCTGGTCAGACTGCGGCAACTTTTGGTTGCCTGACGAAAAAAGAACAGCGTCCAGAATCGCGATCACACTACACATGTGGGGAGAATGAAAATTCAAACTTCATTTCGAGCGTCAAGTGGTAATCTCCACGAACGACGTCAAATTCCTTCACCTTGGGATCGCCAACACCTTCAGTGCAATCCTTGCAACCATCCTTATGAGTTTTGTTGTTGTCCGTGGCCAATTAGCTCCTCGATATCGAGATGAAAAAATCAGTGATTATCAGCGTCAATGGCGTATCAGCGTCAAATCCTGTTTGGAGCGGAAAAGCGTGGCCCGTTCTTGCTTTTTTTTTGGAGCGTCAACTCTCGCTTTTGCCGCTCTAGCTCTGGCGGCAAGTTACTATGGAGATTCGGATTATAATCCTAGGATTATTTCGATTTTGCCGCAGTCTGACCAAGCCCAACTTTTTTTGCGGATTTTCTGCCATAAAAAATAACGTCACATGCACAGCCCACGGCTGTTATGCATGCATAATCCAGCGACATTATGTACGGTACAACATTTTCCCGTCGCCCCAGTGATCCATGATGCTGTCGTACGCGACCTTGCTGCCTTTTTCAAATCTCTGGAAATATTCGGCAAGGTTTCGCCTATGATTCTGTCGATTCCAGCCGTTTTCTACGCTGGATTCGCGAAGTCTAAGCGAATTCACCTTCCTGCCTTCAAGCTGCGGAAGCAGATATTTTGATCGTCAAAATGCGTAATGGGAAAGTGAAGTTACGATCTTTTTCGTTTCGTTCTTCCTCGTCGTGCCGGCCATTGGCGTTTATCAGAATTGGCTCACATTCGAGGCTTCCTCCTAAGGGG